ACAGTGGCAGCCCACTGCTCCCCAAGGGAATGGGTTAAATGCACACAGTCGATTTCTCCATTTTGAGATCAATAAAGTTCAATTTATTTTTGTTATTTCATTCATTTATTAAACCACATATCGTTCTGGGTTTTATTTTAGATTCTGCCTCACAGTTAAAGTTTATGTCAAATATGGCAGACCTCTCCCTTTTATAGGTGGGGAAACTTACAGAATCAGCAGGTGTGTTGTCCTGCCATGTTACAAATCTGAATTCAATATTCATCTCCATTGGCTGGTGATAACTATCAAAATGTTTTCTTTGTCTTAAATCTCAGGACAGATTTTGGTTAAAGATGGATTATGAAAACGAAAATATCTTGAGATTATCTAATTAAAGTCAATTTAGTCTAATTACTACAATGAATAAACATTACAGATCAGTTTCCACTCATGCGTTCCATATTTTCTGAAGTTACATAGCATCTAATGCAGCAATATCTAATTTCTCTCCATGTTTAATTTTCCAGATAAAATAAGTCACCGTTTGTGTTTTCACACGGCTTACCTGATGTTTCGACCCCAGATTTGGTTTCTACTATAAAGGACAAGACTTCAGCACAGCCTTATCTTTACCCATTCCCCTGCCCAGTGTAGGGTTTAAAGGAATGCTTTTTCCATTTAACAAGCAGGTTTCGTTCATAATTTATGTAACTGTACTGAATTAATCGCTAATGTTCAAGTTTCAAAGTCTATCTTATGCTTTTAGATTATTCCTAAGCAATTAACAGACTTCCACATTTCTTCTTATAAGCTACAAATGTCTGCCTGGCATTCCAACAGTCCCACAGCATGATGCAACCGTCACCATGGTTATTTGCTGGTTCAAGTGTAGCTGGTGGCCGATGCCTGGTTTTTTCGCATATTATCTCTAAAAAGGCGTGTTTGTTTTTTGCAAAATGACGCCTTTATAAATTTTAATTGAAACAGATCTGTTTGGGGCAAAGGAGTCGAGCTGTGCTAGTATACATACATTTTAAAACAAAACAAATCCCTTTTCCCAAATAACTGCAGGAATCCTGACTTGATATCTAGATGGGTGAACCTCTATTGTCCACAGCCCGGTTCAGGTGCGCTGTTGTTTTCTTAGATTTAAGGATATGACTTCATTATTCTAAAAATGTTTTCTGATTTTGACAGTATTTACATGTTTGAGGTTGTCATGCTGAAAAAGTTACATTTTTAGCTTTTGAACATCAGTTTCCATTATGAATCATTCCTGTTTACCCCCCACCTTGAAAAATAAGGATCTAACCCCCCTCAGGATAATGCTGCCACTACCATATGTCACTGTTCACTTCTTGGTGTTTTTGTACCAAGCATGCTTTTTTTTTTTTTTTTTTTTTTTTTTTTTTTGTAGCCCATAATCTTTCACGATAGCTGGACCTTTACACACGTCCCATAAAGTTCTGGAGAGTTTAGCTTCAGGTACTGATTCTGTTTTCATTCAGATACTTCAGCTCCTTCAGCCAAACCACACAGACCACATGTATGGAGAATAAAGGAGATTCATCACATTTTGGATGCAGCCATAATTTTTCAGAAATTACTTGTCCCTGTCTTTTCATTGAATTTGGAGAATTTTTTCACGTGTCTTTTCTGCTTTGATTCTGCTTCCTTCTATCTGCCATGTCTCTGTGTGCTTTATTCCTGACCGGCTTCTGTGTGCAGTGCGGATGAGCTCTTCAGTCTTTAACGTTTCACATACATAAATCCTAGTTAAATAAATTGAAACAAGTTGCTTCAAATTATTTAAGTGCAAAATCAAAAAAAGACTAAGCAATGAAACCAAACACTGCTTCAAACTTTACAACTGTATACATTAAAGCATGTTATTTTAGCCAGAAATGGTGCTAACATTTAAAAGCAATCAGACTCTTGGTTTGTGTTCTTTTACACTTATTTTCAAAGAACTGTGGTAAAACAAAATAATCACATATATGAAACCATATTATTATACCCCCAAACCTCACTGTATGAAATATACAGTAGAAAAATTATGTGAACTAATGTTATTTTCAGAAGAAAAAACCCAGAGCAATTAAATCAAATGAATATTACGGTTGTACTTGGTTCACCTGTTCGCTACTGAAAAAACAGGATTCTCCCATCAATCGGTTGATGAATGGGCCAGTGTCAGTGGGCTGGTGTGTCATTTATTGACTTACTAATCAAACTGTGGTCTTGGGATTGATGGGATGGATGTATCTGTGGTGTGGGCTGCAGCTTCTGCCCTGTACCGATGATTTTATCACATGTATTGGAAATTTGTTTTGTTTTGTTTTTAGTTATTTAAACATCCAACATACAAAATGGGACTGGGATTATCCACTATGCCCTATGCTTTGGCCGAACATTTTTTTTGTTGTTGTTGTATTATAACTGACGGCTGTATTTCATCGGAGTTGGCCAGCTGCAACAGCTCTCTGAGGTCTTTAACCCTTTATAGGGCACTTTGAAAATCTAAATTTCAAGCCTGTGTTATTGGAATCCAGGACAAGACCTTATTATCTTTGTAACATTGAAAAAATATGGATATTTTGATTGTAAAAATTAATGTCAATGTAAAAACAAGAAACACCAAATATAATAAGAAAAATAAAAATGCTTCTATTAGGAATTCATGAATAACACTCAAAGTAAAAGAAACACATTTTTTGGTTTATAACCTTAGAGATATTAATGCTGATTCTTCCACTTACATTTTTTTCAGTTTATAAACCCAAATATAATATTTAACTAGTCTTTAACTTTACCTTTTTAATTAGCTTTTTACCTTTTTTTCTTGAATTGTTAACTTTATTTTTCTTTTAAAGGGTATGCAAGTGATCAAAGATGGTCTCTTGCCCTATAAGGGGTGAAACTGCAGTCAAATTTATTCATATTTTTTATTCATATTTTTACTTCATTTTGAGTGGTATGTTTTTCTTTGTTCTTAAAGGCAGATGTGACAAACTATATTTTTATTCTTAAATCTATATATTTGGCTTTGGTGTAGTTTGGTGTAGTACTACCAGGACTGTACATGGTGATTCCCACCTTTATTTTTTTTTCTTTTCTTTTCTTTTTTAAGAGCTTCAAATGCATTTTTGTTGTACATGAAGCAAATCCACTAAGCTTCGCTGCAGCCCACTCCCATCTGGCTTCATTGAGGCTGCATTTAAACCTGGTTCTTTAGACATGAAGGCCAAACCAGAAACAGATTATCCAGACTGCTATTTATTTTTTCTAAGAATTTGATCAAAACATGTTTTTTTAATATTGTCAATTTAATTGTTGGATGCTGGTATAGCAAGGGTCCGAGGGTGTTAAATCCATAATAAACAAGCTTGGGGGATTTTATTGGGGCCAGTGGATAAGTGGGGCCCAAACAATCTTGGATGAGTCCAGGGTTTAATGGAGAAGGGTGGCTTTTTTTAACTACTGGTTTAACCAAGTTATCAGTTCATTCAATGAAAATTTTTATCAACAGCTGTTAAATAATGTACATGATATCAAAAAGAAAGTGGGGGGGGGGAATTAATACAATAAATAAATGAAATAGGAATGCAGGAATAATTGTACATAATGGAGCTTAGTTGGAAGTGCTCTCCTACATCCACCTGAGGTACAGCCAATCAGCATGAAACCACACCTCCACGAAAGCCGGTCGGCATCCAAAGTTCATCTTAAAAGGCCTCTGATCCGCAACACGTTGTGTGACTTTATTCAGATGACACCGTTTCAACCCACCTCCAGCTTCTCCTCCACCTTCGTAGCTAAAGCTTCATCAGAGTGTCACTCCTACCAGACTCCTACTGTGTTCCCTGTCTCATCTTAACTGGTCTGGCAGAAGACCGCCATGTTGAGCCTGGTTCTGCCAGAGGTTTCTTCCCAACGGAGAGTTTTTACTCTCCACTGTCGCTTCATGCTTGCTCATCATGGACAGATTCTCTCAACCTGTGTTATCCAACTGGACTTCCATCTTCCAGGTCCCTGAGTGAAGCTCTAGTTATCAGCTCATGCAGTCCACTGGATCTCCCCATAAAGCTCAGCAGACCGTCTCACTAACCAGCAGACTGACCAACTTCATCTATCTCCACTCCACTCCTGTTCATGCATATCTATCAAAATTAAGCACTATGTTTCCTGCTGAGCCTCTGAGCGTTAAAGACTAAGCAATTGTATCAATACATTTTTCCTAATTGTCTGTTCTCTACATGTGAGTTTTTCAGATTGAATTGTGATAAGACAGGTTTATAATTCTCTCCACTTTTAACCATAGACAATTGTGAAGTAGAGACCAAACCTTTTTGCATTCAATTCTGTGCCAGACTCTTTTCCAGTAAGTGAGGGAAGTAGACAACGAGAAAGTCTTGCAACAGAAGTATCCATTAAATGGGAGACAGGAATCCTATCTCACATTTAATGGATCCTTCTGTAAACCAGATCCTGTCATAGGATCTGATTTCTGACTAATGATGCCTTCAATGACCATAATGTGGCCTGGTGGAATGGCGTTTGAAACAATTGCAAATTCCTTAGCGATTTCCCGAAATTAAAAAATGTGCAACAGAAATTCTCTCTAGGTGAACAGCATTCCCTAACTATTAAACATCTGTCTTTTCTTTTCTTTTTTCAGTTTGTCCAAGTAGAGGGACTTATTATATAACTGTTATTTCAAATTGTGAGGAAAGTAATTTGGGCTTTTAGATCATTGACCAAGAAAGCACATATAATTTTTAGAATGCTGAAAGTTTAAATTATTTATTGTTTTTAGAATTTAAGTTACAAAGTAAGACAAAATCAAAGGCAGGTTCCTACTCGGATGATTAAGGCGTAAGGGAAAGCGTCATGTGACCACCCATCCCTCAGTTAACGAGCTTTTATGAAGCATTTGAACGCAGCACCACCGCCCACTATGAGCCGCTTCATCATATCGCGATAGACACCATCGGTCCGCGGAGCTGAAGCAGAGCAACATGGCGGAAGGTGAGATAATAATTTTTTTTATGCCTAACTATTTCATACGCACCCGCTTTTGTTTTATTAATCTACCTTTTAAATGATGTTACTCAGAGCCCTGGCGGATTAACAGGCGTAGCGCTGTCAGGGCTCGTTTCTCTGAAATACCGCGATACTATCTATCCTCAGGCTCATCAGGCAAGTGGCTAAAATCTGCCGTTAGCGCCCGTTGGGCTCTGCTAGCCGATTATTTGTGATATGAGTCGGCCGAACTTGGCAAAGATTTAAAAAAAAAGTGTCGCTGCGTTAGACTCAGAGGAGCAAACATTTAGAGAGAGAAAAAAATAGCTGGAAATTACAGAGAGAATGCTAATGTGTTTAATGACTGTAATAATGTCAGCGTCATGTTTTACACCGAGCTGCCATTCTAGTTGGGTTCAACAACCGTTAGCTGCCTGTCCCGTTCCTTCAGGACGCCTGTGCGCGGTAACATGGTGCTGTCAGGGTCCCTCCAGCTCCTCCTGGCATCGCTGCCAGCTTTTCAGGGCGCCTCCTATAATAAGCCTGGACTCGTTAAAGGAAAACACCGCAGCCAGCGGCGTTTAAGCTGCTCGGATTAAAAACAAAGGCCGACTTTAAATGTTTGATTTTTCTTTTTTTTTATGCATAATTGAAATGATTTAACTCCCGGATGAATCCATAGCTTTCTGTTCCTATTATGTCGCCTTTCCTGTTTGGTGCCAATCAGGTGGTTTTTCTCTATTCCTCATGACCAGGGAGCTGCTCTGCCAGTGAACTACTCAGTAACTGTGCTGCCTCAGCACTATTGCTTCACTAAAACTTTTACTGGCTTAAAAGAAGGAAACAGCCCCAGGAACTCTGCACACTCTTAACTTTTGTCACCTCAACTTGAGAGAAGAGAGGAATGTGGTTAAAGCAAAAGGATCAAATAATGTGCTTCCTTTAAAGTGACTGTCTATTTGAATAAACTTGTAAATTAGGGGACTTTAATCTGGCCTATTTGCAAAACACTTTAGTGGAAAGCAAGCATTGCTATCAATCCTGAAAACACCTGCTGAATCGTAAAACATGGCAGTGGTAGCATCATGCTGTGGCGGTACTCCTCTAATTTTAAAATACAAGAACATACTGCGTAAAACCGTTAAGATTTGGGTGAAGGTTACTTTCCCGCACAGAACATTGACCATTAACATGCAACCAGAGCTACAGCGTAGACGTTTTAAACTAAAGGCCCTGTCAAACCTTGACGATTTAGACCAGCGTATGCCTGACATGCGGAAAACGCTGTCATATGGTGGAGGAGTTATGGGTAAGTTTGGCATAAGTTATGAGCATGCTGGCACACGTCGAAATATGACAAGAATGTTTCGACATATGCCATAAGTTCCAGGTATGTTATCTGATCATTGAAATGTAAGTTACTCATAAGTCGTGGTGTCTAGCTTATCCAAAACCTCTGAGTAACTTGTGCATAACTCATCAAGAACTTCTCTCCATCGCATATCAACGTATCTGATATGTTCCAGACGACCGCTGAACCCGTTTCTAGCTTCCAGCTACTGTTTAATGGCGTATTGGCAGCATTTTGGTATAAAAGGGGTTCACAAGAGGAAACCAGCAGTTCTCCTCCAGACTTCATCCCCATCATAGGGTGAGCTAGAAGGTGAGGATGGATCCTCCCTGCGTTCACGCCCACCACCAACAAACGTCCTAGTAGACACAAGGCTGAATCTGCTGCAACTGCAAGCCTTCTTTCTTTTTAGCAGCTAGGTTACTACCGTGATCAAAGACATCTTTGTACGCAGACCGGGCACCTTGGGGCGCATCACTGCTCCCCTCAGGACACTGGCCTGAGGGGAGCATTTAATGCGTTATGCATAAGTTAAGCTGTCGTTGGACATACGTTATGAATACGCTATGTATACTCCCTAAATTGGAAAAAAAATTCACAGAAAGTTCAGCGTATGCCAGCATTATAGGAGATTCTGGGACGTCGGGCGTACGCCGGGCGCTAACAAAGTTGGGACCTAAATCTGGAAAACATTTTAGTCTAGTTGTTCAAGGTTAGTATTTATTCTCAGCAAAATGTGGTTCAGGAAAGCTTTGAACTGAAAGCATATGACACCCTTTTATTGGTAAGAATCATGAAAAAAGGTACCTGTCAATTTAAAAAGAAAAACATTGTATAAGTTGTGGTCTGAAATTGTATATAATGCGAATAAATGTAGTTTTTTTTTCCTTGTTGTTAGCTCATACATACTTGTGCCATCAAATTATTCATCTGTTGGAAAATAAGTTCCAAAGCAACTATGCAAAAATATAGGAACAAGAATCTATAACCCAGGATGAAGCTTTCACTCCTCACCAGTGGGGGGCAGTAGTAAACCTCAAAGGTTTTTGTCAGCCACCTTTTATATGAAAAGAGAAAAACAGAACCATAGATAAAACATAATACTGCACTATTAGCATTTCTGCTATATAAACCATTTGATCGATTTTTTTAAATTTTATTTATTTATTTTTTTTGTTGCTTTCTTCTTCTGCTTGTTTATCAGGCGATCAGCCTTTAGGTGCAATACCTCCACCAGCCAATAAGCAACCACCAGCTTTATCAGGAGTTTTAGATTTTTACTTCTACATTTGTAATCTTAACTATTTAGAGCCGTCACACTTTGCACTGCAGTTAACTTGTAAATTAGCCAAATGTAACTTTTTTAACTTGTATTCTCACAGATAGAAGTACTGTTATACCTCAGTACACTTAAATTATAATTTCCGACACATGTAAATATTCTTACCGCATATTTTTCCCTACATAACAATCAGCTGGAGAGTATAGAAAGCTGTAGAGCTACCTCTTGTTTGTTTTTTTTTAAAGCTTAGTGCTTTACAGTCAAGTTTAATCTATTTTTGGAGATGGATCTTCCTCACCTATTGTCCTGTTGACCTTGTCGTTGGACAGAGGAGGTGGCCAAGCTGCAGAAGCACCTGGCCCTGCTGAGGCAGGAGTATGTTAAGATGCAGCAGAGGCTGGCCGACACGGAGAGGCGCTGCGCCATGCTTGCCGCGCAGACTTCCAGCCCGGCTTCCCCCAGCTCTGCAGACGCCGACACCTTCATCAGCCGCCTGCTGGAATTTGTGGCCAACCTCTATCAGCAGGAACACTACAGGTGAAGGACACACTTGTTTGAACAGATGCCTCTTTGTCATTTTCTCGATAAATCACGACCAATCTGCTGTTCTTGCAGCGACGTGAAGGTGAAAGTGGCGGGGGATCAGTACTGTGCCCATAAGTTTGTGCTGGCTGCTCGCAGTGATACCTGGAGCTTGGCCAACCTGGCATCCACCACTGAACTGGACCTTACTGGTGAGCACCACTGGTTTTTGATCCTTCTCAGAAAGCCGCCTTATCGGTCTGAGAAGAGAGCAGATATCCAGAGAAAAGACAAGATGACTCAGCTCTGAGTTCAGGGTCAGTGCCAGAATATAGGAAACTCTCATGAGATTTGGGCTTAGTTATCAAAAGCTGGAACGAATAAAGTAATCAAAACAAAGTTAAATTGTGCCTGATTATAACATGATAAATGAAAGAAACATACTCTACGCCGTTTTTCCTTTCTCTATTCGACCTCCTCCAGTTTCCTAAACCGAGATGCTTCGCTCTGCTGGAGAGATAATCTGACCTTGCTAAATGTTTCTAATTGCTCACTAAATCTTAACTGACCCCACAGGAACCTGCACTGAACTGTGATTGGTTCAGATCTACATCCCTGACAGATTGACATCATCATAAAAAAACTAATTTTTGCACAAAGAACACGTCCTTGTTTCACACAAGCAGCTGAAGTTTGATCAAGATACATTACTGATTCTGGTGGAAAAACTGTGACTTTCAAAAATTGATTATATCAGAAATGGAAAATTTATGAAATCACGTGGAGTATCTGCACTCCTACATCTATAGTAAAGAAGGCAGCATTTTTAACGCATCCTGTCTTTTAAGCCTCTCTGTAAAAAGTAAATATATATAAAATAAATATTTTGATGGAGATGAGAAATATGCTTCCTGGTATGTTGAAAAACCAATAGTTTACATCCGATCATTTAATGAAATGGCCTTAGTTTTTGGGAATTTATAAGAATTATCCTCTAATTTGTAGTTACTAATCCATTGTTGCTATATTTCATTTGAAAAACTGGATCTTCTTGATGTTCTTTTTCCTGTTTGGTGGGATTGGAATTGCGGATCTTGAACTGAGCGGGGCAAAAAATAACTGGGCTCCGTATTTTGACTGACGAAGAAGGCGTAAGTGGACGGTGAAGTGAGGAGGAGTAGCGGTGGATGTGGAACAGTTCTCATCGATTAACATGACAGACAAGTACTCTGCATGATGTACGTGAGCAGAGTGGGGTGGAGCGCTGATGGAGTATGTGGAATCTGGGGGTTAGAGTTGGTTCACGGAGTTACGATCCTTGGGTTACGACTGTCCAGCTTTCTAAAACAGGGCCTTGATTTAGATCCATCCTATTAATCAGATTCTAAGCCGCTGGCTGGTTTTAATCCCGCTCTACCACGGCAGCTCTGCATTCGGTTATAATCCAGCTCTCTGTTCAGCTCTCTGTGGGTCAATACACTTCTTTGTTAATGAATAACGCAATATTTATCTGGGGATGTGTTTGCTTTGTGTACTGTCAAAGTTTGCCAACAGATATATTTATTTGTCTTTGAGTAAATCACAAAATTTCAATCAAAGGGAGAAGTTTGATCTGGATAATTTTTTACTTTTGTTTATTCTTTTTATCGGTTGTCAGATTGCAAAGCTGAGGTGGCTCTGGCCATGCTGCATTGGGTCTACACAGACCAGCTGGAACTCAGCAGGGATGATGCTTTCCTCGTTGACCTGATGAAGCTAGCCAACCGCTTTCAGCTCCACCTGCTCAGAGAACGGTCAGACAAACTGCTCACACTCTTTTATCCTGACGCACACACACTGCGCTTAAAACTAAACGCCTTCGGTCTGTTGGAACAGGTGTGAAAAAGGTGTGATGTCATCTGTAAATGTGAGGAACTGCATTCGATTCTACCAAACGGCTGAGGAGCTAAACGCCACCACTCTAATGAACTACTGTGGGGAGATCATCGCCAGTCACTGGGTGAGTGTCTCTAGGTTTGGATCAGGGAACCCCAGAAATGTAGCTTATAGTTCTCCAACATTCATCTAAATGTATCAGTGCAGTCTCTCCAGAATACTTTTTTTGGTGTCATTTTGTGTTGTTTATATATATATATATATATATATATATATATATATATATATATATATACCACGAGGAGATGGCAAGAAAGACTGCCACAGCTAAATACCTACAAAGAAGCAACTGGATAGCACAGTAGGTAACACCGACGACTCCGGCACAGGTGACCGGGGTACATCATGCAGTGGACCATGGCAAGGGAAGGTCCTTTGTGCTTAGTGGCCTACCTCAGGCATGATACCGCAAATACAAGAGCCATACCGGCTCGGACGTCGCCCGGGTTAACAAGGTCCGCGTCAGTTGCTAGGGAACCAGGGCAACTTGATGACAAATTGGCTACTGGAACAAGACATAGATGGACTAGAGCAGAAAACTTGGTACTGATGAAATGCTACTATACAAGTGTCCCCAGTGAGAGAGGTTACATGCAGAGACTATGGGAATTATGGCAGCTCCAACAACCATCATCCACACTGACAAAGAAACAACTACTAACTTCTAACATCCGCAAACGGCAGCTCCTATCACAACTAGAAATTGATGAGGTACAACTGACATGCTGCAGTAAGGAGGAGTCAGGAGGAGTAAGGACAACAGGTCAGTAGGGAAATATCATCATCCCAACACACAGAGATTGGGTCCCCAGCCCCAACAACAACAAGCCCACTAAACGTAAGGGCGGCTGACCTACGACGGCTGATCATGACCAAACTGGATCCCCTAGTACGACGTCCAAGACTGCCAAGGCTAAGTGACAGAGTACCCTCTGAAAGCCTTCTAGGAGATGTAAATGCAGCACTACATACTATCGACATCACCTACTGTAGACCTACTAAAAACATAACTGAGACCAACGAGCTGACCTACGCCACAGCTACAGTGATCCTAGAGATGCTTGGCTATAAGATAAACACCACAGGCCACAAAGCCTTCTCCCCCATGGAGGAGAAGGCTGGAAGCCAAGATCAAGGCAACACGAAGACAGGTTAGTCTCAGACCTGCAGAAAGGTGTAGGGAAAAGGTTACCTAAGTACAACAAGCTGTCCATTCCTGAGGCTCTAGAAACTGCCAAACAAAGACTCGCCGCCCTGGCCACCCGCCTAAAGAGATACAAGGGAGAAGCAGAAGCCAGGAGAATAAACCAGGTGTTCTCCACCAACCCATCCAAAGTGTACTCACAGTGGCAGGGTAATTCAAGATCAGATCCACCCAGGGCTGAGACTGAACAGTACTGGAGAAACATATGGGAGAAGAAGGCATCCCACAACACCAATGCTCAGTGGTTAGAAGATCTTAGAACGGCAATCTCCCAGAACAAGAACCAGTAACCATTACAACGGCAGATGTCCAAGAAAGAGCGGCAGGTATGAAGAGCTGGACAGCACCAGGCCCTGACATGATCCAGACCTACTGGCTGAAACACCCTACACACCTACTTCATGCACGCCTCGCAGCACAAATGAACCAACTGCTGATGGATGGGACCCACCCAGAATGGTTAACCCAAGGACGGACAATCCTGATCATGAAGGATACCCAGAAGGGAACAACCCCATCCAACTACCGGCCAATAACTTGCCTATGTACAACATGGAAGCTCCTGTCAGGCATCATAGCGGCTAAGATGAATAGGCACATGGCTCAATACATGCACCCTTCCCAGAAGGGAATAGGCAGTAACACCAGAGGAGCCAAGCACCAGCTACTAGTGGATAGAGCAGTCACTCGAGACTGTAAGACCAGGCAGACAAATCTGTGCACTGCCTGGATTGACTATAAGAAAGCCTATGACTCAATGCCACATACATGGATACTGGAATGCTTGGAAATGTACAAGATCAACAGGACTCTAATAGCCTTCATCAAGAACTCAATGAAGCTGTGGAAAACAAGTCTGGAAGTCAATGCAAAGCCAATAGCACAAGTCACCATCAAGTGCGGCATATACCAGGGTGATGCACTATCCCCGCTGCTGTTCTGCATAGGCCTGAACCCCCTCAGCCAGATCATCACAAAGACTGGCTACGGATACCAATTCCGAAGCGGAACAATCATCAGTCACCTCCTCTACATGGATGACATCAAGCTGTATGCCAGGAGTGAGCGAGACATCGACTCACTGATCCACACTACCAGGATCTACAGCAACGACATTGGGATGTCATTCGGACTGGACAAGTTTGGTCGCATGGTCTCAAAGAGAGGGAAGATGATCAGAACCGAGGGGGTTGAACTACCAGAAGGCCACATTACAGATGTGCAGGACAGCTACAAATACCTTGGGGTGCCACAGGCTAACGGAAACCACGAGGAGATGGCAAGAAAGACTGCCACAGCTAAATACCTACAAAGAGTAAGGCAGGTCCTGAAAAGTCAGCTGAATGGGAAAAACAAGATCCAAGCCATCAACACATATGCCCTACCAGTCATCAGATACCCCGCTGGTATAATAAACTGGCCAAAGGAGGAGATAGAGGCCACTGACATCAAGACAAGAAAGCTCCTCACAATGCATGGAGGGTTCCACCCCAAATCCAGCACCCTGAGACTGTATGCCAAGCGTAGCGAGGGAGGCCGAGGGCTAGTGAGTGTCAAGACCACTGTCCAGGATGAAACAACTAAGACCCAGGAGTACATCAGAAAGATGGCCCCCAAAGACAAATGGCTTGGTGAATACCTCAGGCAGGAGAAAACCGAAAGCGAGGACAAGAAAGAGGAAGGAGAACCATCATGGAGGGACAAGCCACTGCACGGCATATACCACAGACAAATAGAAGAAGTGGCTGATATCAAAAAATCCTACCAGTGGCTGGAGAAGGCTGGACTGAAGGACAGCACAGAGGCACTAATCATGGCAGCACAAGAACAGGCACTCAGTACAAGATCAATAGAGGCCAGGGTCTACCACACCAGGCAGGACCCCCGATGCAGATTGTGCAAAGATGCCTCTGAAACAATACAGCACATAACAGCGGGGTGTAAAATGCAGGCAGGAAGTGCATACATGGAACGCCACAACCAGGTAGCTGTCATAGTGTACAGGAACATCTGCCATGAGTATGGGCTGGAAGTCCCAAGGTCAAAATGGGAGACACCTCCTAAGGTAGTTGAGAATGACCGAGCTAAGATCCTATGGGACTTCAAGATCCAGACTGACAAACAGGTGATGGCTAACCAACCAGACATCGTGTTGATCGACAAACAGCACAAGAAGGCAGTAGTGATAGATGTGGCAATCCCAAGCGACAGCAACATCAAGAAGAAAGAACACGAGAAGCTTGAGAAATACCAAGGGCTGAAAGAGGAGCTAGAAAAGATGTGGAAAGTAAGAGCAGCAGTGGTGCCAGTGGTAATTGGAGCACTGGGGGCTGTGACCCCCAAACTGGGAGAGTGGCTACAGCAGATTCCAGGTAAAACATCAGAGGTCTCTGTCCAGAAGAGCGCAGTCCTAGGAACAGCTAAGATACTGCGCAGAACCCTCAAACTCCCAGGCCTCTGGTAGAGGACCCGAGCTTGAGGATGACACATACCACCCCACGAGGGGTGAGAAAACAGTTTATATATATATATATATATATATATCAATCGATTACATTTTTTTAATCGCATCAATGCCTGAGTTAACTCGCGATTAATCGCATTTTAATCGCAAATTTTTTTTCTGATTGAAAATCATTTAAATACTCTCGATGACATACAAAAAATACATACAGGCTAGGTTTGTGCCAATGTTCTTTTTTTAAAATGAAAACAGGTCACAGACACTGATTTATGCCATAGAAATATATGGCAAGAAGATGGGGAGGCATGTAGCAAAAAATAACAAATATGTAGCCAAAAAAAAGGCCCTGAAAACAGGCTGATGTAAAAGACAGTCTTTACAGTTAATACAGTCTTTTGAACAAAGACAAGCATTTTACCCTACTGCTATAAAATGCAGTACAGTTAACATTAGATGTTAATTAACCAAGATAATAATGAACAATTTTCAATCAATACATCAAAATCAATAGACCGACATCACTAGATGGAGGTAGTCTATGCTCTAGAAAGTTACTTTTCAGCCTCTTAACAAAAATGAGAACACACACACACCCACCCACCCACCCACACACACACATACGATACCGACCTGTGGCGTGCACAGACAGCAATAGTGCCGTAGCAGATTCCATTTCACCTCAGTAATCTGTTTTCTCAGCGTATTTCAGGTTGCTACTAGTTACCAGACACTCAACTTGTTTGTTGGTGATGGGGCTTAAAGAAAAGGCACTAGCGTCACCCAGTGTATGAGCGTCTTTTTCCCTTGAGGAGCTCCGCTCTCGAAGCCTATGAGAAATGCATACACTGGGGGAAAATAGCCCCGCCTTCCCGCAGGCTGCAGCGGGATGTACTTGGAAAATTGTACCATAAAACCACATAGCGTTAATCTCACGTTAAAAAAATTATCGCCGTTAAAATGGCCTCGCGTTAACGCGATAATAACGCGATAATTTTGACAGCACTAATATATATATATATATATATATATATATATATATATATATATATATATATATATATAATTTTTATTTTTCTGAGCCATCGCCCCACCTCAACACAAACACACAGAGCACACAGACCATCATGAAGGTATTGGTAGATTAAAAACAAGCTGATAAAAAGGTTGAGTGATTTTTTTTTAATCCTCAGTTATATTACAGTTTTCTACTGCAGAGATGATCTATTCTCCATTTCAGACTGATCAGGGGAGAAAAAAAAATTATTTTAGAGAAACTTCTTTTTTTTTCGGCCTTCATTTTATGTCTTTATTGCTTCTCTGTTCAGGATGATCTGCGGAAGGAGGACTTCAGTACCATGAGTGCCCAACTTTTGTACAAGATGATCAAATCGAAAACAGAGTACCCTCTCCACAAAGCCATCAAAGTCGAGCGTGAAGACGTGGTCTTTTTGTATCTCATAGAGATGGATTCACAGGTGGGATATCTTCCACCCTTGTCTTCATTGGTTCTGTCGTTGAAGGATGGTTTAACGTCTGCTCTGTCTGCTCTCAGCTACCAAGGAAGCTAAACGAGCTGGACAGTAACGGGGACCTCGCTCTGGACCTGGCGCTTTCCAGGAAGCTGGAAGGCATCGCCACGACTTTGGTCAACAACAAGGCTGATGTGGACATGGTGGATCAGAGCGGCTGGAGCCTCCTACATAAGGCTATCCAGAGAGGTCAGGACGACTCGCAGAAACTACACTATTTCTGGTCTTTAGTAGGGCTGTCAGGCAGTTTTAAAAAATGCATCTAAAAAATTAATTACAAATCCTGTAATTAATCACATATCTGCTAAAGCAGTTGAAGGGAACACTGGTCCTAAGGGGCTGCAGTCCTTTATCTTTCCATGCAGCTCTGCTCCCACACAGCCCATCAAGTTTTGAACGGTGACTACTGAGGTTAGGCTCGAGTCAGTTTACTCAACACGGCTTCCACCATTTTGAAGCAGAAGTGGCGCTGAGATGTGTTTGAAACACACCCGTCATGTGACCACTCCGAGCGAAGCCTCCTTATGTCACACTTTGTGTTGAGCTTGATGGTAAATTCAAACATTAAGTGTTTCAATACTACTGAAGTATTTAAGGAATCGGAAGGGTGACTCACACCGCAGGTTTTCCCATTTAATGTTACTCAAAGACAGGGAAAGAAATGGTAAATATTTAAGTCTAGTTTAAAATTGATTCACAACAGATTAGAGCTGTGACATTTAATGGTGACTAATCGATTATTGAAATATTCTTTAACGAATTTACTAATTTATTAATTGTTAACTGGAGTATAGAGATTCTATAACATGACTGTAGCTGATAGAGTGACCCACTTAGGGCAGTAATTATGCCATGATGGAAAGTGGAAAAGTCTTAGTTTGCCCTGGTTTAATTTAATTAAAAAGTCTCCTTTAATAATAGCTGAACTCTGACATTGGAGAAATTTACCTCTGCATTTAACCCATCCCTTTGGGGAGCAGTGGGCTGCCATTGTGCTGCGCCCGGGGAGCAGTGTGGGGTTTCTCAGAAACCCAGAGTGGGATGTGCGAACCGGGTACCTGCAACCTTCTCAGAGCACAAGCGCACTGCTCTAACCCACTCCCTTTGCTATCTGATTATTAATCGAAAACACAATGGCCAGATTAACCTATAAATAAAGCTTCGATAAAAAGACAATTCTTCTGTTTGTTTTTTTTAACAATAATTACAAATCCCCTTGCTTAGATTGATGCTCCTGTTAGTCCCCTGAGTCGATTATATCAACATTGACCAGTGATACAGGTGGGAAAGAGCGGCATGTCTTCTTCTTCTGGTGTTGGCGGTTGGCAAACAGCTTTAAGTTCCCTATCGCCACCAGTTGCCCGAGCCGTTCAGTGGGTCAAATTTAAAAAGCTTGTGCATTGAATTGGCACTCTGAATTAATTGCAATTATTTTTTATAAGTCATTGATTTTTGTTGGGATTAATTCATCTATTTAACACTTTAAACTGACAGCCCTTGTTTTTTGTTTACCTTAAACAACATTTTTAAATCTTTTCCTGAAGAAGAAAAAACAAAACATAGCTTTGTTTTGTTTTTTTTTAACTAGGGGATGAGTTTGCCTCCATCTTCCTGATTCGCCACTCCGCTCAGGTGAACGCGGCCACAGTGGGGGCCGTGGAAACCCCTCTGCATTTAGTCTGCTCCTTCAGTCCCAAGAAACACAGCGCAGAGACGATGAGCAGCATGGCGCGGATCGCAGAGGCTCTGCTCAAAGCCGGGGCCAACCCCAACATGCAGAACAGCAAAGGCAGGTGGGTCACATGATGCCAGCTTTGTGTTGGTTATTGGATCGTAAATTTAACTGCAGTGCAAAGTGTGACGGTTCTTTTTCCTGCATGAAGGACTCCGCTGCATGAGGCCGTGGCATCGGGAAACGAGGCGGTGTTCAACCAGCTGCTGCAGTGCAAACAGTGAGTTTCTCTGTGGATCACCAGAGGTCCTCATGTTCATCTCTCTACTGCTGACTGAAAAATCAAACCGTTTGAATCATTTGGACACAACACTTCCTGGCAAAAAAAAAAATTATTTTTCCTATTTTAGGACATTTCAACCACTAACTTCAACTCATCGCCACCAAATGAAAAATATTCTTAATAGGTGGAACAAAATGAGTGTTTTCAGAATAAACATTCTATAAAATTTGAGTTTTTATTTTCCATTTACCCCAAACTACAACCCAACACAACCTTTCAGCTTGCAGAAGTCCTAACCCAAAAATATCTGACTTATGTTCAACTTTGCATGTTGATGTTGGCCTTTAAATTAAACCTGCCGGAACAGAAGATCCTGAGATTTTTTTATTTAGCTCTAGAGCGTGATTTTAGTCCTGGACCTTCTTCCTCTTATGATGCTAAGGTGACCAGATTTCTGCAATCTAATCTGGGGACAATTCCAACTCGTAGATGAAAATAAATGCATATCATGACAATTAATATAGGAAACGGGGACAGTGATGCTTTCATCCATTTTTACATATTTATTGATATTCAAACAACAAAAAATCAAGTGTAAAAAACAGCAGAACAACTTATATCTCTACTTAAAATAACTAACTTTCTGAAGATATAAACGTAAGGTCACCAATTGGTTCTAAAACATCTTTAGACAAACCCTAAAGACTTGTTTTGACTTAGAAAACATGCAAATTGATCTGGTTTGGAATTAGATTTTTTTTTTTTTTTATTTAACCTATAGGTATGAACGAGACTTTTAACACAATGATCAGCCCAATTCAAATCAAATGAACTGAATAACACACTCACCATAACACAGGGCAGCTGCAACCGGTTCTGTTTTAAAAGTGGTTTTAAAGCTGCTCCTCATCTATATGCTAACAGCTGCCAATCAGCTAGCTAACAGCTGTTTCTGTGTGCAACATACTAGCATGCTCTTTCTACCTTAATAACAGTCTGCACGCAACATTTCACCCTCATTCATAAAATGGGAAGGTCTGAGACATTTCCTGGGACAGCTTAAGCCGTGGACAGGTGGTCCAAACTCGGACTGTCCCCGGAAATCTGGATGTCTTGTCATTGTAGCTAATGCTATTGATAGCGTGCCACCCTCCTGTCTCCCTTCCACCAGTCAGACTCACCTCCAGGCCGTCACTCGGTGTTGCTACCTCTGTAACTTATCATCTATTTTGTAAGGGAGAAGGAGATGTTTGTACACTAACCATAGGTGCTAATAGCTACATAGCCAATGTTGCTGATGCTACATCCTCCTGAATGGACCCTGAAGGATCGAGATGGAAAAAGGGGTTCAAATGAGCTTTACATTTTTATTCTCTTATAACTAATCAAACATGAATTGGAAGTTGTTTTGAAAATTATAATTTGTTTAATACCAGGTTATGACTTCTTTAAACTTTGGGTTCACAAACTTGCAGCCTGTCACCCCAAAAATAACAGCTGCAGACTTCGCTCTGGTCTGATACCTTTAGTCCGATTTTTAGCTACTTTTTACTCTTTAGTGGAACATATGCCTTCATTCTAGGACTAGTACCTATTTTTGGTTGTCGAGGGCCTATAAGTCCCTATGACAGGCTGGATCAGGTCCACGGGTCCTTGACTTTGACACATATTACCCTTAGTGACCTAGGGAAGCCTTAGCCAAAACGCTAAAACATGAATTGTACATCTTACTCCAAAATTGGATCAAATCTGTCATGTCCCGTTTCTAACGCTTCCTACCTTGTCGTACCATCAGCCTGTTTGGTCCTGTGCTGTAGCAGAATCTATAGCAGACTTTCTACTCTCTCTTCATCTCCATTTCTAATGCATTTTGATACAATCATACAAAATGTTTCAAATGTTCTCCTAGTACTGCTTATAGAGGGCTGTTCTGGTATTTCTGGTATGAACGCCAGCCTTCAGGAACCGCTGTGGCTGATGGTGGTTTCTTTCTGTTTATGCCAAAGCTTGGAATGATGATCCCCAACATAAAGACTAATTCAAAGCTGCCACTTTTCAGGAAGATCTATGTGCTAAACCCCTTTGACTGTAGCTGCTGTCTACTAAACAGTAAAACCTAATCCAGTGTTTGCCTGTTCATGGAAAACACAGATATTCAACACCACAGTTATTAAACAGCAATTATCCCAAGCCAGGTCTGTCTACTTTGAACCTTTTTCCTGTTTTTAAAAACTTGAATATATGTAAAAAATAGTTTAATTTTGGTATACATACAGCCTCAGAGGCCGCCACAATGCGGTGGAGCCCTTCTGCTGGTGTGCTGGTGAAGATTCTCAGTCATCCAGGTCATAGTTATTCCAAAACAAAAATAAACAATCCAATGGACTTTGTTTCCAAGTTTGAAGACATTTCGCTTTCCAATTTAGGAAGCTTTCTCAATTCAAAATGTCAGGAATAGCTTTGCGTTGCTTTATTCAGTAGCCCAACAAAGCCTCGTTTTTGCTTAGACAACATGCAAATTGCAACGTACGGAAGGATCCATCTGAATGGGGGTCATTTAGACTTAGACAGATTTATTTTGTCATTTTGTGTATACAAAAAAAACTGTCATTTAAAACAGCTCTAGACAGTTTCATTGTTTAAAGTGCAGCCTTGAACAAGTTGAAAAAGTTTGGTTTCTTTGTTAGCCTGCAATGCCCCATACCCGTCTCTGAAAGGGGGGTCGTTAGAGGGAATTATTGGCCTGGCTAAATGGGTGAGGTCTTCTTTTCCCCTGTGAGGGCGTTGGGGTTGCGATGATGGCGAGAACTCAGTTGCTGCATTGTTGGCGGTTTGCTCAGGGCCGCAGTCCTGCTGGAAAAGTGTAGCAGATTCTGCCTCCAATTCTGACCAGCGTCCCCTAACCCCACTAAAGACGGGTACCATGGGTTCAGATTATGTGTTCAGGGTGTTTTCAAGGTTAAGGAGGTAAAGCGGAGACAAAAGTTACCCTCAATGTTTGTTTGTACAGAGGTTAAAAACATTCTAATCTTAAAGCCCACTGAAATGTACATTTTTACTCGGTCCAAGATGTATAATTTCCTAGCTGACATACTAGGTGGTCAAAAGGCGTCTATAACTTCTCGAAGTGTGTCATAGTCAGACGCACTTCGAGAGCCTTTTTGTTTTTCATGTGCTGTTGAGTTTATTCAGAAACTTCTGTTCTTTACTAGTGTCTTGTCTACAATGGCAGAAGCAGTAAAGAGAGTGGCTTTGCTTTATTTTCTGTAATGAGTTGTGGACAAAGGGAGGTTTAAAATGAAAACATCATTAATACATGCAGTCAGTTCATCAGGATAATAATCCTAAATATCCTGTAGCCATAGACCCCCTTAGTAATTCAGCCATGGCTCCCTGAAGCCAAACAGGCTTTGAAGGTTTTCCCACCACTGTCATTAGCGGCTGGAAGTGAATATAAGCATTTTCGGGTGGTTAAAAAGTGCAAAAATCATAATATATAATAATATTTAGATATATTATTCAGGTATTTATAAACCGTTTCAGTTTGGTAACAAAATACTTTGGAGTGATCAGAACATCCTCACTTTTCTTTCTACATGATAAAAACATCCTCCAGGCTTTTTACGAAAGCTAGTGAAATGTAACACCTTAAAAGGAGAAGTCCGGTCAGCAGGGAATAATCAATAGATCATCTATACCTAAAACTGATAGGTTCGCTGTGATTAATCAGTAAAGAAAATAATTTCGTATAGCGCGTTGTGACAAACGCCAGATACAGCACTGGGACTTGATCAACAGCCAATACCGCACCGTGACGTTACAAACCGGTAGGTGACAGTAGTGTTCTTTGACAGTCATCGATGTCTGCAGTAAAGCACATTCAAATTAAAATTACACTTAATTATAACACATAATGTTATATATAAAGTACTTTCAAAAGTTTGAATTCTGAATATGACCGGACTTCTTCTCCTTTAAATATATTCTTGTTTATTTATGCTGACAGCTAAACAGGAACAGAGATCACGGCTTGGATGCACTGACAGTCTTGCTGCGAGCTCCCAGACCAGCTTCTCTGATTTAATTTTTTCCAATTTGAATGTCTGACGCTTTAGACTGTTTGATGTCCATCAATGCTTGGAAGCTCAAAATTCTTCCAATGAGTCGTCAGACATCCGAAACGCTCCGCAGGACGTCTCCGTGCCCCATGATGCGTGTCCACCATAGAATTTGCATGGTAACTGTCTGCCTCTTTGGTGTGAACGCAGCTTTATGCTTGGAACACGCCGCATGCAACAGCCTCCTACTTCAGTTCTGGGACCTGTTTGTTGCAAGAAAGTCATAAGCTTTGGAACGCTGCTGCTTTACACTTGTCACAAAATGCGAAGGATTACAGAGGGATGTGAATACTTTTCCGATTCTTCCAGGTTTTCTGACTTATTTTATCCCCATCTTGACAGACTTGACCTGGAACTGAAAGACCACGAGGGCAGCACAGCTCTGTGGCTGGGTCTGCAGCACATCACCATGTCCTCAGACCTCTCTGTGAACCCATTCGAAGACGACGCCCCGGTCTTAAACGGGACCTCATTCAATGAGAACGGCTTCGCAGCTCAGCTCATCAAGAGAGGAAGTAATCCTGACGCGCCCGACGCTGCCACAGGTATCGATCAGTCGTTTTATTTTCCAGCAAGATGTGGTCAGAAGGTTCTCAGTCTCACGTGTTGCCTTCCTTACAGGAAACTGTCTTATGCAAAGAGCAGCTCGCGCCGGCAATGAGGCTGCGGCTCTTTTCTTAGCAACCCATGGGGCAAAGGTCAACCACATCAATAAATGGGTACGTGCTGTCGGATCCGTCTTCCTTATGGGTTCAGTCATTAGAAAATGGTTCTTGGTATTCGGACTGATTATTGACTGATTCTCGTACGTTCAGCTGGATGAAAGGTGCTGATTCTGTGTGCCTTCCTACAGGGAGAGAGCCCGCTTCACACGGCATGTCGCTCGGGCCTGGCAGGCCTGACTGCCGAGCTGCTCCAGCAAGGTGCCAACCCTAACCTGCAGACCCAGAAGGCTCTGCCTGAGGACGGCCAGGGCGTGGCTCTGCAGACGCCACTCCACATGGCCATCGCCCACAACCACCCAGACGTCGTCTCCGTCATTTTGGAACAAAAAGGTAGGCCAAGCTTTATTTGACAGCTGGGATAAATAGTTTCTGCTCTAATGATTTGAACATCCTGATATCTAACCTGTCCTAAATGACTTGTTCTGGTTTGCAGCTAATGCACTTCACGCAACCAACAACCTCCAGATCATTCCAGACTTCAGTCTAAAAGACTCCATGGACCAGACGGTTCTGGGTCTGGCTCTCTGGACGGGTACTTCATATCCATTTAACAGCAGGATTTGTTCTGTGGTTTGTTTTCTGACTGATTCAATCGCACCCTGCCAGGTATGCACACTATTGCGGCCCAGCTGCTGGGTTCTGGGGCCTCGATCAACGACACTATGTCCAACGGACAAACTCTGCTCCACATGGCCATCCAAAGACAGGACAGCAAGAGCGCCCTCTTTCTCCTGGAACATCAGGCAGACATCAATGTCAGGTAAGATCTACCAAGTTAATCCCTCCTGTCAATAAGGCATGTTTAAAAACTGTTTCTGGTTCTGAAGATAAAGACACAGACAAAGCTTTTACCCGGATGCCTGGGCATTTTATGTGGTACCATGAATATATGATAGTTTACCTTAAATTAGAATTTTAATCGGGCACAGCTTTGACAGCCCACCTGCAGCTCTTCAGGTTCTCTCCACAACCTCCCCCAATCACGTTAGACCGACACGTGAGACAGAAGCTAGTCCTGCAGTTAAATCTCAAAGCATTTCAGATGCCTCGCTGAAAAATTAGGAAGGTGGACTTTATAGTGAATTATATTTTTAAGATGTATTAATTGCTTTATTTAAAAATATACTGTAACTAAGAAAAGCACCAGAAAGCTTAATATGATGCTTGGTAGTTTTTATTCTTTCTCATAGTTTTGTGCACAGACCCCTTAAAGGGAATGAGTCTAGGGCCGTTTCTCAATATGTGTCCTTGTGCGTTCTCATGTGCTTGTGAAACATTGGCCTCTGTCCTAGTAGTGTTCCATTTCACAAGAACAGCAGACCGAGAACGGACAAAATCCCCGGATGTTGTTCTCGCCCCTTTCTATTTACCCAGCATGCATCAGAGCAGACTTGTCCGTTCTTGAGATTGACAGCTGTCCCAGCATGCACTGCAGCAGCAGCTGCTTCCAGGGAAGCGCTCACAGAGCTCAGAGTATTAAGTTAAAGGTTTTCTTTTCTGTAGCTGTTGTTCTTTATAAATATGTTTTAAGATCATTTGAGGCTCATTATACTTTTAAGTGTTACTATATGGTCCATTTACCGATTAAAGTGCGTAATTTGAAAAAAATGTCCAAAGTTGAAAGGACCGCGGCAGCTAGCCGACCTCTGAGGCTAACCTCAGCCAGGGCTAACATTAGCCTGTCTGCAGCAGCCCTCTCTCTGCATCGACGTATGTGAAGAACCGCTGGCTATGATGGTGATTTCTTTTTGTTTAGTTTTATTTGGCAAAATGTTCATTTAATTTGTGTTTATCTGACTTTAATTATTATTCCGCCACTAGATGAGAAAAGTAAGATTTATTATTATCTAGATGCTATTAATAACATGAGGGGAAATGCAGCTCCAGACGCGCAGTGTGTGGTGATGCCATCAGTACGTTTCTGTTCCAATTGATCCATATTTATGCTGCGTGCTCCCGGTCTCCCAGTCTATACTTTCCTGTGTTCTTCTCAAGAACATACTTGGGAAGGACATGAGTGCTTAACTTGTGAATTGAGAAACGGCCTAAGTGTCGGACTTTCCTGAAATCGATCTGAATACCTCCATGTTAAAAGATGTCGTCGACCGCAAGCTGTGATCCGGCTCAGCTTAGGTGTCTTGTCTGCATTCATACGATTCATCCAGCAGCAACTTTTCTACTTCCAGAACACAAGAGGGACAAACGGCACTACAGCTGGCCATCAGCAACCAGCTGCCGCTCGTGGTAGACGCCATTTGCACCAGAGGGGCTGACATGACGATTCCAGATGAAAAAGGGGATCCTCCGTTATGGCTGGCTCTGGAGAATGGCCTGGAAGATATTGCATCCACGCTGGTAAGAGAAGAAAACATGACGCTGCAGGACAGGTGTTACTGTGACAAGATAGAATGGTCGAACAATCGGCTGGGTTTTGTTAGAATACATTTCTCAGCTGATTTATACTTTGCTAACCCTCAGTTTTTGTAAAGATTAAACCAGATTTTTCATTTTTATCTGCTGTAAAAGAATTTGTAATAACATTTGTAATAGTTTTGGAGGCTCGGCTGCATGAGTCTAAACAAGGGAAAGAAAAAACATCCCGGAGCAGAAGTTAAGTTTAAACTGGAGAAGATATTTTTTTCATTTGATAAAAAAGCTTCTGAATCGGTAAATATGCTCCATTCAGATCTTCTCCAGGAGGGAAGTTTTAGCTTCAATGGGTTCAGATGCTCTTAGCTGGGGGTCAGCAAGCCACGGCTCCGGAGCTGCATGAGGCTCTTTAGCGTCCGCCTTGCAGCTCCCTGGAGCTTTTTCAAAATGTATGAAAATCTTTTTTTAATATGAAAATAATTATGTTTTCCAGTGCTGTAAACATTTTTATAATACCGTAAATTTTCGGACTATAAGCCGTGACTTTTTCCCCATTGTTCGACCTTGCGGCTGATATAACAGTGCGGCTTATCTATGGACCTTTACAGCTAACAGCCACTAGAGTTATACCTAAATCTATGGATTTTACCATCCACCATGTTGACGTCACATTTGCTTCAACACACAAGTATGGTAGCCCTTGGCGGGGGAATGCAGAGGTCCTCTGGGAGCAGACTTCTTCCGCGAGTAGTACGAGACAGAACGACAGCGAGAAAGACGGACGTTAAACATAAAAAACCTGCTGCTTATAGTCTGGTGCGGCTTGTATATGTACAAATCATGCAAATTAGCTTCTGCGGCTTATATTCAGGTACGGCTAATAGTCCAAAAATTATGGTAAATAAATTTAAACAATAATTTGCGTCATAGCCATAGAGGTCAGTGGTCATAACTTGCAACCAGCGTGGCACGCTGCCAGGTAAACAAAGCTGCAGGTGTGTCTCGGCCCATGGATTCCAGAGGGAAAATGGGAAGATAGCTGATTAGAAAAGAGGATTCAAAGAAAAGATCAAATCATTGTCATTATCAATGCAAAAGGATTGCCCGCATTTTTGCTTTGTAATGAGATGTCGTCAAAAAATAAAAAGAATCATTTGGAAAGGCATTTCCAGGAAGGGCAAGCTAAATATGCAGCCGAAACACCAAGCTGGGAGGGAGAGAAAAAGTGCGATTGCAGAACTTCTGGACAGATTAGAGGAGAGCACAGATGGATTTAAGAAGTGGATTGCATCTCCAAACTCCACTACTGCTGCTTTAGTTGCAAGGATGGAAAACCATCCTCAGATCAAACAGGTAGCGCTCTGATGCAGGGATGTTAACTTTCTTCCATTTTTTCCCCCAAATCCTAAAAATATAAATCACACCAAGGAACGATGGTGGTGGTAGGGTTGGGAATTGAAAAGATTTTCACGATTCCGATTCCCTTTTCGATTCTATGAAACGATTCAATTCTTTATCGATTCTTTTTTCGATTCCAATTTGGGGGAAAAAGGAGAACAAACAGTTTGATTATCAGCATCAACTTTGTTTACTTAACTATTGCACAATCTTACAAACTCAACAAGATGAAGATGTCCACAGGAAATGTGAAACTGGAGTAACATCCGTGTTTAAATGAAAAATGAATACAAGAACAAACTTAATAACCAACAATGTCTAATAACAAATGATGGGATAATAACCTATTTTAAATAACAAAAAATACTAATTATAAAACAGTAGTAGGGAAAATTAACAGTTCTTTTGCAGAAAGATGAGCATATCTGCTTTTTCTGAAAGGATACGGGATCTTTCAGGGCTTATGGTGTCTCCAGCCGTGGAGAACACCCTCTCAGATGGGGTGGAGGAAGCCTGCACACAGAGGTAGTTTTCAGCCAGTCCAGATAGCAAGGGCAGCGTATCTTGCTTGTTCCACCACCACAGTGTGGCGCTATCCCTGCAGGGGATGGAGGGCAAGCTTTTATAGAGCTGGATTTCCTGATCTACCCTCTGGGCTAAGGAAAGACGGGGCTTTGATTCACAAAGTGACCGCAGCTCGTTGTCTTCCTCCTCGAATAGTTCTTCCAACTTGCGTAACTTGCGTAACTTACGTAACTTGCGTAACTTACGTAAAAAACGTGACGTAAGGCGTGCTCCCCAGAGCCGACGCTCTAGGCTCTGGTGCTGCGGGAATCGAAAAAAGAATCGTTCAGCAAGCTGCCAAACGATGCCATGGAATCGGAAAATACGGAACCGGTTCTGAACAGGAACCGGTTTTCGATTCCCATCCCTAGGTGGTGGACGATGTGGGATTTCAGGGTTAGAGAGCTCTGCTCTGATGGATGTCAGCTCCTGCTTGGTTCCTCATGACTCAATCATCTCCTCCCAACAGAAACACGTCCACCATAGAAAGATTCCTTTATCGTGTTTCTATAATTTCATCAATGCAACAAAATTTAAAACCGCGATGAAGGGCGGTGAAGCGGAGCGCGATGGTGGCTTTCACTACTCCTCCCTCACCTCATACTGCTATGTGACATTTGCTTCAGGATAAACCTTTAATAATGAATGATTATTATATATTTAAGCCCACATGGTCCTTTTCTATAGTAGGATAATACACTTAGAGCCCGTGTTGCCATACAAGGCATATATAAGAGTTTTACATTTTTGTGACTCCAGACAGATTTGTTTTTTGTTTTTTTTGGTCCAATATGGCTCTTCGATCAGTTTGGGTTGCCAACCCCTGCTCTAAGCGATTTCCTAAAAAGCACTATTTGCAAGCTGCTTCTTATTTGTGGAAAAAAAAGAAAACAGGTTAGGATGAATTATTGAAATAATAATTAGTTGAAGACTTAAAGGTGCTGTAGGTGATCTTAGAAAAATTGTTCCAGCATATTCCAGCTATATTTTTTAACATACACAAGCATGCCTCTCCCTTCAGAGCACCCCTCGAAACCACGCCTTTAAAACACATGAATGCTGTCTGCAGCGAGTCGCTGATCTGGCAGCTGGCAGGGAGACAGACACAGCACTGATGATGTAGAGTGATATGATTACTCCTCTGAAACAGTTTAACGCCTAAATTAACTTAAAATGCCGAAATCTGCCAGCAAAACTTGTTCATTTTTATTATCCTGATGCCTGAAGTTTGGATTACGTACATGAAAAAAGCCTTCCAGCCGCTGCGGCAAGGAGGCGACCGGGCCAGAGGCTGCCGTTGAATGGGATTCCTAGTGACAGGACACCGCTGGTGTACGGAGGTCTGAGCGGCTCCAACAGAAGTAATATTTGAAGGCAGGATGGTAATCTGGATGAACTGATTGCACCGAATCTTCCAGACCTTCTATTTCACTGCTCGCTAAGCGGCTGTGGGGAGATCTTTAAGCCACATGGTAAAAAATGCGTCAGAAAAGATCTCCTACTGCAACTTTAAACTTTACAAATGTGTCTGAAGCGGTATTTTCCTGCATCCAAACTGCAGGCAAACGTGCATCACATGTGACTTTTCATAGTCTAAACAGTTGAGCTCTGATCTTTTCACCCCCTTAAAAAAAAAAAAAAATCAGATTTAAGCCGCTTCCATATGTGGCGCTAAATCAGATACGTTCATTTACAAAGCATCTACAGTGAGATGCGTCATCCTTTTCCATCACTGCCGGGTCTCTCCACACTTGAACAGGCATCAAAAATCAGCTTCTGGAGGTCATAAAATATGTTCCAGCCGGAGCAACAAATCACTACCTTCTAGCTCTGCCCCTGCATATGGAGAGTTCTTGCAGCAGAGAAAAATCACATTTTTTTTTTTTTTTGAGCATGCAGTCACTTAATCAGACTGAGAATCTTCTAGCCATGTTCACCATCAGTTTTCTCTTTGGAATCTTTTCACTAAAGGGTCACAGAACCACTGTTGTCTTTGCTTGAAACTTCTTAAACATGCAATTCAGGAAAAAAAATGTTGTAGACACTTCTGTGTTTTTCTGTGATGCCCTGCAGGTACGTCATGGCTGCGATGCCACCTGTTGGAGTCAGGGCCCCTCTGGCTGCATGCAGACGCTCCTGCACCGAGCCGTGGACGAGAACAATGAGGTCTCTGCTTGCTTCCTCATCCGCAGGTTTGCTACACATCAAGACACACGTTGTCCTAATCAGGAACACTCCTGTTATTTTTAATGAAGCAATGAGGCATCATCTCCAGGGTTGGACAAGTTACTTTTAAGTTATTCAATTACTTTAAGTAACTTGTAACTATAACCCATAAGTAATGTTATGATCTAAAGATTCAAAGAATTGAGAAATGTTCATATTATTTTAAATACAACCTGAGGTTCAATGATGGAATATAAAGTGTTATGGATTAATAAATGATTAATTCAAAGGTCCACACATCTGAAAACTCTTGCCGTCTGTGTACGCCACAGGTCGGTATCGCGTGTGTCTGTGTGTGTATGTGTGTGTGTCTGTGTGGTGTGTGTGGGTGGGTGGCTGGGTGTGTGTGTGTTCTCATTTTTGTTAAGAGGCTGAAAAGTAACTTTCTAGAGTATAGACTACCTCCATCTAGTGATGTCGGTCTATTGATTTTGATGTATTGATTGAAAATTGTTCATTATTATCTTGGTTAATTAACATCTAATGTTAACTCTACTGCATTTTATAGCAGTAGGGTAAAATGCTTGTCTTTGTTCAAAAGACTGTATTAACTGTAAAGACTGTCTTTTACATCAGCCTGTTTTCAGGGCCTTTTTTTTGGCTACATATTTGTTATTTTTGGCATAAATCAGTGTCTGTGACCTGTTTTCATTTTAAAAAAAGAACATTGGCACAAACCTAGCCTGTATGTATTTTTTTTGTATGTCATCGAGAGCATTTAAATGATTTTCAATCAGGAAAAAAATGTGCGATTAAAATGCGATTAATCGCGAGTTAACTCAGGCATTGATGCGATTTACGCGATTAAAAAAATTGAATCGACTGACAGCACTAGTTGAACTAGATCTGCTATTTTCACAACTTTTGTGAGACACTTTTTTTTTATAAAGTAGGGCATTTATTCATAAAAAGGTTTATTTGAATTCTATAAATCAAAGTTTTCTGTCCAACAGCAACGATGAACTGCACAGCAGTATTCTATACCAGCTACTGTAGGATCTAGGCTAGAGCTGTCAGTCTGGTAAACAATCTGGTTGTTATTTGAAATTGTAAAGGTTAACTTTTTTTGCAACATTTTTCATCTTCCAGTCACAGCTTGAAGAGCAGAGTTAGTCAGAGTTGAGCGCGCAGTATCAGACGATTCTGGATTATTTTTACCCCTGCTGCTGCTTGCATGGTCCATCTGTGTTCATGCAGAATGTGCAGCGCTGCTAGGCAGGCGGGCAACACGACCAAACACAGCAGCATGGCTGATACTGCTTAGTTTGTCTAACAGGTTGCAGCACAATGATGCATTTGAAATGTCTGACAGACCACCCGCTAACAATTCTATTTGGCCTCGTCCGGTTACCGAAAAACTCACACCTGTGACTCGTCATGTTTAGCTCGTCAGTTCTTGTTATCCTCATTTAAAAAAAATAAAATAAACATTTCGTCATCATTAATGAAAATGACACTGAATTAAACGCGGTCATACTATTCCAGAAAAACATGAAAGGACTGTATGCTCCCAGGATTTTTTTGTGGAGAAAATGTAAACATGCAGGTAAAATCATTTTAGCCCTGAGAAGGTAAAGAACGTTAATTAAAGGCAGCAGCTGTCTGTCAGTGACATGAGGGGCTTTTTTAATGAGAAAACCATTTAGCTATTTAGCCTTCAGTAGCGCTTTACTATAAGAATGCTGTCATAGAATATGGGGATCTGCGCCTTGATCTCTGCGGTGCCATTGCATGCGCCACGAGTGCCTCATACCAGCAAACTAGTCCTTTATCCATGGCAAGAAACTAATAATGAATCTGTAATGGCCAATGCAGCACTCAGTTTTACACACTAATTATTTACAGTTACTGGAAAAGTAATGCATTCACCATAACACGTTAATAATGTCAGTAGTAATGTCCCCAACATTGTCCGTGTCATAGAAGTGTACAAAAGCTTAGAGGCCTGGGTAGTCTTTCATCCGTTCTGTGGGTGTGTGTGTTCAGTGGGTGTGATGTAAACAGCCCAAGGCGACCTGGTCCTAATGGAGAAGGAGACGAAGAAGCCAGAGATGGACAATCGCCCCTCCACCTGGCGAGCAGCTGGGGTCTGGAGGACGTGGTGCAGTGCCTTTTGGAGTTTGGAGCTAATGTCAATGCACAAGTGAGTTCAGTCTGGTCTTTGTGTTTATTTATGATCCTGATATGTTTTGCTTTCCAGCAGAGCCGGTTGTGAATGTAGCTGCTCATGATGTTTTCTTTACTTTTCAGGATGCAGAGGGCAGAGCTCCCATCCACGCTGCTATTAGCAACCAGCACAACGTCATCATCCAGCTCCTCATTTCCCATCCAGACATTCGGCTCAACCTCCGCGATCGCCAAGGAATGACACCGTTTGCCTGCGCCATGACGCACAAAAACAACAAAGCTGCTGAAGCCATCCTAAAGCGGGAGCCAGGTGCTGCTGAGCAGGTAGCGCAGTAAAAAAAAGACGCCTCTGTAAAGCTCAACTGCACGAATCTTTCAACACTAAATGATCCCCATCTGCCCAGGTGGACAACAAAGGGAGGAACTTCCTCCACGTAGCTGTTCAAAACTCGGACATCGAAAGCGTCCTGTTCCTCATCAGCGTCCAAGCCAATGTCAACTCCAGAGTTCAGGACTCTGCCAAACTCACGCCTCTTCACCTGGCCGTGCAGACTGGCTCCGAGATCATCGTCCGCAACCTGGTACAACAAACCTTTATCTAAAGAATCACTTCAAATGTTTCTGGGATTTCTGACATTCACTTTATTTTCCATCCAGCTTCTTGCAGGAGCCAAAGTTAACGAGCTGACCAAGCACAGGCAGACGGCGCTGCACCTGGCTGCCCAGCAGGACCAGGCCACTATTTGCTCCGTACTGCTGGAGAACGGCATCGATTTTGCTGCTGAGGATGAAAATGGCAACAACGGTATGTCATTGATTAGAAAATGCAGCGCTTTTTGTTTTTCTTCTCTTGCTCCGGAAAAATGTAACCTTTTATAGACAACTTTTTCTGTCAACGTCACAGATTCATCAGATCGTTAGCTGGACGCAAAACAAACCGACAACTAGGGGGTGGCCACTATAAACCAGCACAGGGGCGGCTACACAAGGAGCTTAGATTAGCAGATTGTTTTGTTACTGGTTGCCAGATAATGGCTCTTTCTCAATGTGCGTTCTTGAGCGCTAGAACGAGATTGCATCAAATCCCCGGATGTTGTTCTCACCCCGCCCTCTTTACCCAGCATGCATCAGAGCAGACTTGTTCATTCTTGAGATTTACAGCTGTCCCAGCATGCACTGTGGCAGCAGCAGCAGCTTTCAATGGAGCGCTCCATTGAAAGTATGTATGTATGTATGAATGAATGAACATTTTGCATTTAAGATGAAAAAATAAATACTTCATCTGCCAATATGCCATATCCAGATCTCCACAAGTGGAAAAGTTTGAGCTTCAAATGGTCATTCCAAAAAACAATCCACTGGACTTTGTTTCCAAGTTTTTGGACGTTTTGCTTCTCATACAGGAAGCTTTTTAAATTCAAGATGTCAGGAATAGCGTTGAGTTCCAGGCTTTATGCAGTAGCCCAACAAAGCCTTGTTTTGGCTTAGAAAACATGCAGATTGAAACGGATGAACGGGTCCACCCCTTTGGAATGGGGGTTGTTTGGCCTCTTTTGTTAGCCTGCAGTACCCCATACCTGTCTATGTCTCTTAAAGGGGTTGTTAAAGGGAATTGCTGGCCTGGCTGAATAGGCAAGGTCTTCTGTTCCCCTGTAAAGGGGATGGGGCTGCGATCATAGCAGGAAGGGATTACCTCAGTTGCTGCATTGTAGGTTTTTGAAAGCTAAAAAACTTTGATTCCAAGTTTGAAGACACTTACTTTTTTGGAATGACTATGAGCTGGATGACTGAGAAACTTCACCCACAGTTTCACTTGGTGTAATTTCCATATGCAAAATAATTGTTAGTTGCAGCCCTGGTTGGAGCCATCAGACCTGCTTTTACACACATTCTCAGTTTTGATGGGAATGAATAAATGGATCCATCCAGCTGCTTCATGCATCTTATCATTGATGATTGTTTTGGATGTTTTTATGCCTTTTAAAAAATGAGTGTTTTTGTGTTTTCATTTTTTTGGGTGAACATGCCGTGTTGCATGGATCTAATTTTAAGGTTTTGCAACAACCAAACAATTTTGAAAGGAGGCGTTATTCTTGTCTTTGAAACTGATGCCATGCAGGAACCAGTCAGTCCAGTTTAACAGCAGCAGGTTGGAGTAAACAGGAATCACAGTCTAAGGTGGTGGAGGTTTGGGGCAGGGCAGCTTTACACTCCAGCTTATCCTCACATGGCCCGTGTTTTCACTTGCTTCCAAATTATTTGAAGGGAGTTATGTCGTTGAGAAACATGAATAAATGTAATTTTTTTTACTTTAAATGAAAGTCTTATTTTTATCCTGTCAGGATTCTAATAGTCATCCTTTTTTCTGCCACCGTTTCTCCAGCTCTGCATCTGGCTGTGATGCAGGGCCGCCTTAACAATGTCAGAACCCTTCTCACAGAGTCCAACGTTGATGCCGAGGCCTTCAATCTCAGGTACGCCAACCCTCTCAGTTACATGTTTCACTAAAGCCAGGCATACATTGTAAGACTTTTTTTTTTTACCCTTTTTGGGCCGATTTTCCAGTCGTACGTGAATTTCAGCCTCATCGTGTGTCATGTAGCATACAGGGGGTAACGAGGGGCGATCAGCCTCTCACGACCACCTCCCCATCAGGAATCATAAGGTCGGGAGAAAATCAAACATGTTTGGAATTCAGTCGGCCATCTTAAGGTGATTGTGGACAAATTCTGCTGTCGAAGCAGAGCTACGAGCCGATTTACCAGAACCTCCACTGCGCATGTGCAAACAAGGGAGTTCTTCTTCTTCTTCTTCCAGATTGACGAGTCTGTTCAGAGCTGAGTCCGACATGATTTTTCAGACGTACATTGTGAGCAGGTGGATCACATCAGAGCATCGGGCTGCAGTGTGAGAACATGCATTGTGAGCTGTGAACTTTTAAACCGTGTGATTTCATCATACAGTTTGAGCTGTAGCTGCGTGCAACGATATCGCACAGTGTATGCCTGGCTTAATGTGCAGAAAAACCACCATGACAGCAAAGAAATGGGAAATATTAAAGGAAAAAAAATCTCTGCTCAGGGGTCAGTCACTGATGCACGTGCTGGGCCATTATGGTAAAGAGAACGCGGCAGCCATCTTTGAGTTATTCCTGGAGTGTATGCCAGAATATCCTCTAGACAAGCCAGATGGAGACGGGAATGCTGGTACTGTTGTGTTAATTTTCATTTTTACTTTTCTGCACATGCTGCCTTTTGGTGTAAAAACAGTCTGTGATCATATCTGCTTCATCGCAGTTCTGCTTCTGGCCTACATGAAAGGGAACGCCAACCTGTGCCGCGCCATTGTGAGGGCCGGGGCCCGCCTGGGGGTCACAAACAATCAGGGCATCAATATTTTCAACTACCAAGTTGCAACAAAGCAATTGCTTTTCCGCCTTCTAGGTGGGTTTTCATGCTTTTTTTCCTCCTCTGTTTTTTCTTTCTTCGTGTAATTAAACCATCTTCTGGTTCCAAAGATATGCTGTCCAAAGAGCCCCCTTGGTGTGATGGGTCCAACTGCTATGAATGCAACGCCAAGTTTGGCGTTACGACACGGAAACATCACTGGTTAGTCAGCCCACTTTTCTTCTTACGGTGGTTCGCAGGTTTCAGAACAACAAATGTGTCACAAACTCTGCTGCTTCTGTGTTTTTGGTCAAAGTTTCTACCGTTTAATGAGAATCAAGCATGAGGCTGTAGAGATCCAGTCACAGATGAAATAATTGGATGATGCACATATTTATATTAAAACATAAATACCCCCATTTTATATAACCAAATATATTATCCATAAATGGACCGTGTTATTATTATTGTTATGAATACTATTATTCCAATTATTATGAGGAGCAGTAGTATTATTTGCACTGTGTTGCTGCCCTATTTTAACTACAGAACCACAATGAAATGAAGGAATAAACTATTAAGTGAATCTGTCAGTTGGTTCTGTTTGTGTTTCTAAAATAACAATTTCCCAGAGAATCCAATCACAGATTTAATATAAACTGCCTGAAAGCTGCCTGTAGATCTTCGTATCAGTACTGCTGTGTTTGATATTACCGGTAATAGGAATGCCTTGCTTAGAATGATGGAGCGGCATCATTCAGCCGATATCACATCCAGCTAATTAGTCAATCCCAGAGCCGATATCCGATCAGTGCATCTGTGTTATAAAGGCTAGAATTGAATGCATTAGGTTTGTAATGGAGAATATGGGTTTTAAAGGCCTTTGACCTTATTCTGGGGTTAGTAAACCAGTGGTTAAATTTTTTACCCCCCAAACATTTAATGAAGCTAATAGTGTTTAGTTTTTTCTTTCTCTGTTTACGTAATAAAAAATAAAAAAAATGTTACACAAATCTTAATTCAATCAAACAAACAGTGATGCATAGCAAATGCAGAGAGCAGCAGTGCATGCATGCAATCTTAAGGCAAGGCTGCTGAACGAATCAGTGAGCGCATGCACTCGTCAATGCCGATACAAGAAAACACAATATTGGCTCTTCGACAAAAAAAAAATTGTTTATTGATAAAATGGCATTCCTACAAGCTATTGCAGGTTTTTAAAGAACATTTTGATTTACCATGGAATGAAAAAGAATGATTATTTATTTTTTATATAAAATCTATTGAACAAAACCCAAAATCAGTCCTTGCTCTTTATTATTATTGTTAGTTTGAAAATAAAAACAAAAAATAATTTCTTGTTTAAAATTGCAACAGATTTTCTATTGCAGATATTTAACAAAATAATGCAACATTTGCAGCTGTGAACAACTTTTATTTTCCTGGGCTCAGACTAAAATGGCTCTTTGGATCAGAAAGGGAACAGAGCTCTTAGATTAGAGTCTAATCTAAGGCTCTGTAATCCAAAGGCGTGTCGCTAGAAGTGTCGGTGTCACGCCATGCTCTACTGTGCCGAAAAAACATCAACATTGCTGGTTTATTGCAGGACTTCTTCCCATCGCTTCTCTTCTTCCAGCAGCGTCTTTAAAGCAACCATTTTGCTGCTCTGATTTAATCAGACAGATGGGTGGTGCAGGCTGCTCTGAGTTGTCCATAAAAGGAGTGAAATGATGCTGCAGGATCCAAACGACAGAATGGGTTCCTCTGTAATAACTGTGTAAACTATTGGAGTTCAGTCCAATTTATTAAAGGAAATGAGCTTCTTGAACAGTTTTCACAGTTCAAAAATTAGCTTTATTTTTGTTCAAAAAAGCTCAATGAATGAATTATTAAGCTGAAAGTACACACACACACACACACACACACACACACACACACACACACACGAGTTAATAATCAGATGAAAATGAAAAAAAGTGGAAAAATACTTGCTCCATAAATGTTTTGTGGTCATCAAAATGCTTCAGTGTTATTCTATGGGACAATTAGCACAATCTGGCCTCAAAGCTCTGGAACCGTTAAACCTAGAGGTCTGAAATTTTCTGCAGTTGTTGTTGACATGATGTGGGACACATGTAATACAATGAGACTGTTAAAAAAAAGACCTATTATTTTCAAGAAGGAAAAAAAACAACTTTGAGTCATGTTTGAACTGGATCAGTTTAGGCTCTGTTTTAGTCACACTGCTTTTATTTATATTTTCAGAAACTAGAATGTGCTAGCTTTCAAATGACATATCACACATGTCACTTTACAGTTCCTCAGTTATTTGCTTTTACATCGGGGGATGCAAAATAGGCAAGGATTACCCAAAATTAGGTGGGTTTTTAAGAGGTTAAAAAGAAGCAGCAGAGTTTGTGGTAAGATTTCTCTCCTGTGAGGATTTAACTGTTAAATAAACCAGCTTTTAGAAACGATCTTGTCCAACACTTTAATCGGTCCCTTTCTTCCTCTCTAGCCGCCATTGTGGGCGCCTGTTGTGCCACAAGTGCTCTATAAAGGAGATTCCAATCATCAAGTTTGACCTGAACAAGCCAGTCCGAGTGTGCGACATCTGCTTCGACGTACTGACTCTGGGCGGGGTGTCCTAATGCCACGACCGGCAACTCTTCCATCGGCCATGGCCGACTCGCCACTGCTATTCAGGAACACCAGGAGAACGGACACCAGAAGCAGGAGATTCTAAGGACCTCCATCTTTCTACTACTCCGGCCTACGAGGAAAAGCTATTAATCTTCTAGAGGGAAACGTTTTCTGTTTGTCGGCTTCAATCAAAGCATCTTAAGGCAGATATGAGCAGCTCCACCAGCAGCAGGATGGAGTTTCTCAACATCAGTGATGTTTTTGCTCCTGTTATTACAGGCAGAAATCTGGATCCTCCCAAAGCAGAACCACACAGCATTATGAAATGAATAATTTATATAGATTTAATGATTCATGCAGTAATCTGTCACATTCTTATGATTTTCTAATAACTGACCCAAACAAAGAATTAAGGTTATTAAAACAAACTGAATTAAACAGAAGTGCTTTCATAGTTGTTCCAGCAAAGAACATGTTGAGTAAATGGAAATTTGAAAACCATGCCATCCAGAAATGAAAGAAAAATGGGAAAACTTCTAAATATCAATGTTTTTATAGTATCTTTGATTTTTTTCCTCATTCTTTTTTTTGAGATTGCGTTCTTTTCACGCTGTGTTTTGGTTTTGCAGATTCTTTTCACTTTAAGCCCAATTGGAAAGATGGCTACTTAACCAATGAGATTGCAGCTCCTCACTGCAGAACAAACATCCTGGAGAGAATGTGATCCGTAAAATGCAATCTGAAAAAGAGAAATTTGGAAAAATAACATTAAAATTTTTTTAATAAACATTTAGAAAAAATAAAATCGTATTAGGTTTACAAAGTTTTTTTTTTTTTTTTTTTTTTTCAAATTTCCATTTATAAAACATGTTTGCCTCCAGCTGTAAAATAATCTTTCATCCACTAAAATAATGAAGAACCTGCCAGCTAAATTCATCTCATGTTTATGCAAACAGTTTATTTTGTAGCCTTCATACATCAATTATATCTTAAATCATGTTTCAAAAAGGCTCACTAATTAACATTCCTTTTTTTTTTTAACCAACCATGATGTGCTCATTCCTACCTGTAACCATGGCGACCCATCCCATTTGGTGCACTTTATCAGGAGCATTTCAGATCACTGAGGGATGTGGACTAAGAGGAACAGCCGAGTGGAGCGGCCTCTTCAACTATTGTTCAATTGTACAGATAAATGTGTGATATTTTTTGACCACTACAACTGTTTTGTACTTAAATGCAGTTTGTGCTTGTCATTGTGACAAACCTAAAAAGAAAAAAAAATGATTTCGCCTCTGTTAATCTTTTATGCACATTGTTTAATCTTTTATGCACATTGTATCGTATCTGTACGCTCAGATATCTAGCCTGTCTCTTCCTGGTGTATTCTTTTAGAGAAAGGGAGGACAACTTTACATAAAGGTCATCGACAAACTGTCCAGTGTCTCATATTCTTTATAAAAGGGTTCATTGTGATTTCCTTTTCTGAAATGTTTCCTGCAGGGATGACTCGGGCCTTGTGTTTTTTCCTTTTGACCAGACTCAGTCATCTCCCAGCATGCATGAGTCAGCGTCTGAGGCGCAGCCATCGTATTTCTGCAGGTTGGGATCTTCTGCTGCTGCAGACGGATCTCTGATGCAAACACACTGCACACGACCGGAAACGGGGGAGAAAAGCTTTCGTGGTACACCCTTCCAGTCTCTTATTACTCCACCGCTGCATAAGAGGGAAAGGAAAAGAAAAGCACTATAAATGCGGATTGATTTTTATTTTTCCCTATAAATGTTTCATTCTGTGGAACGTCAGCCCCCAGCCATTTTCATACCTCTTAGTGGAGCACCAGACTCTTCCGCTTCGGCCTGAGCTCCACTCAGAGTTGCAGGCTGGAAAGTGAACCTTCTCCGCCTCGGACTGGGCCTTCAGTCTCTGGCCCTCTGCTCGTAATGCTTCCACCTCCAGCAGGGCCTCTGTGGGCTGTCCGCTCTCATCATAGAACCGTCCCACCACCAACCCTGAAATTACCAACATTCTTCAGATAGGATTTCCACCTACAGATCAGTGCACAAAGGATATTTCACATTTAGTCTTCACCATTTCAGTTTTACATCTACAGCACCTTCATGTATACAAAACATCTATAATCACGCCAAGAAACGTCATGCATTTAATCTGGATTGTTTTAATAGTGGGATAAAACACTTCAACTAAAGCATTATTATTAAAATTATATTCAGTTTCTCTGAGTTGTACATATAAAAAAAATGCCTACAATGCATCTTCAAACTTCGAAACAAAGTCCAGTGGATTGTTTAACTTCAAATAAAAAAAAAGCCCCGTTCCTCTTATCTACTCTTCAAAATAGGCAAGACAAGATGTGCAATTAATTTTCATTGGTCAGAAAATGGACTCTTGTCCAAACTTGTGTCTAAATCCCATATTATTGAACGAGAGCAAATTTTATACTGGTATTATGGTTAGATTAGGGCTGGTTAAAAATGAAGAAACATAGTTTTGCCAAACAAAACGGGGTGGACTGCTGTCTGCAACAAAATAAAATGAGAAAATAGATTATAAATATGTTTTACAGACGAAGTTCACCAGAAGATGACTCCAGCAGGTGACCTATCCTGCTCTATACATGACCCTTTTTAAATAGGTTTAGACTCAGTTTAGCATAGAAATAAATTGATCCATGTAAGAACTGGTTTTCAAATGCATAATGAAAATCTCATTAGAGCAACAAATTTACAAAGTATGCTGAAAGGAACCTTCTGGCGAGAAAAAATGAAAATGTCTTGTCGTCCTATCAGTGTTTAGGTTATCAACTTAAGTCTGACCCAGATGGTGATAATAGTAAAAATGTGTTTTAACTTAGACAACTTTTATCGTCATTTTGTACACACACAGTACACAAAAAGAAATTTAATTTTGTGCAGCTTTCACAACATTTCCATTCTATAAAGTGCAGCAGTGATCAAATATGAACAGTGGGAGAAAAAAAAACATGGTGCAAAATTGCATCGATACAGAAGTTCAGAGCATTAAACATACATGGTGCAAATATGCAGTAAAAACACCTGAAGATGATGAAAAATATGGAGAACCAGCAGAGTCACTAAAAAAAGGTGAATTGTAATTGTACATTTTAAATAAAAATCTATATTTTTAAAATAGCTGTATTTTTTAAATCTACTATTAAATACTTAAATTTGAAAATTATTTTTCAAACCATAAATGATTAAATGATTCAACCTGCTTGAACTTTTCAACATTTCGCCACATTTCAGGCCTCATACAAAGATAGAAAATTGTACATTTTTTGTAAGGAATCAACAAGTGGGACACAATCATCTAGTGGAACAAGATTTACTGGATATTTTAAACTAATAAATAAAAGCGGGGGGGGGGGGGGGGGGGGGGGGGTGTGGAGATGCAAAATGAATAAGCTCCTTTACTTTTAGTGCAGCAAACTCTCTCCAGAAGTTCAGTGAGGATCTCGGAATGATCCAATGTTGATCTGAAAGACTGACGATAAATAAAATCCACCTCTGTATAAATGCACCTGCTCTGTGATTTTCTCAGAGGTCTGCTAAAGGAGCAGAGAGCATCATGAAAAACAGGGAAAACACCAGGCATGTCCCTGATACTGTGAAGAAGTTTAAAGCTGGATTTGGATATAAAAAGATTTCCCAGCATAGAAAAGTGCTTGGGCTAAGATTAAAGGAAAATAAAATACGAGACATCCCGGCTCACAGTCCAACCTGGAAGGTGGCAGTAATGCACCTATACAGGTGCTGGTCATAAAATTAGAATATCATGAAAAAGTAGATTGATTTCAGTAATTCCATTTAAAAAGTGAAACTTGTATATTATATTCATACATTACATACAAACTCATATATTTCAGATGTTTATTTTGTTTAATTTTGATGATTACAAATGACAACAAATGAAAATCTCAAATTCATCATATCAGAAAATTAGAATATTGTGAAAAGGTTCAAAATTGATGGCCCCTGGTGCCACACTCTAATCAGCTAATTAACTCAAACCACCTGCAAAAGCCTTTAAATGGTCTTTCAGTCTAGTTCTATAGGCTACACAATCATGGGGAAGACTGCTGACTTGACAGTTGTCCAAAAGACGACCATCGACACCTTGCACAAGGAGGGCAAGACACAAAAGGTCATCGCTAAAGAGGCTGGCTGTTCACAGAGCTCAGTGTCCAAGCACATTAATAGAGAGGCGAAGGGAAGGAAAAGATGTGGTCGAAAAAAGTGTACAAGCAAGAGAGATAACCGCACCCTGGAGAGGATTGTGAAACAAAACCCATTCAAAAATGTGGGGGAGATTCACAAAGAGTGGACTGCAGCTGGAGTGAGTGCTTCAAGAACCACCACACACAGACGTATGAAAGACATGGGTTTCTGCTGTCGCATTCCTTGTGTCAAGCCACTCTTGAACCACAGACAGCGTCAGAAGCGTCTTGCCTGGGCTAAAGAGAAACAGGACTGGACTGCTGGTGAGTGGTCCAAAGTCATGTTCTCTGATGAAAGTAAATTTTGCATTTCCTTTGGAAATCAAGGTCCCAGAGTCTGGAGGAAAAGAAGAGAGGCACTTCATCCACGTTGCTTGAAGTCCAGTGTAAAGTTTCCACAGTCAGGGATGGTTTGGGGTGCCATGTCATCTGCTGGTGTTGGTCCATTGTGTTTTCTGAGGTCCAGGGTCAACGCAGCCACATACCAGGAAGTTTTAGAGCACTTCATGCTTCCTGCAGCTGACCAACTTTTTGGAGATGCAGATTTCATTTTCCAACAGGACTTGGCACCTGCACACAGTGCCAAAGCTACCAGTACCTGGTTGAAGGACCATGGTATCCCTGTTCTTAATTGGCCAGCAAACTCTCCTGACCTTAACCCCATAGAAAATCTATGGGGTATTGTGAAGAAGAAGATGCAATACACCAGACCCAACAATTCAGAAGAGCTAAAAGCCACTATTAGAGCAACCTGGGCTATCATAACACCTGAGCAGTGCCACAGACTGATCGACTCCATGCCACGCCGCATTGCTGCAGTAATACAGGCCAAAGGAGGCCCAACTAAATACTGAGTGCTGTACATGCTCATACTTTTCATGTTCATACTCTTCAGTTGGCCAACATTTCTATAAATCCTTTGTTTTTATTGGTCTTCAGTAATATTCTAATTTTCTGATATGATGAATTTGAGATTTTCATTTGTTGTTATTTGTAATCATCAAAATTAAACAAAATAAACATCTGAAATATATGAGTTTGTATGTAATGTATGAATATAATATACAAGTTTCACTTTTTAAATGGAATTACTGAAATCAATCTACTTTTTCATGATATTCTAATTTTATGACCAGCACCTGTACATTGTTTTCCAACCACCTTTAAAATACACAAGAAGAGGAAATGATTTCCCAAGCTCTTAACATCCTAAGGAGCATTGTGCAATTAATAATATTGAAATAGAAGGAGTATCAGACCACTGCAGGTCTATCAAGACCCGCCCGTCCCTCTGAACTTCAGCTAAAACAAGATCGGAGATGCAGACAAGAGTTCATCAGTCTGGATGAACTGCAGAGATCTACAGCTGAGGGGGCAGACTGTCCATAGGACAAGAATCTTAAAGAAAAACATTTAATAAAGATATCCATAAAAAGTATTGTTTAAAGTTTGCCACAAGCCACCTGGGAGACACAGCAAACGTGGGAGTAGGTGCTTTGGTCAGATGAAACCAAAATCAAAATTTATTTAAAAAGGTTATGTTTGGGACAAAAGCAGCACAGTTAATCATCCAGAACACACCGTCCCCACTGTCAAACATGGTGGTGGCAGCATCATGGTTTGGGCCTGCTTTTCTTAAGCAGCTAAAGGGAAGATGGGTGGAGCTAAATACAGGAGAATACCTGTTGGAGTCTGAGACTGCGATGGAGATTTATCTTCAATGTTTTTAGAACAGCTCAGTAGCAGTTCATTATTGGCTCAATACTTTGGTTACAGTCTATTAATGTTGTTAGAACAGCCTAGTAACAGCTTAATAGCTGCTTAGTTATAGCCTATTAATGTTTTAGAACAGCTTAGTAACAGCGAACTAGCATTTTATTAGCAGCTTAATAACACTTTAGTTACAGTCTTAATGTTTTAGAACTGCAGGTCATTAACAGCTTAGTAGCAGTTTATTAACAGCTTAGTAACAGTTTACTCACAGCCTAATAATGTTTTAGAACAAGTTAGGAACAGTTTAGTAACAGTTTATAAACAGCTTTTGAACCTTTTAGCAATTGATTTTTTTTTTACAAGGGTCAGGCAAAAACTAAGTGTGAGAGGGGAAAAACACTAATGCAAAAAGGATTTATTAGAAATAGATTTATCTTTTTAAATGTGTTATTAAAAATGTATTTATGATCATATTGAAGAGTGTTTTTTTTTTACTAGGATTAAAGAATTAAGTAAATGAACACAATTAACTGTCAAACTTGCAAAACTTTAACACTGGCTAAAAAGTAAAACTCAGAAATAATCCTTAATAATTTAATTTAAAATACCCAGTTAAAATGTTTTTCAAGTTGTATTTCTAATTCCAGTAATCAAATATTTATTTTTTCTTTTTGGGTGACACCCCTATAATGTGCTCCCCACAAAATAAATAAATAGAAATCTAAAAATCAAAGCGTCCTTACCAACATGGTGGTATTGCCTGTGATAAAAGTCCAGCCAGTCATAAAGGGCCCCCACCTGCAGAGGAGACAAACTGGACACATCATCTATCAGCCCACTTTCTGTAAAGTCTCCCGTGATGAAGGCCAGGGAGGCATCTGTCCCTGAAAACACAAACAGTGTTGGACACAGCAGCACATGAGCATTATTGGTTAGAAATCAGTCAGAGGCTGCATCACCTGCCAGAGAGTGATAAGCACCACCGGGTCCATAATGTTTGTGTCCTTTCTGCACATCAAAAACCTGCCCCAGAAGAGCCAAATAAAGACCTTTGCTGCCCTCCTCTCCATTGTATAGAGACAGGTCCATCCTGTTTAATAGCCGGGCTCCTGGGGGCCCCTTCTCTGACTCATTTCCCACATTAACAGGCGAATCGGGAGTGAAAAACAGCACTGCCGCTAAAACAGACAAACACGTCACCAAAGCGTAACTCAGCATGTTTGGTTTTCCGTCTAAGAACATCGCTTTATTCTTTTAATGTGGAAAAGGAGAGAAGAAGCTGGTCCTACAGATCCACTGGTGACTGAAGTGCGCATGCGCGAACGGCTCAGCGATCCACCGGCGACTAAAGAGCGCATGCGCGAACGGCTCAGCGATCCACCGGTGATTGAAGAGCGCATGCGCGAGCAGCTCAGTTATCCACCTGCTGCTTCTCTTTGGTGTCAAAGAAACCAGATGTTTGCATTACCGCCACATGCTGTTATGGAGTGCGGCTCAGAGATGTCTCAGTTTAACTATGTTCTGTCTTTGTTAAAAAAAAAAAAAAAAAGTATTAATACTTTTATTGAATTTACTCGTAGCATTTTAATTAGATAAAATGTTTATTTCATTCTTCTAAATTCCTTCAGCATTAATCTGTCTCTCATATATTTTACTCACAAAAATAATATTTCCTATTGTCTCATTTCCTTCGAATATTGTCAGTTTCTACAGAGCCTTAGAACTGACAGAAAAAATGAAAATCCAGCAGTAAAACTATTTCTGTTATGTTCTCCCTCATTTTCCAGCGGTAAACAGAAAAATAATGCATGAACGTTTAGTATTAAAATCTTTATCAATAATAACAAAGTTTAGTTAGATATTTATATACTCAGATTAAATCACAACCATTAAAAGCCATCTATAAATCTTTGTCATTCTCAGGAGCAGCCTGAAGCAGCCACACCAAAATTCTTTTTTTTTTTTTTGTCATTACAACTATAGATAAGTGAAAAATAAGTTCTCAGCGCCAACATAAAAATAATCTGTTGTTTAATAAAGTTATAGTGAAACCTCACAGGACAATATTTTCACAATCCTAAACCTATTTTATTTTCATTTGTACATTGATACAGTTATGTTTTTTTAAGCTGTTATTATTTTGAAACAATGCTTTTTAATGTAAGGTTTAAAGTTGGTGTATACTTAACTTTTTCGCATTACAATAACTTTTTTTGTACACAATTTACAATAGAAGTTTCAATAAAAATGTAAATGATAATCTTGTCTGAGATTAAAATGAGAATTCTGCCTTTTTCCTCATATTATACTGAAATAAAATGTAAAAATCAGTTAACTTTTTAAATTTTTTTTAATGGCCCTAATCCTCTTCTATATAAACATACTATTAATGTATATTTTAATCTTTCTATTCGCTCTTTAGCTGTTGACGCATGCACAAAAAACTTTCCGGGGTTTTTTGGAAATAAAAACTACATACTTTTGTGCATTTTTTGTTTAATTTTAAGGATTTTGTATTATGTCAGTGTTAATGATAGGAATAGTAGTTAGAGCATGAGGTCAAACAGTTGGAAGAGAATTTATAAAGCCTAAAATAATCTGCGCATGCAATCAAAGGTGAATTTCAAAAGATTATTAGAGCTATTCCCCAAAATATTTGATGCACAGCTAAAGGTTTTTATGAGAACCCTGTTTACAGAACCCCTGTGCTACCTGGACATCTGATTAATAGGCACAGTATCACAGATAACAAGCTAAAAAACTAAAAAATTAGGGAATGCTTTACTAGTACTTTGTTTCCTTTTGTATCAAACCCAAATTTTAAATCACATTTCTTCTCCAAGTCTAAAAGAGTTAAAATTAGAACAAATTAGTTAAAGCTTCCCATTCCTCCTAAACCCAAGAAAGTCCACTTTAAAATCTTTACAGGTGTTTACCCCTCTAAGGAATTTCTTAGACTTCGATTTGCCATTGATGATAACACTTGTTTATTTTGTGACAGTGATATTGAATCTACTGAACATCTTTTCAATGAATGTATGTATTGCAAAGGTTTGTGGGATGACGTGCACTACTGGCTTTTCCCCAAAATTCCAAACTTACCTCAATTCTCTAAGAAAGATGTTATTTTTGGGACTCTGAGAAAAGTAAGGAAGTTTGAAAGACTACTAAATATAATAATCATCATAGGCGTGTTTTTCATTCACAAATGTCCATCCATCCATCTATTTTCTAGCACGCTTATCCCAATTGGGGTCACGAGGGGTGCTGGTGCATATCTCCAGCAGTCAATGGGCAAGAGGCAGGGTACACCCTGGACAGGTGTCCAGTCAATCTAAGGGCAACACAGAGACAAATAGGACAAACAACCACTCACACACCTAAGGGGACTGTAGAGAAGCCAATTAACCTCAGTTATGTTTTTGGACTGTGGGAGGAAGCCGGAGTACCCGGAGAGAACCCACGCATGCTCAGGGAGAACATGCAAACTCCATGCAGAAAGACCCCAGGCCAGAATTCAAACCCAGAACCTTCTTACTGCAAGGCAGCAGTGCTACCCACTGTTCACTGAGCAGCCCAGTTTTCTTTCCCCTCTTTTCACAAGGAACTCTGCCACCTCTTCTTATCTCTAAAATTCAGGAGCACAGAACAAGATGCAGAACTGTACAATCTGATTAACAATCTGGAGCTGATGAGACACCCCTAATGTATGTGTGCTTGTATTTTCAGTTTTTTTTTTCTTTTTTGTGCTTTATTTGTTTATATTTTTTTTAACTTTTTTGTATTGTTTTATTTGTTCTGTAAATGTGGAAGCAATTTGGGTCGGCTCGTCAAAGTTTTTCAGGTTTATATATATATATACACCTGGTCTACTGTATGTGATGGTTTATAATAAAAAAAAAAAAAAGTTTATGTACCGGAAGAGGATTTTATAAAGCCTAAAATAATCTGCGCATGCGCAGAGGAGAGACGCAGAGGACGTTCTTTCCTCCATGTTTACGTAGAGTGCGTGAATGCGGTAGTGGAGTCCTGGCTGTAGGTTGACGTTACAGAGATCTGTGTACAGACAGAACCCCTACCAGCCACACCAGCGGGGGCCGTGGGGTCTACCAAGGAGAGCCCGAGGCGGGTTCAACCAGCATGGGGAACCGAGACAGCGGCTGCGGCGGAGGGAGCGGCGACGAGGAGGACATGGAGACGGAGAGTCCCGGTTTCGCGGAAGACAACCTGGCCTCTGCGGCCATTGGCGGAGCCGTCGGAGGCACCGGTTCAGGGAGAAACGGAAGAGGGTCCAATAACCCCCCCGCGGCCACCGAGGGACCCCCCAGCCCCGCGGTCCTCTTAGAACAAGTGAAACTCAGAGAGGCGGCCGCCCGTGTCAGCGACTCGGGGGTCACCATTCACGAGTCCGTCCTGTCCGGGAACGAGGGCGTCCTGATCCGGTGGCTGGAGGACCGGCTGAACCGCGGCGAGGATTCCGTCAATGTTGAGCAGTTCTGTGAAATGCTGGAGAGCAGAGATGCTCCCAGGAATGAATGCGAGGAGGTACGGCAAGCAAAACAAGCCAAAAAGCTCCAGTGTGGTTTGTCATTTCTTTCTTTTAGGTCCCAGGAATGACAGTTTGACAGCTGTCAGCGGCTCCATAGCGGCTCCACTGCTGTAGACAAATGGACAGAAATAAAGTCATGTACTTTAGATAACCATGGATTACATTATAGAGTATATCAGGTGCTTTTATCTCCAGGTTCAGCCTCTTTGTTGTTGCTTTGCTGTGTGCTGACTGACAGCCAGGTGCTGTTAGATAAGTTTCTGCTTAAGTCTGCATATTTGATTCTCTGCGGGCTGACAAAGAAACCTCTCCTCTCTTATGGGTGAACTTCCTCAGCAAAACGTTTAGATGCTCACATACAAACAAACAACCAGAAAGCTTTCATTTCTATGAGCCAGTAGTAGTATTTGCATGTGTAAAGTGCGGTTGAGTTAATGGGATTGATTTTGTCTCCATGTAAGGGTTTGTCATTTTCTTTCTCCCTGATCTCAGGCGTTTGGACAGTTTGATGCAGAGGGGGATGGAGTGGTGGACATAGAGACCATGCTGATTGCACTAAAGAACTCCAATGGAGCTAATCTACAGGGAGAACTGAGTCATGTGATAAGACAGCTCCAGGCGTGTTCCCTAACACCAGGTATGTATATTGGCAACAGGTCCCATAAACCTCACGCTGTTTGGTCCATGGAATGTATTTTGGAACAACCTTATGTGATGGTACACAACGTACATAATGCTTGTAGAGTTTAGGGAAACCGATGCTTTGGTTTTTATTTTGAAATCTTGAAAATGTGGCATAAAGGCTTATTTAGGCCATCTTTGTTGACTTATCCTAAAAAAAGAAAGAAAAAAACAATGTCTACCTTTTTCCACTAATTGAAATGCCTTTAAATCCACATTAACATGAATTAAACACACTGTAGTAAAGAGATAAATGGAGGCAAAAGATGTCTTTCACTCATCAATGCACACATTCAGCGACACACAGGAGCTCTTTCAAGCTGGGCACCGTTTTATTCACACCTGTCCCATCAACCAGGAATCAGAATCAGAAATACTTTAATAATCCCAGGGAGGAATTACTTTTGTTACATAATCTGTAATAGAGTGACTATAGGACCAGTTTGATAGAAGCTCCATCTCGCCATCAGTTTGGGGTCCTTGGCCTGGAAAACTTTGAAGACCCCTGGACTAAATATCACAGGGTAGTCTATGAAAAAACTGGTCCAACTCCAACATGACTGGCATCGTATATAGACAGGCTGAGAATGTGGAGCATCGATCAGAGAAGCAACATAACAGCTGTTCTGTCTCTGTTTAGGAGGGAGAATCTGTTCACTGAATTACTATTTGTTGTCCAATACATAAATAAAGTGATTGTTGATCTAAAAATAGACAGAAACGGTAAAGGAAAAGACAGCAAGGAATAATCAATGGATCATTATCTATACCTAAAACTAATATGTTTGTGGTAATTTAATGAATTTAGCGTTAATCTATGGAGTGAATTTTCTGCCAAAACATTGCATACAAAAAAGCATGTTAAGCACACACGAAGACATAGAGAAATTATAAGTTAATATAAACACAAGTATAGATTTAATTACTAAACTTGACAAAGGCTTAAGTAATATTCCCACTGGGTTTAGTCTATAATATGCTCACATACACTCTATTTACTATTTCATTTTGGTTATAGGTATAGGGTTGACAACAGTTTTCAATGGGGTGAGAACATTTAGACACCATGAAACAGCAAGAAAGGTGTTGAAACGAACAAGGAGCTGCTGGCTTTCAGAGAAAGGAGTAGCCGCTGGTTTCAGCTTCCTGTTTTGAAGCCAACGCTTGTGTTTTCTTTTTTTAATCAATATCACTGGCGATATTCTGCTATAACATGTGAAGGAAAGAATAAAATAACCGCTCATCTTTCATAAACAAAACATTACTGAAATTTTATATTTAGTAGGTTGGAAATGAGGCGGAATGAACTCGATCAGCTCTTTGTACTCCGTGCACGCTCCAAGCGAGGGGATACAAAATGTTGCAGGGATAACTACATCGGCACCTGCATGTTTAACTTGTTTTGTTTGGATGGCGCCTCCTGCTGTCGGTTAGTCAGAATGACAAATCTTCATCTCTCATGTGACTTTTGGCAGAAACTTGCCGTAGAATGCGTAAAATTGTCTCGTACGCGTGGAGAGGCTGTTTTGTATGCGAGCAGAGATTATTTTGTACTCTGGGACAAATTATGAATTATATTTTGAATGCAAAGTTAGATTCCGGCTTGTAAAACAAATTTTTTTGTTTGCAACATTCAAGGATAGTTTGAAAAACATGCGTATTTGTGAATGATAAGATTTGTTTGGGTGAAACATGCTTTATTTGTTTGCAACATAATATGTTTTTTTGTATGCAGTGTTTTGGCAGAGAATTCACTCCATATTAATCTTTAGAGAATTAAGAAAAATAATTTTGGTCACGATCATTGAGTCTGGCAGCGGCCATTTTTGCCCAGATATAGTAACACCTCCTCCTGCCATCTTCTGGCAGTGACGTCACGGTGCGGTAAGCCTAGCGCCATTCTCCCCGCTTTACAAGCTAAATTAATGGGAACTACTAGACACATCTGCAATCAACAACAATTATTGAAGATTTCCAGAGGACTTCACCATTGAAATTCACCAGAGCTATAGTGAAAATGACAATGCCCACGTGCATGGCAGTAATAATAGCGTGTTAAGACGAACAGCAGATACAGCACTGGGACTTAATCAACTGCTGATACAGCACCGTGACGTCACAAACCAGTAAGTGGCAGTAGTGTTCTTTGACAAACATGGATGCCTTCAGTAAAGCACATTTAAATGAAAATTACTCTTAATTAAAAACACTTATCATTTATTGAACAGTACGTAATAATTTCATATTAAAGTGTTTTCAAAAGTTTGTGACAATTTCAGGCAGGAATAGGTCAAACATGGAATTAGGTGCTGTGGTTAAATGGAAGAAAACAAACACTCTTCGTCGCCCTGAGACACTGCTCTGGTGTGGAACCATATGTGGCTCTGTCAAGCTGTGGGGATGATTGTCTGATGATGGCATGGAATATATAGAGAACACGTTTGAGTTAATAACAAAACAAAGTTGAAAGAAAAAGTTAGAGGCTATAAATACTCGGGAGTTTGGTGAAGATTCTCATTCATTCAAGTTGGGACAACGACCCCACATCCACAGCTAGAGATCTAATCGAAGGGTTTAGATGAGAATATAAATTTATCTGATTGGCTCAATGAGAGAAAGTGCGAGTGAAAATTGGTATTTTTAATGCCACTCTTATTTCACGGTACACCACAGTGAACAGGTTTTCTGAAAGCAGCAGCTTTTTCAAGATGCCTGATGGGTTAAACATTAGCATAGCAGCAGCTCTGCTCCTTCTTCTTGTGTTACAAACAACAGATGCATATTTTGACCTATTGTACAAGTTGGTGTGACATGGCAGAAACACAAGAATATTATGCCACCAGACAGAAGTGGCATGTCAGTATAGCTGCATTATGCCACTTTTTAAAACTGCTAAGTTTAGGGCTGAAACAATTAATCCTGATTAATCGGTTATAGAATTAATCGGCATCATATTCAGTAATCGAATAATGGTTAACTGCAATATACAGACTAAAACATGCCTTTAGCTGACAGAGAAAGCCACTTAATTATACTGAGGCCCCGTCCACACGAAGTCAAAACGAACACGAAACGCTGATATTTTCCAAAACGTTTGTCGTAAAGACGGAGACGTAAAATAAATGTGATCGTCCACACGAATGCATGAAAACGCTGCAAAATGTATGCCAGGCCTGTAAGTGGCGCTGTGGTGCCAAAGCAAAAATAAGTGACGAAATGTTGGGCATGGGCACTAATATTTATACATGGTTGCCCTGCGGGTCCATTTTCGTGGTTCAGTCAAATTCAGGTGCTGAACTATGTGGTCGATATTGCTCTGTTCTTCCTGGAGATATTCCAGAAGAAGAAGATTCTGTTGTAAGCCCGACAGCAGGGTGAGTAGCATGAGCAGCAACCATTCAACACAGTACGGCGCCATTGTTGTTGTGATACTGTGTCGCGCATGTTTAGAGGCGACGCTATGACGCATGCGTGTAAAAAAAAAAAATGCGGTTTGAGCTTAAAGATGGAAACGCGAAAACGGCGTTTCAGAATCTTCCCACTCTGAAGGCTGAATAAAAAAAAAGATCGTTTACAGACCCCCGAAACGCCGGCTTCGTATGGATGAGAGGCTGGTTTGGTGAAAAATTTGTGCATTTAGGCCAGGGTTCGGCTTCGTGTGGACGGGGCCTGAATTGGAAAAATATATATATTTTGACAAAAAATGTTGTCAAAATGCTCTATCCAGAACTCCTTAAAGGAGAAGTTCGGTTTTTTACACTTTAAGCCCATTTTCTGTAGTGTCCAGAATGGAATCGAATGATCGACACCAAAAGTTTGACAATTGCTCCTGTCTCTGCTTTTTGGCTCATTTAGAATCCACCCCTGGCTGCTTTAGAATGGCTAGCATAGAGCATGTCCGATAATGTCCTTAAAACAACCTTAAACGTTCTTTTTTAAAAATATGCTACTCACCGGGTCGTCAGCGCTGTTCAATGACGTTCCAAAAAAAGTTTCGTGAAGAAAAACCGTTCCTGTAGTGTTTTATTTAGCATTTTGTAAATCCCATTGAGTTCTGTAGGAATAGTCAATATTCCCCTGCCACCGGAAACGGAAATGGGGCCTGTTTACACAGTTGTAGTCTTTTCGCTTCACTCTGTGTACTCCGACGTCGAGAATCAAGAATCCACCTTTCGTATTCCATTTTCAGATTTTTTTAAAGTGTTTAACAGAGACGTTAGCACCTCGACGTCGGAGTACACAGAGTGAAGCGAAAAGACTACAACTGTGTAAACAGGCCCCATTTCCGTATCCGGTGGCAGGGGAATATTGACTATTCCTACAGAACTCAATGGGATTTACAAAATGCTAAATAAAACACTACAGGAACGTTTTTTCTTCACGAAACTTTTTTTGGAACGTCATTGAACAGCGCTGACGACACGTGAGTAGCATATTTTAAAAAAAGAACGTTTAAGGTTGTTTTAAGGACATTATCGGACATGCTCTATGCTAGCCATTCTAAAGCAGCCAGGGGGTGATTCTAAATGAGCCAAAAAGCAGAGACAGGAGCAATTGTCAAACTTTTGGTGTCGATCATTCGATTTCATCCTGGACACTACAGAAAATGGGCTTAAAGTGTAAAAAACCGAACTTCTCCTTTAAGTGGAAAAGTTCGACTTTCATCTGTTTTAAATTAAGCAAAAAAATCTTCTTTAAGGAATCTTTTGCTAGCCGATTACTGATCAATTTATGAAAAAAAAAAAAAAAAAAACGTATGGATTTAATCTTTAGTTGCAGCTTTAGCCTCTTTTATAACTGGCATACCAGTTTGAAAAGTGGCATATGCCGTTGGTGAAAGTGGCATATGCGGTTGGTGAAAGTGCATAGTTGAGAGCTTAACACAAAGACTTGAAACTTGTTCCTGTCTTAATCTGATCAGACTGAGTTTCAGCTCTTTGGTAGGGATGCACGATATTGGGATTTTGGCCGATATCCGATATGTCGATATTTTAAAACTCATGTAGCCGGTAACCGATACCAATACCGATGTTAAAGCTGGACAAAAATAAGTAGTCATTGAAAATAGCTGTTTTGTTATCCATTTCTGACACTTTGAAAAATAATATACTCAAATATATTTTTTTATATGCTGATATCAAATTGATTTTAAAAATCGCGGTATCGATCTATTTTACTTTCAAAATCTCGTGAAATTTCATCGTTCTGTTACAAACTCTGGAGATATTTAGCAATTCTTGTGAGATTTTTTTAGTAAAATAGATCGATACCGCATCAATATATCAACATATAAAAATTTCGTGGATGATGACATATAGCAATATTTAATTACCGTAGTAAAAGAGATTGATATGGTGTTTTTAAATGGCAATATATCAGCATATGAAGATATTGTGATATTTTAATGTATCAATATTTTTTCCCTCGTCTTTAGAAGTTTTTAAGTCTGTAAAAAATATGTTTTTGAGGAAGAAGAAGAAATAGTGCTTTTTTTTTTTTTAGACTTTAGAAACTCAGAAGCTGATCAAATATCGGGTTAAATATCGGTGGGGTGGCCGATGTCCGATATTCAGTTTTCAGGCCGATACCGATAGGGGGCCGATTATATCGTGCATCCCTACTCTTTGGTGCATTGTCCAAATGTTATGGGTGGCAGAGACTCTGTAAAACTTAAAGTTTAATGCACAGCAAACCGTTAATATTATTATTTTTTCAAAACATAAACAAAACTAAAAGTACATTTCTTTCACTGCGCAGTTCTTTAAGGTTGAACATGTTGCACAGCTTTTTGCTTAATTTTATTTTTCCTTACAGGTTTTGTCGACATATTTTCGAAGAGCAAAGACAGATTAGGATCTCACGCCTCGAAGATCCTCAAATTCCTACACAGGAACCGTATTCCCAGCAGTGCCATCCCTTTCCCCATTTTAGAGGGCTACAACAGCATCTGCACCATGAGGTCCAGTGTGGTTCAAGACTTCTTGGAGTTCCTCCTGCAGAAGGAGAAAGGTGATTAACAGCACAAGGTTGTTTAGGAATGTTCTGACGGTTTTTACTAAGTTTTTGATCCTTTTTATTCTCTGCGTGTAGTAATGCATGTTTACTTCCTTGCTGCTGTGGAGAAACTGTCCTCACTGGAGCTGATTTCTTTCAGATTTAGATATTCAGTACAGAGCAGCGCTCGACCGTGATCCGGATGTAGATAAGGTCAAGGTGGTCACCCAGTGCTATAGCACTATAGAAGCTTCCTCCAATGTCCCTGATGTCTATAAGATGACCAACGGAGAAACGTCATCTTTCTGGCAGTCGGACGGCAGCGCCCGCTCACACTGGATACGGTAAGAATGCTGGTAAACATGTCTGAGTGATCCTGAAGCCACGTGTTTGTTTCTAAGCTTCCTTCCTGCATTCTGTTCCAGGCTGAAGATGAAACCAGATGTGGTTCTGAGGCGTCTGGCTATAGCCGTGGCTTCCAACGACCACAGCTACATGCCTCAGCTGGTCTCGGTATCTGTGGGGAAGACACGGCGCTCCCTGCAGGAGATCAGAGACATCCGTATACCCAGCAACGTCACGGGCTACGTGGCTCTGTTAGAGAACGCCAACATCACCCACCCCTGTGAGTGAAGGTCCATTCCTCATTCTTAAAGCCAATAACTACTCTACCTTCTTTGGTAGCTATTTAACCCTAAATAAAATCCAACATAACCTAGTAGGTCAGTAATCATCTTTTAAGTTAGTTTGTGTGTAATTTGCTGAAAATATTACTGTCAAATGAGAGAAGATGAAGCATGATAGTGGCAGAATCATGCTGTGGTGATGCTCCTCTTTAGAAGTGAGAGGAAGCTGTTTATATAGGGTGGATTGGAGCTGAGCTTCACTCTGTGAACATCCAACATTAAGTTCCAATGACCCGATCAAAGTCCAGAGGATCTTAGGCAGAACTAAACAATTCATTTTCAGATACAGCCCATAAAAAAAAATCTGCTAGATTCGGCTACTTTATCATTTCTGTTGTTGATCTATCAAATACAAAACACAGAGGCCTCTCGTACTCCGAAAATGTTCAAGGCAGGTTTATTTAGAAAGTGTATTCTGCTGCGCTTTATAAATAAATAATAAACAATAAATCAATGCATTTCATTGCATTGATTTTATAACTCAGCCCGGGACTAATCCATTTAGCTACGGTGACTAGCTGCTAGCCGCGGCCTTCATGTATCAGCTTCTTCTTCATCTCCATCTCAAGCAGAAACGGTCACAGGCCGGTGGCTTCTAACGGCTCCTTTGGCAAACAGCACCGCCGTTACTCCAGTGGTTTAATTTAGGTCACCAGAGCTGGATTAGCTCTCCTCTGTCTCTGCTGCAGCAGGCGGGTTCAGGAAGCACTGTGTTCTTGGTTTGGTTTGAATCGCAGGAAGAACAAAAAAACAACAGAATATTACATTAAGCTCCTTCTGAATCATAGGAAAGGTAGTCTGACTCGGTCCAGTGTTCACAGACCTCTCTGGAGGGATTTGGTCGCTAGACTTCAGCTGCGAAGCGCTTTAGAGTCTATACAGGTGAATATTCTCAGTCATCCAGGTCATAGTCATTCCAAAAAAGTAAAAAATAAAAATCCACATTTCTAAGTTTGAAAACATTTTGCTTCTCATCCAGGAAACTTTTTTTTAGATCAAAATGTCAGAAATAGCGTTTAGTTCGAAGCTTTATACAGTAGCCCAACAAAGCCTTGTTTTTGCTTAGAAAACTTGCAAATTAAAACGGACGATCGGGTCCACCCCTTTGGAATGGGGGTCGTTAGGCTTTTTTTGTTAGGTCTTCTGTTCCCCTGTAAAGGGGTTTGGTAAGTGATTAACTCAGTTGCTGAATTGTAGGTTTTTGAAAGCTGAAACCTGAGTTCATCCCCTCTGTTTAAGTTTGGTTTTTCTTTCTTGCTTTAGAGTCTAGTCTTAAAGGGGAAAACCGTTTTTTTTTTTTTTTTTACATTTGCCCCTTGATTTTACGTTATTACATCATGTTCTACTCACCCATATTAGTTTTGGTTCTTTTGGAGCCGTTCTGATAATATTCGGTTAGGTTATATCCAAGTAATGTCTTCCTATGGGCAACGAGTTTAAGGCACAAACTAAACTGTTCATAATTTATCTTTTATGGTACGCCAATATTCATAACATGTAGGCAAATCACTGTCCCCCAGATATCCACGGTTAGATTTTTTATATTTATATATTTTTTAAAACAAAGCGGAGTGTGTATGACGTCATCTGCGCGCTGGACTGGAGTTGTGACATGCAGCCCCGGCCTACGCTGTACCTCTTCTATTCATTCAGCGAGCTAATCTGAATCATTCAATTCAATTTTGAGAGCGAGATCCTCTGTGGTAGTAGCACTAGACATCTTCCAGGCATGTGAGTAAAACTAGCAGGAGTTCAGCGGACAGGATGAATGAATGGTAGCCGGCACACAGAGGACGTCATACACACTCCACTTTGTTAAAAAAAATATAAACATAAAAAATCTAACCGTGGATGTCTGGGGGACAGTGATTCGCCTACATGTTATGAATGCTGGTGTACCATAAAGAATAAATTATAAACAGTTTAGTTTGTGCCTTCAACTCGTTGCCCATAGGAAGACGTTACTTGGATATAACCTGACGGAATATCTTCAGAACAGCTCCAAATGACACAAAACTCATATGAGTGAGTAGAACATGATGTAATAACGTAAAATCAAGGCCCAATATAAAAAATGGTGTTCCCCTTTAAGCAGCTGCAGCCTGCTGGCAACAGGAAGTTGAACGGAAATAGTTTGAATGAAGTACTTCCGGTTACATAATCAACATTTGATTCCAACAGCTTATTGGTGTTTCAGCAATTTTACAGTAAATTGGTGAAGCATGAGAACTAAAATCTCTGGTTCTGTTTATGCACACTCGGTTTGAGACAGAGCACGTGAGAGTTTATTTAAGTGATGAACATTTTTGCACTGGACTATAGGTGACAATAGATAACAACCAACATGCGGATAATGGAAAGTTAAAAAAATGCACCCAGATTCTTTGCTTATTTTCAATGGCATTAAAAATAAAAGATAATAAAAATAAACAAATTGAACTTTATTGATCACAATGGAGAAATTACCTCTATGCGTTTAACCCATCCCCTTTGGGGAGGAGTGGGCTGTCATTGTGCAGCACACAAAGTCGTGGCGTCCAGCTTATCCAAAATCCATGAGTAACTTGTGCATAACTGATGTGTAACTTGTCAAGAACTTCTCTCCAACGCATATTAGGGGTGGGTATTGCCAAAGAAGTCACGATTCGATTCGAATCACGATTCACAGGCCACGATGCGATTCTATCACGATGCATCACAATACTTGAATTATTGCGATGCACTGCAATATTTTCTCCTCCATGTTTTGTTTTTGAATGACTCGGCGCAGTATCCCACGGCCGGAAATGCTTGTGACACAAGGCAGCGTGCATCAACACATCCGCAGCGACATCTACTGGACTGGAAGTTGTATTACACTCGTTTTTGGCTGATGTTCGCCAACCATTCATGCAATTTTATTTATTCATTTTTTTAAATTAATAATCGATACTTGGCATCAAGAATTGATGCAGTAGATCACAAAAATTAGAATCACGATGCATCATCATGACGATTATTTTGCACACTCCTAACGCATATCAACTTATCTTATAAGTTCCAGATGAGCGCTGAGCGTGTTTCTAACTTTGAGCTACTGTTTAATGGGGTATTGGCAGCGTTTTGGTATAAAAGGTGTTAACAGGAGGAAACTGTCAGTGATGGATCCTCACTGTGTTCACGACCACGGCCAACAGGCGTGTGTTGTGCAGAAGTTAGGCTGTCGTTGGACATAGGTTCTGGCCTCCTATGCCAATTTTCATACTCTTTATAAATTTTGCCATACGCCAAATTTCAGCGTATGCCAGCGTTTTAGAAGATTCTGGGACGTCGGGCATACGCTGGTTAAATCGCCATGGGGTGTAAATGTATATTTTAACTTTTATTTGGTTCATAGGGACATTCATTTGTTTAATGGAATATTTTTAGTTCGTTTTTTTTTATTGAATTTCCAGTAGCTTGAGACAGTGGGTTTAATAAAAAGCATTAGTTTAAAGGAAGAACAGGAAACCAAAGCAAGCAGAATATTATGTTATTAACAGAAACATTTATTTTAGGGATGAAAAAGTAATAGCGATTAATTGATTATTGAAATAATTGTCAACCAATTTAGTATTCAATTATTGGTGAACTGGACAAGAGACTCTAAAATATGCCTTTAGATGACCTTTAGTGACCCACTTAGAGCAGGAACTATACCAAAACTGTAAAAAGACATGTAAACATTTTGCATTTAAAATAACAAACTTTTCGTCTGTCAATATGCTCTGTCCAGATCTCCTTAAGTGGTTAATTTTATAAAAATCTTTAAGAAACCTTTGTCTATCGGATTAATAATTGATTAAAAAAACAATCGACAGATTAATTGTTAATTTTTTATTTAATTAGTTAAGACTGGGACATTTATCCACATCAAAGCCCTGCTTAATAAACATTATGCTCTACTTTTTCCTAAGAATCTAAATTCTATTTTTCAAAATAGAGAAGAAATCCAACTTTAATACAATAAAAATAAATGTTTTAAATAATTTAAATAGAAATGAGAAAAAAGAATAATTATTTTGTAAACCAGTTAAAATAAATAGGTGATTAAAATAATCCCTTATTAGTGTTTTTTTCTTATTCTATTCATGTAGTAAAAATGGATCTAGCTAATCTCCTTTATTGGCTCTATATATTTAAAAGTGTTCTTAGTTGTTTGTGTTTTTGTCTGATTTATTCTCCTGAACAAAAATCCCAGACGTCCAAATCAACATCAAGCGATGCCTGAGTGACGGATGCGACACGCGCATCCACGGGTTGAAGACGCTGGGTTACCAGATCACCAAGAGCAAAGAGGTGTCCGTATCGGACGCCTCGGCCATCTGGTACCTGTCTCTGCTCACCTCTTTGGTCACCGCGTCCATGGATACCAACCCCGCCCTGGCTCAAACCGTGCTCCAAATCACACAGTAAGATCCCTGGAGGCTGCAGCACCGCGCAGCGCTTAGCTTGTCGCTTCTTTTTTTTTTTTTGGCGATGCCAAAGATGAGGTTTTTTTTGCTTTACAGGAAAGCCTTGCAGCACATGCCTCCACTGTCGCTGACGCCATCCTCCACTGAGTTCCCCAAGTTCTTCTCCCTAAACATACTGGAGGAGGTGGACGGCTTTCTCCTCCGGATCGCAAAGTAAGCTGCTGTTCGTTTTATTGCACTTCTTTCCATCGCCTGATGATGTCACTCAGTTTTTCCTGTCTTTTGTCCAGCTGCTGTGTGAGCCCCGATGCAGAGATGACTCTCTTGGCTTTTGCTCTGGCCAGAGGCAGTGTGGCCAAAATCCTCCAGGCCCTGTCCTGCATCAGCGATCATCTCCAGATCAAGTACAAGGCCTCATCCGTCATCCTCTCCATGGCTTCTGTTAGGCTCCGGTTGCTTTACTGTAACGGTAATTCGACTCATCCATCATCTGACTCTCATGACTAGAAGGTCACTTGTTGAACCGTATAGCGATTGTTTGCAGGGAAGCCGCTCCAGCTGCACCTGCAGGCCTGTGACGTCAAAAGTAAAGAGGAGAAGTCAGGCCCAGAGAACATGCTTAGCGATTCTTCTACCGGAGATGGTAGCGGCCAGCTGCAATCGACCTCTAAATGAAGGATGTTTGAGCGCGTGGTCAGCTCTTTGCTTTTTCTCCAGGTTTTCTCACAGAAAGCGGCAGGAAGAAAGCCAGCGTGATCCTGTCCACGGAGGACCAGAGCAACTTCCAGGTCACTCAGATGAAGATCAAAGTAAGATGGTGTCATCAGGAGATGAGTGAAAACGTGTGCCGTGGTGGAGGACCATGCAGATTATCACTGAAGTCGCTGCTCATGTGCGCAGGTGCGGAAAGGAGCCATTGGGGCCAAGTGTGGCTTGGTGTTCGCCTACATGGAGGACGACTCCTTTGATGCAGAGAAACATTTCAAGAGGTTCAAAAAGTACGACTCGTGGAACTACAAGGACTACAAGGAGTTTGTACAGGACAGGTATGGTTCCCTTCGTTGAACTTCAGCGTTTAAAGAAGGGCTTGAGTCTTTTCATATTTAGTGTTTTTAGTTAATTAAGTGAAATGTTTTTTTTTTTCCTCTGATATTCTAACACCAACAATTCTTACTTACACACTTCTAATAAAAACATCTTTAAAATGAGCAAAATAAAACAACTGATTATAGATCTAATTTGATGCACAAGTACCATAAACTGTGTGATAACGAGCAAAAGGTCATCGTTTAAAAAGTTACAATGTTTAAAATTGTGAAAGACCACATCATAAAAATCTTTGTTAGATAACGTTAGTAAACAGAGAACCTGGCCGTGGAAAAGTTTATAGCGTTTCTTTTTTTCTCCCATAGTGGATGATGGCTTCAACTCTGATTTACTGACATACATTAGTTTTAGCAAATGGCCAACAGATAACTCACTTATAGTTCTAAAAGGCTTTATTTTCTGTAGTTTGATTGGATTGGTTTGTGAAATTAAACTGCTTTCCAAAAAAAAAAGGTTAAACCTCAGTAGATATTCATTATTTAACAAGGAATCAATTTATTTCATTTAATTAATTAAATGGTAATTTAAATAAATGCTTGTTGGTTTTAATTTGGTTATCTTTATCCGATATAAAACTTGTTGAATTTTCTAGAGGAATTAAAATTGAAAAAGAAAGAAACTCAAACAGGAAATCAGAATGTGGTCCATTTAGAAATTTGGGAGGTCTGTGTGGTTTATTACCTTTGCCTGACCTGCAGTGGGAGGATGTCAGCGCAGAATGAGGATGAGCCGATCGGCTGGTTTGAGCTGGAAGAGGACTGGAATGATGTGGAGATCAAGCTGCAGCAGTGCCGCGTCGCCAAGGTACTGACCTGTCTGTTCCCTGATATCATTCCTTTCTTCGATGTTCAGCTCTTTGTATTTCTAAACCCATTCTGCTTATATCTCTCTTCTTAGTTCCTGATGGTGAAATTCCTCTGCACCAGGCAGGACTCAGCCGAGCGGCTCGGTGTGCAGAACCTCAGCTTCAGTGGCTACCTTTGCCCCGGAACAGAGAGGCTGGTTGACCTGGACGACCTCAGCAGCCAGGGGGAGAGTCTGGATCATGATGCTGTCTCTGGCCTTTGTCTATTAAACAAGACACTTTTCTTCATACAGCAGCTCACACGAGACACGGTAAGGGGGCACCGCTCGGCTGTGTTGCTGGCATCATCCAGTTTCAGCGTCCCGTTTTCCTCTGAATAACCGTGGTGGTCTTCCTGGAAGCCTGGATTTCTATTTATGGGGGGCTCCTTCTAAGAGATAAAGTTGGAGGAATAATGGAAGGAAATCGGTAAAGAATCTAGAACTTAAACAACACCAAAGAAAAACTATAAACAGCATTGTTTTCTAACAATACAATAAAACAATAACTAAGGAAGGATGTAGAGGAGAAAGGAAGGTAGTAAAAAGTAGATTAAAATAAGGAAGGAGGGCAGGGAGGGAGGAAGGAAGGAAGGTAAGGGAGAAGGGGCAAGTAAATGCAGGAAGGAAGGAAGAGAGGAAGAATGTACAGGAGAAAGGAAGGTAGTAGAAAGTAGATGAATCAAAGTAAGGAAGACAGGAAGGAAATAACGAAGGAAGGTAAGGGAGAAGGGGCAAGTATATGAAGGAAGGAAGGAACTAAGAAAGGATGCAGAGAAGAAAGGAAGGTAGTAAACAGTAGATGAAAAGAAGGAATGAGGACAGGGAGGGAGAGAGGAAGGAACTAAGAAAGGATGTAGAGGACAAAGGAAGGTAGTAGAGAATAGATGAAACAAAGGAAGGAAAGGGAGGAAATAAGGAAGGAAGGAAACGGTGAAGGGGTAAGTAAATAAATAAAGGAAGGAAGGAACCAAATGTATTTTGCATGTTTTGTCACCCAGAACACCCAATATCAGTCATGCTGCTCTCTGGTGGCCATAAGAAGGAATTGCAGATTTTACAGCATGATTGCCTCCCAGTAACAATCTACACTTTTTTCTGCAGGATGCCTCACACTTCAAGCAGAAGTATCTTCTGGACTTCGGTGGTCTCAGCCTTAACCTTTTCTGGAACTTCTACAATAAACTCAGGGAGATGTGAGTGATCATCTGTTAACAGCAGACATGTAGCAGCAGCAGATTTTTGGGGGTTTATTTTCTGAATTTCAACTTTTTGTCAGATGTGTCAAAACACGCATTTGAATTTATGAACATTCACAGAATATTTAAAAATGATTTTGTAAGACAAGCTAAAAGAATCTAAGGTTGCACCTGTTTTGTGGAAGTTTGTGTTGGTCTTTACTGTTAAATCCTCCTTTCATTTATTAGAGCCACACAAGAGGTTTAAGTGCAAACCCACGTTATGTGTATCCAAAAAAAGGAAAACCATTTAGACCTGATAGAATAAGGTAATATGCACCAAGCATTCGTCATGATCATGTTTAGATCGTTCTTTTCTGGGCCTAAATAGAATTCCACCACTGGGTGCAATCAGCAAACATAAACAGATTTTCACCCTCTGCTGGCAGAACTAATCAGAAAGCCAGAGGGTGACAATGATGGCAACTACATAATAGAGACCTGGCAGTGGTTGTAGAGCAGCCCCTCCTTTACAAGCAAAGTCTGTGGTTGGGTCGCGTCAAAAGGTCCTTCAGCGCGTTATGAATAGGAGGAACAGCGCGTTATCAGCATTTATGCATCTGAAGTGCTTCACAAGAGTTGAAAAATCTGAACTTTTGCTGCTCAATGTGCTGCAAACTGAACGCCTCTTAAGTATCTGGTGAATCCAGACATCGGTATTGTCTGGCTTTTTTTTTAGTATATAAAGTAAAGCCATTTTCATTTTATCATCAAAGATGATGCTGCAGACGCGTCTTTGCTTTTCAAAGTTAGTTTGGTTTCATTCCAGAATAAGTTCTAGTATATCGTCCCCAGAGCCCTACAAAAATTAGTTTTTATAAAACACACAGGGACACGACATTAAGGGAGAACCAACTAACCAATAAACCTAATAACTAACCAACTACAGTAACTAACCAATCGACCAAATAAATATCCAATCAACCAACCAAATAAATATCCAATAAACCAACCACATACTAACCAATCAACCAACCAAATAACTAACCAATCAACCAACCAAATATCCAAATCAACAACCAAACAGCTAACAAATCAACCAGCTAACTAACTAAACAAATAACTAAACAGCTAACCAAATAACTAGCCAACTAAATAACTAGCCAACCAAAAACTAACAAAATAATCAACCAACCAAATAGCCAACCAACTAACCAAATAACTAACCAATGAACCAACCAAATAACTAACCAATCAACCAACCAAATAACTAACCAATCAAACAACCAAATATCCAATCAACAACCAAATAGCTAAATAATCAACCAGCCAACTAACTAAACAAATAACTAACCAAATAACTAGCCAACCAAAAACTAACCAAATAATCAACCAACCAAATAACCAACTAACTAACTAATTAACCAACCAACAAAATAACGAACGGACGAACCGAATAACTAATTAAATAACCAATCAAACAACCAACCAAAAAAATAACTAACCAAACAACTCAACCAAATAGCCAATCAGCCAACCAAATAACCAACCAGTGAACAAATTAACCAACCAACCAAATAACTAACCAACCAAATAACCAATCAACTAACCAACCAACCAACCAAATAACTAACCAACTCACCAAACAACTCAACCAAATAACTAATTCACCAACCAGCCAAGTATTTGTGTGGTATCCCAGAGTGTTGTAACTCTTTAATAATTGTAAATCTGCATGAAGAACTTTATTTATTACTGAATTAAGCAAAAACACACAAAAACAACAACAGCTTGAAGGACGCTGTAATATTTAAGAAAAAAACCTCGTATGCAACCAGCGGGAATTACTGGAGTATAAATAAGTAAAAAGCAAAAGTCAAATTGTGACCATTTTATCCACGTGGCTGCAGCTGATCCAACTGATTTCATATCAGTAGAGGAGAGCTGTACCTGGAATTCACAGAGCAAATGTGCAACTATTATACCTTCTGCTCTCAGGATTTTTAAGGCTCCTCTGGACTCCTTGGAGCTCCTGTAGGCTTTGCTGGCAGTGGAGTGACATCATCTAAATTAGAAGTTACAGCTCTCCAGCTAAAGGAAGCTTCTCTATTATTTCAGCAAATACAAAATGAACAGGTGTATCTTTTCATTGCCGACTGGTTTGGTTAGCTTAGCAAAGCTAACAGCGGTCCTTAATAACTAGAATCTGATAACGACTGTGTCTTCTGAAATAAACTATCAACCTCTCCTAATCCGACACATAATAAAGAATAAGTCAGAGCTGATCCATCTCTAATGGACCCAGTTAGAGGAACTCTGCAGACATGCTTGTGATAGAACATGCTCAGTGATTTTCTCTGTTTCAGTGAAGGAGAGGAGGTGTTGAAAAGCAGAGTTCTCCTGCTTCAGTTGATGCAGAACTGTTTCCCCATGCTGCCCAACCCCACGGAGCCCCAGGACACAGAGGGGAGTAAAGACCCAGAGGAAGGAGCCTCTGCAGAAGCAGGTCCATCAGTGTTTAGCAGCAGGGATCCTCCGGGTCCCTCTGAGGCCGTATCAGAGCTCTACGCTCACCTCTGTCACAGTAAGGACCTGCAGACCTTTCATCTTTCATTAGTAGAACATGCTGTTCTCCGGTGTTTGTCATAAAAGAGATAAATCGGTGTAAAGTGAGGCATGATCTTTGTGTTGCAGTTGTTGACGGTCCAGAGGGAGAGACGACAATGGAGAAGATTTTACACAAAGAAGCGGTTAAGGCCATTCTGAATGGAGCTGCTGTTTTCTTCCCCGATAAACTCAACAGGCGGGACAAACTCTTTCACATGATGGTGAGGTTAACGCCTCATCTCTCCGTAAATTAAATGCAGACGTGGACAATTCTGATTCTATTAGAACAATAGAATCTGATATCAATTCATTAATATTTGATCCATTTTCATGTATTTTTATGATTTTGCTGATCTGCATAATTAATTTACTAATCCTGATTCTAATCTGCTGTTTTGTAGAAAAATATAAGTGAGGACGATCAGCCAGAGTCTGTGAAGGTGACATTTGAATCTCTTTGTAATTATTTCAGGTAAATATCTAAAATCACTCATGTCTATTTTGTTTCCACATCGGTAGTGACAGACCAGTAATAGATGTTTTTTTCTTCTCCCAGTAACCAGGATCCCAGCGGCCTTCTGCTGCTGCCGCCCAAAGGAGCTCCTTCAGACTTCGACATCAGCCCCATACTGTTAGTCATGGAGACGCTGCTGCTTGTCGCCTCCAGAGAGGTGATCTTTCACTCTTTGCTTTTAGTTCTCAAAGTGCTGGAGCCTTGAATGAAACTTTTCCCATCAAACTTTCTGCCCATCTATCAGTGTGAGGTTCTGATGGTGGATGGGAGGACTGGAGCCAGCAGGACAGTGCTGCTGTCCTTGTTCTGGGCGCTGCAGGGTAGCTTGCTCTCCTGGTGCTACCTGCAGCTCAACAGTGGAACCTCCACAGCTGCTGCTTCTGAGCTGGCCAGAGACATCCTCCTAAAATGTGAGCCACAACAACAATTAATCTCTTATCTTTTCTCTTGTTAAAGCCAAAAACTTCAATTTATTTGTGTTTATTTTATGTGATGGTCTCAAGTAAGAAGTACTTAGAAAATACTTAACGGATCATTAACGGATCATTTGTCTATTAAAGGGACAACACTTTGTAAGACTGCTTGATCCTTAAAGTCGTAGGGAAATCATATTTAAATGTCAAATCATTCTGGCTTAAACATGTATATAAATTTACTCTTTATCAGACCATATTGTCCCAAAAGTTAGAAAATTTCACTGCTGCTCCTTTACCGGATTATAAAATCAGTTGCTTTTTTCTGAACATCATTCTCATGGAGGACAGTGTAAATGTACGCTGCTTTACCTGCTGTCTGTTTTTTCTGTGGTGTGCCTCGATGACTCGTCATCATGGCTTTTATATAAATATCCTGTTTTATTTGGTGTGTCGGTGCATTTTGGCATGCCAATCAATCGGCACACCACTAATGTACAGCAAGGGTCAAATTCATGATGTTTCCTTTCAGAAAAATTCAAATTGCTGAATGTGTTTCTCTAGATGTGGATCAGTTCCTTGGAAGTATCAGTGCTGTGCTGGGTTCCCTCCTTGAAAGGTTCACCAGCAGTGAAATTACAGACAAACTGGGCAGCTCCATCCTGGCCACAGTCTTCAGACAGATGGTAATACATCCTCCTATCTGCACCGTGAACACAATTCAGAACGGAATGTTTGGCTAACGCTTGCTCTGCTCCCGGCAGATGATTTTCCTCCTGGAGCTGTGTTTTTTGGACATCCCTCACAGTGTGCTGCTGAAGAGCTTCTCCTCGCTGGTGGAGCTCGTCAAAAAACTGTCAAGTGACACGGGAGACATCTTCTCTAAGGTCAGTTGATTTTAGCCGAAGGTGCAGTCTTCGGTTATGTTATGAAACTTTTTCACCATAACTAAAACACGCAGGTGGATCAAGAAAGCTCGCACCAGCCCCAGAAGCCGGTGGTGCTCAGGACCTGGAACATGGAGTCCCCTCACAACTACGAGAACAGCCGACATGAGACCACCGTCTTCGCTTGTCCCGGTGCAACCTCCTTCGAGGTGGAGTTTGATGAACGCTGTGAGACAGAGAAGAGGTCACCGACACACTGCAGCAACTTCCTCAGTTTGCATTAGATAACTCTTAATGAGGATTCTAACTCAGCTTGGTCTTTACAGATATGACTATCTAGAATTCACCGACTCCAGAGGCGGGAAGGTGCGCTACGATATGAAGGTTGGAAGTGAAAAATGGCCAAAGGTAGGAGACCCTTAGCCAAGCAGCGATCCATACGTAGAAAGCAGCTTCGCTTGTTTTTCCAACCCGCCCATCTCTCTCTGCTCCTGCAGAAGGTGACGTTCGACACTGGCCGTCAGCTGCAGTTCTTGTTCCACTCCGATAGCAGCAATAATGAGTGGGGTTACAAGTTCACTGTGACGGCGCTGGGTCTGCCAGATATCACCATTTCCTGGATGTCAGACCTGCAGCTGCTGGTGGCTCGTCTCATGGGTCGCCTGGCATCCAGAACCCTGGCGCTGAAATCCCCCCACGGTGAGCCTAAGAGAAACACAGTAGTGGTTTAAATTTTAAATCCAGCTCCAAACTGAGATATTTTTTAACTTTATTTAATTTGTTGAATATTTTTCTTTGCGTTTGAGCTTTATGTCGACCTTTTAGATGTAAATTCAGTTAGATTGGTGGGTTTCTCTGTTCTCCAGAGATCCGCAGTGTGAAGGAGCTTCCTCCAGGAAAGATGTTACACGTTCAGGCTTCACCTTTATGGAAGCCCATCCTGCGACACGGCTTGTGTGAAACACGGGACAGGAACCCGACGAGAACAGCCCCTGAGCAGGTACGGAGTAACGGATGTCAACAAATAATGGACTAACCATCAATTAGGGATTCAAATTGGTTCCGATTACTTGATAATGTCTGCTTAAAAGGGATTTCTTTTAGATTTGAAGTGTATCATGGGAAAAAAGTATTCAACTATTTACTCCGGTCAGATTTGATTTACAACATAATTCCTAATTTAACCCTGGCTATTTTCTCCGAGGCCATCAGTCAGAGAAACGACTGTGTGTGACCAGAGGCTCTGCAAGAGGAGAGTTATTCCTCTGAGGAAGAGCAGCTTTAGTCGGTCGGTCTGTTAGAGGCACAGGGGAGGAAATCAGACGCATAACTTATAAGATGTTCACTAAACATTTGAAAAAATTACACTATAACTACATCTGCATATTTATGCTGTAGTGATTGTTTCTGTTTTCTTTGCTGCAGTGTTTTGTTTTGTTGTTTTTGTTTCTATTTAATCTCATGTCTTTACTATCTGTACTTTTTTAAGACGTCATGTTGTATTTGTTATTTAATTGCGCTTTCCCGTTCAAATACATGAATCAAATCAAATATACCAAAAGTGGAGCAGATGAGTACGCCCCCTACTGTCCAGGAGGAATAATCACCTTTAAAGCCCCTTTCCTTCAAATGTTGCTGGAAAAATATTTGTTTTTTTCTGTTTGCTTCACCATCATCTTAAAATAATGGATGTTAGGGTTAAACAATAATAATTAAATTCAATTCAATTCAGTTTATTTATATAGCGCCAAATTCACAACACATGTCATCTCAAGGCACTTTACAGTTCAACCAGATCATACAGTCAAATTGATACAAAGTTTTCTATCTAAGGAAAACCAGTTGATTGCATTGACTCATTGACTCAAATACAATCCCCCACACTAAGCATGCTTGTAGCGACAGTGGAGAGGAAAAACTCCCTTTTAACAGGAAGAAACCTCCAGCAGAACCAGGCTCAGTGTGAGCGGCCATCCTCCGAGGCCGACTGGGGTTCAAGGAGACAGAAGCAGAGATACAAAAAGCAGCTCTAAAAGGCGGCCCCGTCCAGGAAACACACAGCCAGGCAGACGAGCTCCAAGGCAGCTCCCATGTCAGAGGACGAAGAGAGCACATCCACTCAGTCACGGTCAGAGAAACAGGACCACACTGGAAAACAGGCCGATCTCCAACATCTATAAACAAGGGTGTTGATAGAAAAAGCACAGCTGATGTTTCTTTCCAGGATGACGTCACAGCCAAACAGGAACAGACGAGGCAAAGCTACTCTGAGGAAAAGCAGAGAGAGCAGAAGGTTAGAGATTGAACTAACAGATTCTGCAGAATAGGAGAACAGAGAGAGAATGAAGCAGAATGATGAAATGGGGGTCCCTATGTCCTCCAAAAGTCTAAGCCTATAGCAGCATAACTATAGAGATAGCTCAGGATAACCTGAGCCACTCTAACTATAAGCTTTATCAAAAAGGAAAGTTTTAAGCCTAGCCTTAAAAGTAGACAGGGTGTCTGCCTCACGGACTAAAACTGGTAGTTGGTTCCACAAGAGAGGAGCCTGATAACTAAAAGATCTGCCTCCCATTCTACTTTTAGAAATTCTAGGAACCACTAGTAAACCTGCAGATTGAGAGCGAAGTGCTCTGTTAGGAACATAAGGAACAATCAGATCTCTGATATAAGATGGAGCTTGGCCATTTAAGGCTTTATATGTGAGAAGGAGGATTTTAAATTCTATTCTTGATTTAACAGGAAGCCAATGAAGAGAAGCCAGGATAGGAGAGATATGATCTCTCTTTTTAATTTTCATTAGAACTCTGGCTGCAGCATTTTGGATCAGCTGAAGGCTTTTAACTACAGTTTGTGGACTTCCTGATAGTAAAGAATTACAATAGTCCAGCCTTGAAGTAACAAATGCATGGACTAGTTTCTCGGCATCACCCCTGGACAGGATATTTCTAATTTTTGCAATGTTCCTCAGATGAAAGAAGGAAATTCTAGAAACCTCTTTGATATGGGATTTAAATGACAGGTCCTGATCAAAAATAACACCAAGATTTTTTACTTTATTATCTGAAATCAGTTTAATCCCATCCAAATGAAGTGACTGGCTAATCAGCTTCTTTTTCAGAGACTCTGGTCCAAAGACTATAACTTCTGTTTTGTCTGCATTCAGAAGCAGAAAGTTAAGAGTCATCCAGGTTTTTATGTCTTCAAGACATGCCTGTAATCTATGTAATGGGTTAGCTTCATCTGGATTTATAGACAGATATAGCTGGGTATCATCAGCATAACAGTGGAAATTAATCCCATGCTGTCTAATAATTCTACCAATTGGGAGCATGTATAAAGTAAAGAGAATTGGTCCTAGCACTGATCCCTGTGGTACTCCACAGGTAACCTTTGAGCGTGTTGAAGATCTATCATTAACATGAACAAACTGAATTCGATCAGATAGATAAGATTTAAACCAGTCTAGTGCTGTTCCTTTAATTCCAACAAAATATTCAAGTCTTTCTAAAAGAATATTATGGTCAACTGTATCAAATGCAGCACTAAGATCCAACAGGACGAGCACAGATACAAGTCCATTATCTGAGGCCATGAGAATATCATTAGTGACTTTCACCAGAGCTGTTTCAGTGCTATGATGAGCTCTAAAGCCAGACTGAAACTCTTCAAAAAGTTCATTATGGTGGAAGTGATCGCAAACTTGTTTGGCAACTACTTTCTCAAGAATTTTGGATAAGAAAGGAAGATTGGATATAGGTCTATAATTGACCAAGTCATCTGGGTCAAGAGACGGTTTCTTAAGCAGAGGTTTAATTACAGCAACCTTAAAAGCTTTAGGTACATATCCCTGTAACAGAGATAGATTAATCACATCTAAAATGGAGGAGGAGATCAAAGGGAATACCTCCTTAAATAACCTGGTTGGAACTGGATCTAACATACAAGTTGAAGGCTTAGATGAAGACAATAATTTTGCTAATTCAGAGAGTTCAACTGGATCAAAGCAGTCTAAACCCGGTTCAGATTCCATGACTACCTCAGGTACAATCGCGGATAGAGGAGTGCTTATGATCTTGTTTTTAATAAGATCAATCTTATAAAGAATCCCATAAAATCATTGCTGCTAAGAGCAGGTGGAATGGACGGTTCAACAGAGCTATGGCTCTGGGTGAGTTTGGCAACTGTATTAAAAAGAAATCTAGGATTATTCTTATTCTCCTCTATTAATGAGGAGAAGTATGCTGCTCTTGCTTTACAAAGGGTCCTCTTATACAGCAGTAAACCATTTTTCCAGACTAGGAAGGACTCTCGCAGGCCTGTGGAGCGATATTTTTTTCTCCAGTTTCCTAGCATTTTGCTTCAAAGTACGCAGCTCTGCATTAAACCAAGGAGCAAGCTTTCTATTTTTAACGGTTTTCATTTTCAAAGGAGCTGCGTTGTCTAAGGCAATACGCAGAGAACTAGCAACCCCATCAACAAAATCATCAACCTGTGAAGGGGAATAAGCTAAGCTTTTGCACTCTGCAGCACTGCTCAGTGACACAGAGGAGAGAGAAAGTGAAGCAGATTCTTTAAAATTTATAACTGCACTATCTGATAAAGATCTACTAAAATTGAACCTTCTTTTGGGGGAGGAGAACTCTGTTAAAGTAATCCTGAAGGTTATTAGAAAGTGGTCAGAGAGGACAGGGTTGTGAGGAAATACTGTTATTTCTTCACATTCTATGCCGTATGTCAGCACAAGATCCAAAGTATGAAGATGAGAATGCGTGGGACTATTCACATTTTGAACAAAGCCAATAGTGTCTAAGATAGCATTAAAGGCTGCTCTTAAGCTATCGCCTTCAATGTCAGCATGGATGTTAAAATCTCCCACTATGATGACCCTGTCAGTATTTAATACCAAATCAGAAAGGAACTCTGAAAACTCATCTAAAAATTCAGAGTAAGGACCTGGTGGACGATACAAAGTTACAAAAAGAAGAGGTTTTCTTGCCTTGAAATTTGGATCAGGGAAATTAAGGGTTAAATGTTCAAAAGAGTTGTAGGTATTAATTGTTTTTGGAGTAATCAGTAAGTCAGACTGGAAGATTGTTGCTACTCCTCCTCCTCGCCCAGAACTTCTGGGGATGTGAAAATTTAAATAGCTTGAAGGAGTTGCCTCATTTATGCTCACATAATCCTCTTTCTGCAGCCAGGTTTCTGTAAGGCAAAACAAGTCAATGTGATTATCACAAATCAAGTCATTAACTAGTAGACTTTTAGAAGAAAGCGATCTTATGTTAAACAGACCACATTTAATTGTTTTAACTTTTTCCCCAATTGGAGTTATTTTGATTTTAATTAGATTATCATGATTTACTCCTTTGGAAATCTTTGCTAATTTATTAGATTTTGGTCGTGGGCAAGACACTGTCTGGATGGAGTAAAGAGTGGGTAACAGTAGAGAAGCTGCAGAGATGTGTGTTAAACTACAACTCTGCTTCCTGGTCTGCACCCTGGGTGGTCAGGGTTTTGGAGGACTAATAAATGTGGCCAGATTCCTAGAAAGAAGAGCTGCACCATCCAAAGTGGGATGGATGCCGTCTCTCCGAATCAGACCAGGCTTTCCCCAAAAGGATTGCCAATTATTAATGTAGCCCACGTTGTTTTCAGGACACCACCTAGACAACCAGCGGTTGAATGACGACATGCGGCTAAACATGTCATCACTGGTCAGATCAGGGAGGGGACCAGAGAAAATTACGGAGTCCGACATTTTTTTGGCAAACTTACACACCGAAGCAACACTAATTTTAGTGACCTCCGATCGGCGTAACCGGGTAACCCCGGTTAAGTAACCCCTTATTGTCCTACAAATCAACCAACACAAGACACAACACAAGTTACTTTTCTGCAGACGAGGAGAGAGGACACAGACAGACTCCCTGAAATGTCTGTGGTCAACCCTGCTGGGACCTCTCTGCTCCCTGCCGTTATTATCAGACTTCAAAGGAGTAGCAGGAGGGGTCAGAAGTTTACACATTCAAAAAGGGGGTGCAGGTTTATTGCCGGTGGTTATCAATCATCTGCAACAGCATATCTGGATAAGATCAGGCCCTTCCTGGAAGAAACATTTGCTATCCCCGATCAAGTTAAGACAACACATCATTCCTAGAAGGCCAAATGCCTGAAACTTAGTTCAGATAAAATGATGACATTTGCATTTTTCTAACAATGACTTATGTTCAGGTAAACCCTAAAACCCTGTGAAATCCCATAATTAAAAAGGACACATTTTTCCATGATTGGTTTGTGTTTTTGACCCTTCTTTGTAAAACCCTCCCTGTTTTTTTATTGGGATTTGTAGTCGGACGCATCAAGTTCAGATGAGATGTTGTTCTTCCTGGAGGACTTTGCCCGTTGGAACCCTTCACAGGAACCATCAGACCACAAAGCAGAGCTAATGCGGACCCTCGTGCAGGCTTGCAGAAAGCACCCAATGAGCAGTGAGATTGTGGCGGGATCAAAGGTGGACCAGGCTGTGAACGCCATCTGGGCGGCCATGGTTTACCACACGCCGGCCCTCAACCAGGCGCTGAAGGCATACGGTAATGCTAGCTGGGAATCGTCTTTCACACTCAGGGGGAATAGGTTGGGATTCCATCCTTCCACCTGTCTGATTCGTCGTTCTTCTCTCTTCCTGCCAATAGTTAATCAAGATTGCAAGTCCTTTCTGTGTGAAGAATTTGTGCAGGTTTACCTTCTGGCTGACAGCATCAGAACCTGGATGGTGAGGAAAACTCCAAGGATTTATGTCTGTAGCAGATCTACTCTCCTGATTTCCCTTTACTAAAGCTTTTTATTTCCCTCTCAGCTGGAGATGAAGCAGCGATACCTGGTCGGCAAAATGAACACATATGATGATAAAGAAGGCAGTCAGGAAGAGGTTACCATAGACTCGCTGGGTAATGATCCAGATAATTAGATTCTGAGGCTCCGCCCCGTACCGAATGTTTGCTCACTGATTGATTGTCTTTTCTGTCAGCTGAGATGTGCATCGAGAAGAGCCTCTTGCTGTTTCGTTTTGCCCCGTGTGGAAGATCCTGTCAGGGTGGCGAGCCGTCTAAAGCGCCAGAGGGCAGCGTCTCTCCGCTGCTCCGCTCCAAATCCGTGTCAGAAGGAGACTTCCAGCCCAGCACCTCACTGGGTCCGCAGCCGGGCCTACCTGACGACGCCAGGCAGGGACAGAACCAGCCGAACCCTGAGAACCACAGGGGAGGCCATGGCGAGCTCTCAGAGGGTCTCCCCTCCCAGCCCAAGGAGCCGGCCTCCCCCTCCACTTTCCCCCGTAAAGCACCGTTCAGTCGCTCTCGCCTTCGCCTCCTCTCCTGCCGCTCCCTTGAGGATTCCAACATTGTCCCCTCTGTCAAAGAGCGCTACCCGATCCTGAAACACATCCTGAACTTCATGAAGGATCAGGCTCTCACTACAGCAAGGTGAACATTGAATCGTTTAAAATACTCACTTCTTTTTAGATTTACTTCGCCACATTAAGAGCAACAGTTTTTCCCAGTTATTTCTAAATCGATTGATAACCCCTAAAGTTTCTAACTTGTAATAGAAAACAACATCAGAATGTGTTTGTATTATAACTGTACCTATTTAGATTAAAAAAAAAATCTTTTGGATATTCTGGGAATTTAGAGGGAAAACTGCCCCAAATAATAAGCTCTCCTCTCGGCAGCATCCTCCACACCCTGGCCCTGAACACAGCGCAGGCCCTGAGTGTGTGCAAGGTGCTGGAGACGATTCAGCAGTGTCTGCGTTCTCTGGGGCAGCCGCACCTCTTCCAGCCTCCCTGCATCCTGTTCCTGCAGGAGCTGCTGGCGTGTCAGAAGGACTTCACCAGGTAGATTCCAACCCATACGTGTGAACATCTGGGCCTGATTTCAGACTCTCATCCATCCCTTTTCTGTCTTCAGTTATTTCTCTCAGTTATCGGACAGCGGGGAGAAACTGGGAGAGGAGGTCAGACGCTCTTACCACCAGCTGGTTCTCATGCTGGTGGAGGCCATGCAGGCTTTCAACGATCTCAACGAGAAGTGAGATGTTCCTCTTTAATTATATACCAGTTTTTAACCAGATTTAAATTTTTAAAAGCAAGACCTGCAGTGATTAGCAGTGATTAGCAGTGATTAGCAGTGCTTAGTGTGCGGTAGGCTGACTGAGATTTCTCTCCCCAGAGCTCTGCTCCCAGCCCTGTCGTGTGTGCAGAGCTGCTTTCTGCACCTCCTAGACATGAACTGGGAGGTGCAGGACCTGCCTCTCTTCCTGAGCATAAAGCTTCCAGACCTCCTTTTCGCCATGTCCCAGGAGAACATCAGCGTTCACGACATCGCCATCAGGTAATCTAAGGCAGTCTGATGACATCATTCTTGAACAGGGAGAACAGGAAGTAAAGATGAGCACTAATAAAAAACCAGTTAGCTAGAAGAAATGAATCCCAAAACACAAAAGAATAATAGGTAGGAATTTTTATCTTTGATTTGCCAAATTTAGACCTTTGACTCGAACTAATGGATCATTTGGCTTTTAATATGTTGATAAATTATTTTCTCTGAATTTTGGCACTTAGACCCTCCTGGATCAAGATTTTATCACGACCCTGTTCTATGTAAACCGTTGTAGGTACCAAATCTGCTCGGGCCCTGTGCATGCCAGTGACGTCACACTACATGATTGGCTGAACGTTGCCACATGATGTAAAACATTGTGATTGCCTAAACAACGATAATAACATCACGCAGCGTCAGTGTGCTTAGTCGGGAGTATCTGTACACTGGAAAAAATCGAAATCTAGATGTCATTTTTTCTTTAAATAACTGAATTTCTCTTGGATTGAGGAGGTAAAAGAGACATTTTGCCAATGGAACAAGACAAATTACACTTAAAATAAGGAAAAACAATTGCATTGTCTTATTTCAAGTGCATATTATCTAATTATCTTATTTTAAGAGTAATAATCCTCATTCCATTGGCAAACTTTCTCATTTACCTGCTCAAATTAAGGGTAAATACACTTAATTTTGGACATTTTTACTTATTTCTAGATCGTTTTTCCAGTGTAGCGTTAGCGTGTCTAGTGACCGATGAAGTTTTACCTGATCGATAACAAAACTAAAAAAAATCTGTTTATGGTGAACAAAGTCACTGCAAGACCGTGGTATAAGGGGGGGGGGGGGGGGGGGGGGGGGGAGCTGGGCAGCGCTGTAACTAGCTGTGCTCAGTAGCTAATAGATTAGCCTCTTTTAGCGCGGTTCATTAGCCATATTCTGCTACACTACTTTTAAGTTCCTGTCAACAACAACCGTTTGTTTTCTACAAGTACAATAACTGTTTTATTAGTCTAAAATCTATATGAAAGTCATATTTTACGATGTTCCATTTGTGCTGCCCTGCACTCAGATCTTAATAAAAAGAATAAAAATAAGCTGAGACGTTTTGGTCACGTTGTTAAATGGCAGAGCTCAATCTGCACTGGAAAAAAATCTAAATCTAGATGAGTCATTTTTTTCTTAAAATAAGTGCAATTGTTCTTGGATTAAGGAGGCAAAACAGACATTTTGCCAATGAAACGAGACAATTTACACTTAAAATAAGAAAACACAATTGCATTGTGTTATTTCAAGTGCATATTATCTAATTCTCTTATTTTAAGAGTAAAAATACTCATTCCATTGGCAAACTCTTTCATTTACTGACTCAAATTAGGGGAAAAGGAATTACTTTAAACCCTTTTTCCTTATTTCTAGATCGTTTTTCCAGTCTGTCTTAGAAGGCAGTGCTTTCCTTCAAAATTGATTGTTTTTTACTTTCAGCTACTTTAGATCGCCAATGGAATGTAAAATAATAGCAAATATTGGTGATAATATGTTGAAACTCCAAAAGAGATTTTATTCTTAAGAAACGGGTGCAATACTACGGAAGAGGATTAGGGCCACTGAAAAAAAAAAGTTAACTGATTTTTTAAATTTAATTTCAGTATAGTATGGGAAAAAAGTCAGATTTCTGACTTTTTTCTCAGAGTTCTGAGATTAAAGTCAGAATTCTGACTTTTTTCTCAGAATTGTGACTGAATTCTGAGAAAAAAGTCAGAATTCTGAGATTCCCATGTTAAACTGAAATAAAATTTTAAAATCAGTTAAACTTTTTTTTTTCAGTGGCCCTAATCCTCTTCCGTACAATACAGTTTGTTCCATTGAATTTGCCATATGCTGACATCATAAGAACGAGCAGATCTGGTACCTACACCGGGACCAACTTGGACACTCAATACAGCGTCAAAATATAATGATTTTCGGGGTATTTCCTAATAGAATAACAGTATTACGAAGCAGTGAAAGCTGTATGTAGTGAAGGACAATCAGGTTCAGACACTTCCAAGCATTGCAGATATGAATTATGATAGTTAAATCTTTGGGGAGCAGATTTCATTTATTGGTTTAAAACCTGCTGTGAAATGTGGAAGAATATGTCAGAATCCTACGTTTTACTGCTGTTATCTAGATAAATGGGCATAAATGTGGATGGACCACTTGGTGTCTGATTTGATCAGTTTTTTTATGACATCTGATGAGTTAATTTTTGTTTTTAAAATCCCCCGTCAGTCAGTGGACAGAGGAGGACGAAATCGCAGACTACAAGAAGAACCAGGAATGGATGGATGAGTGTATGGATGGCATGTTTGAAAAGTGGTACGACAAGATCGATGAAGAGGACTCCATGGAGGACAGGAGGAAGGTATTTTAAAGCCAGCTGAATTGAAAGGAGCAGTCTGCGATCACGGGAGACTTTTTTTTCCTTTGAATTCTGTTCTCCAGTGTTTGCGTTAAAATAATTTTGTCCCTCAGATGCACATGTTCATCGCCCGCTACTGTGACCTACTGAATGTGGTGATCTCCTGTGATGGCTGTGAGAGGATGGCTCCCTGGCATCGTTATAGATGTCTGCAGTGCATGGATATGGACCTCTGCAAGACCTGCTTTCTCAGTGAGCCCCTGCACCCAAACGCAGCTACGATGCTACATTTAGTAAATGTGGTCCAGTGTATTAAAATATACAGGGATTGATGGTGAAATGAGTCGAGGATAGACGCAGGATTGAAATCAACTCAGAAAAATGTGGATAAATAAAAAATATTGTATTATAGTTGTGATATTTTAGCGTTTCTGATTCTGGAGGCATAATGAAACCTTGAATGTGCTGCAACCAGGTGGAGCCAAGCCTGAGGGCCACGAGGATGATCATGAAATGGTCAACATGGAGTACGCCTGTGATCACTGCCAGGGCCTGATTGTTGGCAGCAGGATAAACTGTAACGTCTGTGAGGACTTTGACTTGTGCTTCGGTTGCTACAATGCAAAGAAATATCCTGACAGGTAGCTGGTTAAAATCCCTCCTAAAGATGCTTCAGTTTTACTTCTCGTTGCAGTTTTTCATTCTTTTTTCCTCTGATTTTTAGCCACTTGCCCACCCATCGCATCACCGTGTATCCTATGGTGACCATACGGATCAGCGACCGCCATCGCCTCATCCAGCCTTACATCCACAACTACTCCTGGCTCCTGTTTTCCGCTTTGTCTCTGTATACGTCTGAGCTGAGCAGTGAGAGGCAAGTGGAGGGAGAATGTTTGGACGGCAGAGCCCTGGAGCTGGCTTCAACGCTGCAGACTCAATGCTCCCAACTTATCACCGACTGCCTGCTCAAAGGTCAGACGGGCAAAGGTACAGACAATAAGCTTTATTATTTTGTTCTATACTTGTTCTGCATGCCTGGACCACCAGAAGGCAATGTTTTGTCTGCAACATTTGTTTTAAGGGAGCACTCTCTATGGTTTGGGAGTCCGGGCGTGTGTTTCCCCAGTGAAGGAATAAAGTGACGCTTTTGCATCTGAATGAAAAGTGGAGTTATGTAACTAACAGTTGGCGACATCTAGTGGTCAGATTGGAGAACACATGGCAACCTCCAGCAACAACTTTCTTGATTTCAGTGAAATCTGGACAGAAACATTAAAAGAACTTAAGGAGGGAAAAAATAGAAAAAAAAAAGATAACAGGGAAATATGTGGAAGGACAAAAAGAGGAAGAACAGGAGAAAATAAAGTGAGGGCAGAAGTAAGGATTTAAAGAATACAAGAATAAGAGGATCAGAAAGAAAGGAGGTGGAGGAAATGGTTTAGAGGGAAGGAAGGATTAAAGAAATGAGAGAATAAAAGAAAGATGAAGGGAATCAGAGGGATGGGGTGAATGGAAGGAGTGGAATATGGATTAAAGAGAGGATAGAGAGATGGGGCTATGTCGGCTATTAGCATTTAGTAACAGCTTTTCAAACCAAGAGCATTGCTCTAAAGAATCATCATCACACTTCTCAGCAAAAGCGAATGTTTAATTTCTCCCCCTGTCCCATGCTAAGGCCTCCGCTCCTCCAACTTGCTTGCTCTGCTGTCCTCTAATGAATCGGTGTCAGAGAGCGAGCTGGGTCCGGCATCTCCTCAGACCTCCCAGGAGCTGAGTTCAGCCACAGATGCCTCCTCGCTTCCAGGCAGCACCGCAGCAGTCTGCTCTCCCTCGTCTCCTAAGGAAAAGGTCAGGAATAACCAGACGGTGTGCAGCCGTATGAAGATTAAAACACAGTGTAGTTTGTTAATCTTATCGGTTTTTTCATCCCCAGCTAAAGGACAAAACTGCAGAGGAGCTGAGTATTCCTCCTGACCTACCCATGCAACCAGATGGAGATAAAAAGCAGCTGGTTGCTCAGGACACCTTAGACTCAGGTATTGTCAGCCAGGACCCTCTTTCTGCTCTAGTTCGATGTAGGTCCTTAGATGGCCTGGGAAGGGCTCCTCGCTGCACAGTTTCTTCATTAATCCCTCTTTATATTTTTCTTACTAGGCCGATTTTGTCAAAAATCATGATTGTGATTATTTTGAACCAGTGTTGCGATTTTGATTCGATTTTCCTTTGCACTAACCCAAAGGATGTAACTCTGTGATGAAAGTTGGTGGGGACACTCAGGTGGTGGCTGATAGACCTACAGTTACTCCAACAGAACGCTTTCATTAGGTTTTTATATTTTCCCAAAAAATGAGCTCAAACATATATTTATTGAATGCTTTCCAATTGTTGAGAACATAAGAGAACCATAATACACTGATATTTATACAGTTAGAGAGATGCCTTTTAGTGCATTACATATAAAGGGCCCCAAATAATGAATAACAGCTGATTCCAATGCCAAAATTTATATATCATGCATCTCTAGAAGTACAATCTCAGTTCCATCCAGAAAAATATGGATATGCAGCATTTTAATTACAGCATAGCATATTTCTGCTAAGATATATTTTATTGCATGTTGCATATCGCAGTAAATCTGTTTCACCTTTAAATCTGCAGCTCTTTCTACTTCTCTCTGTGCTCTGTTTAAAAAGATTTATGAACCTCTTTACTTATATAATGATGCCAGAAACAAACATTCAAGATATGTAGAAGCTCTGCAGTCTGATATTGTCTGTTCAATGAGAAAACATGTTAATTTAAATCTATCTCTGGGAGTCATGGTCCTGAGAAGCCAAGCTTTTTTTAACTGGTAAAGAAAAACAAACTATGTTTTCTCAAGCTTCTTGCGTTATAACACTAACTTGTATAAACTTACAATCTGTTGTCATTTTTAGCTGAAAAAGCTCCGTATGTCTAATAAACATCTCGGTGGCATCTCGATTTTTTTTTAACCAACCCATCTTTTAACTTTTACTTAAACATACATAGAACTAGCTGCCGGTTAATAATCACTGAGTGCTGTTATATGTCTCTCTTCAGCCACGTAGCTACTACGTACACAGCGAAATTTGACTGCAAATCAGATGTCTCAAAGCGACCAATCCGATGATGTTACACCGAGAGGCGGGACATGTGAGCAGCGCAAGAGAGGGGAAAAAAACAGACTCAAAACACTCTGAACAGTTAGCTGCACCCAACCTCTGTTAGCTTTGGCTAAAGTAAATGAGCGGAAAGGGGAAAAATAATATTAGTGGGGACTGTCCCCACCAGGCCTAGATGGTGGGGATATGTTCACAGCAGTCCTTCAGAGAGTTACGCCTTTGCACTAACCCCAAGCTTCTAGATGTTTCACTTCAGTCTTTCAGTTTTTAAAATCTTGCTTACCCAGAGTCCATTGTTGCAGAATTTTACTGTTAAAAAGTGCTTTCTCCGACCTGCATGGATCTGTGAGCTAGCTGCAACTCTCTCTACCTTTCTCTGTGCCCACAAACCCACTTTAAGACTTTTACCGCCAACTAGAGGGGTAAAGTGAGAAATGTCATGTCTTACTACTTGTTAAGTATAGGGTGATTAAAAATTGAGAGACAATGCGATTTGGAAATTGTGTTTTGTTAAATTGCGATTATATTCCACGTGTAATTAACTGCCCGGCCCTATTCCTTACCTACTTCCTCAGCGTCAGGATCAGGACCAGGGACACTCAACTCCCCGGCATCAGATGTTGTCAAGGAGACGGATGAGAGGCTGCCGCAGGTTCCCCTGCAGGAGCACGTGTTTTCTGAGTGCTCCAGAGAGAGGATCGTAGGACTGCTGGCAGCCATGCTCCCATCAGCAAAGCCAGTATGTCAAGCTAAAGGCTTTTACAGGGTTTATATCCAGTTCATATGTAAGGGCGCTGAAAATAACAGTAGATTGAACTGATTTACCTTTTCCTCCTGCGGATTAACTAATAGTAAGGATTTTTTAAAGAATGATCCTCCTGGAAGCCCATTAAAAAAAAACATCACACATTTTATCATCAATAGTGATTATAACTGTTGTTTTTTTTTTTTACTATTATTTTTATTTTCCTTTTTGCTTTCGTTACTCAAATCTTCCCTCTTGTGACCCCAGGACAGCAGCCTCAGTCTGTCCAGCCTGAGCTCCATCCTGCCGCACCTTTTCAGAGCAGTTATCTCCAACGCCGGCTCTCTGAACGAGACCTACCATCTCTCCCTCGGCCTCCTGGGTCAGCTGCTACTTCGAATCGCTCCGGCAGAAGCAGACGGCGCCGTCACAGAGGCGCTGGCGGACAAATACGAGCTGCTGACACAAGGAGACGGCGCTTGTTCAGACACTCAGGGCTGGAAGACCACCCAGCTGCTGTTCAGCCTCGGGGCGGTCTGTCTAGACAGGTAACTGTCCTCAAACACGGAGTTAATGCGTGGAATCATGTTTAAGATGCTGATGTTTGAAGCTTCTGTTCATCTGCTTTAAAGGAAAAGTCCGGTCAGCAGGAAATAATCAAAGGATCTTTATCTATACCTGAAACTAAGTTTGCGGTGATTTAATAAATTTAGCATTAATAAGTAAAAAAATAAAAACAATAATTTTCATTGCTATCACCGAGTTTCGGAGCGGCCATTTTTGCCCAAATATAGTAGCCCCTCCCTCCTGCCATCTTCCAGCAAGAACGTCACGGTGCGGTAAGCCTAGCGCCATTCTCCCGGCTTTATAAGCAAAATCAATGGGAACTACTAGACACATCTGCAATCAACAACAATTATTGAAGATTTCCAGAGGACTTCACCATTGAAATTCACCAGAGCTATAGTGAAACTGACAATGCCTACGTGCATGGCAGCTGGATGCTGGAATACATCGTGTAAAAGTAAAAAAAAAAAAAAAGAATTATTTCACCTTTCTGATTCCTGATCCTCCACAGACGGGTTCATCGTTGGATTGCCAACTTGAAGAGGGAGGATTTGCCATTGAACTTCTGGCCAGAGAAAAAAACGTAATATGTATCCAACATTTAGAAGAAGAATGTTTTCAAGATGTCTTGGATAATAGCGCGTTGTGACAAACACCAGATACAGCACTGGGACTTGATCAACAGCCGATACGTCACAAACGTCACGGTGTAGTGTTCTTTGACAAACATGGATGCCTCCAGTAAAGGACATTCAATTGAAAATTACTCTTAATTAAAAACATTGATTTATTGAACAGTATGTAATAATTTCATGATTAAAGTATTTTTAGAAGTTTGAATTCTGAACATGACCGGACTTTTCCTTTCAGTTAGTCTGTGTGACATTTGCTGGACCCATTATGCTAGAATGCCATTAGAGTCGTTCCCAGACCTTAGCTGGACCTCATGTTGTACTGAGGTGTCCCTGCAGCGGCTCTCTGCAGAACCACTGAAGCTCTTGTTTTGCAGCCGTATCGGTCTGGATTGGGCGTGCACCGTGGCAGACATCTTACACACTCTTAACACCTGTCCTGAGTGGAGCACGGTCATCGCTGCCTTCACTGACCACTGCATCCAGCAGCTTCCCCAGACTCTAAAACGGACCAACCTTTTCACCCTGCTGGTGCTGGTGGGCTTCCCTGAGGTATGTGTTCAGCTTCCCTGCAGGCGCCACTCTGCCGCAGAGCGATGCTAAGCCATAGTTTTCCTTTTCAGGTCCTCTGTGTGGGCACCCAGACGGTGTTCATCGACAACGCCAACGAGCAGCATAACATGATCCTGCTGAAACACTTCACAGAGAAGAACCACGCTGCAGTGGTAGACGTTAAGACACGCAAGAGGAAAACCGGTTAGTCCGGTATTAACAGTTGACTGTTATTTGTGTTCAGATTAAACATGTTGGTAATCTGTGTGGGTCTTCATTTACAGTGAAGGATTACCAGCTTATCCAGTCCCAGGATTCAACGACAGCCAGTCTCCCAGCTCAGACAGGGAGTCAAAGCTGCCAAAAGACTCTTCTGAGTCGCTACCTGACCAATTTCACCTCCATAATTGGTCATTTATTACAAGCGAACCAGGATAACGGCTTTCCTGATGCTGTGGAGGCTTCCTGGGTGCTTTCTCTGGCCCTCAAAGGTCTTTACAACACACTGAAGGTAGCTACCCCCAAGGATCCATAGCCAGTCTTATCTCTTCTGCCTGAATATAACATTCATCTTGGTGCACTTTGCTCTCCTGTGTAGAAGCATGGCGTGGAGCACGCACACGAGGCCATCCAGCAGTCCGGGCTGACCCAGCTGCTCGTCAGGAAGTGCAGCAAAGGGACGGGCTTCAGCAAGCTGTGGCTGCTGCGAGACCTGGAGATCCTCTCCATCATGCTGTACTCTTCCAAAAGGGAGATTCACTCCATGGCTCAGGACCCCGAGCGGGACCAAAGGGAGCAGGAGAAGGAGCACGACTCGGACCACTCCTGCGGCGGCGTAGACGAGGTCGACACCAACAAGCCCGACCCATTGGAAGGCCTCGATGAGGAGACGAAGATTTGCTTCCTGGTGATGAGCGACTCCTTGTGGAAAGACTTGCAGCAGAGTAAAGTGACTGAGAACGTCCCCATCTGAGCATTTGGTTTGTTTATTTTTGAATCCAGATCACCCATGATGCCTTAAATGCTCCCCTGCCGATTCTGCGAGCCATGTATGAGCTGCAGATGAAGAGGACGGACTCCTTCTTCCTGGAGGTGCAGAAGAGGTCAGCATCATTGAGATATTTAACCTCTCTGGTTCATTTAAAACTCAAATATTTACTGAAATACACCTAAATAAAATCAATCTGCTATCACAGAAGGACAGATTTCACATACATATTACACATACGTTTTTTTCGCAGATCACATTCTCTTCAATTCAAACTCAATGCAAACACTCGCTCTTGATGCAAATATTGACCAATGAAAATGTATTTACTAACGTCTTTTTCGAAAATAAGGGATCAGAATTCAACTCATAGTCATGCGTTTATTTTCAGGTTTGATGGAGAAGAGATCAAAACGGATGAGAGCATCAGGACTCTGGCTCAGAAATGGCAGCCTTCCAGGAGGCCTCGCTCTGAGGAGAGAAACACCAAAGCTGTGGACACTGACATGATAGTGATTTCCTGCATGGTAAGGAGACTGAAACTTGTTTTTGTTTGTTTTTCCCCAAAATATATTATTTCAAATCTCTTTTCTCCTGTGTCCTTATCCACTCGCCCAGTCTAAACCCAGCCACTGTGAAAAGGCCACAGAGGAAATCAATGTTGTGGCCCAAAAGCTCATCACCAATTCAGAGAGCGACTTGCAGCTCAGCTACGCCAAACAGAGGCGCTCCAAAAGCTCCGCTCTCCTTCACAAGGAGCTGGACGTCCGCAGCAACCGGGCAGTTCGTCAATACCTGGTGAAGGTCAACCAAGCCATCGCCACACTTTACGCCCGCCACGTCCTGGCCTTGCTGCTGGCCGACTGGCCCGCGGAAGCGCCGCTGAGCGAGGAGGCGCTGGAGCTGAACGGGGCCTCTCATATGGCTTACATCTTGGACATGCTGATGCAGCTGGAGGAGAGACCCCTCTGGGAGAAGGTGATGGAAGAAACACAGAGGAGTTTGAAGCTCCAGTTTGATGCAAGATGGCTTTAAACATCATTTTGATGGGTTATTTCTGTCATTGGTCAGATTCTGCAGAGGGTGCTGAAGGGCTGCAGCCAGAGCATGCTGTCCAGTCTGTCTCTCACCGCTTGCCAGTTCATGGAAGAGCCGGGAATGGCTGTACAGGTCAGAGAGTCCAAACACCCATATGACAACAACACCAACTTTGAGGTAAGTGGATCGTTTTGGCGACATATAAACTTCACAAGTTCTATATTGTGAGTCTAACAGTAAGATTAACAAATAAAACATGAGAACTGGTGCCTCTTAACTGGACAAGTGAATTTATACATTTAAAGAAACTTGACACATCTTTATAGGCACTTGCTTATTGTGTGGTAATGTTGATTATGGTTTAGAGCTGAGCTAAAACTATAAATTTACTTTTTAATAATATTCAACTCTATGTTGGACCGTTTAAAAATGTTTAAAAGTTTTTCTTTTCTGTTTTTTTTATAAACACCGGCCAAAAAATGTCAATAATATGAAGGCAAACTGTTTAAGAAGGCCGTATACAAACTTTTTAATGGAAAGTTAAGTGGAAGGAAAAACGTTGGTGCAATAGGTTGCGCTTGCAATATAAAAAAACATCAGCTTGTACAGGATTGTGAAACAAGAAGAGTCGGAGCATCAGGAGATGAACCCAGGACACGGGGTCTAACCGTCACATTTCTTAATTCAATTCAGTTTATTTATAAAGCGCCAATTCACAACACATTTCATCTCAAGGCTCTTTACAGTTAAACCAGATCATCCAGTCAAATTGATTCAAAGTTTGCATCGACTTGGCTCGACGGCAATCCCTCACGCTAAGCATGCTTATAACGACAGTGGAGAGGAAAAACTGGTAGTTGGTTCCACAGGAGAGGAGCCTGATAACTAAAAGATCTGCCTCCCATTCTACTTTTAGAAATTCTGGGAACCACTAGTAAACCTGCAGATTGAGAGCGAAGTGCTCTGTTAGGAACATAAGGAACAATCATATCTCTGATATAAGATGGAGCTTGGCCATTTAAGGCTTTATATGTGAGAAGGAGGATTTTAAATTCTATTCTTGATTTAACAGGAAGCCAATGAAGAGAAGCCAGGATAGGAGAGATATGATTAATACATGTGAAGCAACTTTAAAGCTCTTCCATCTCCCTTTATGAAGATGCTGATCGATTTTACTGCAGAACTTTGCATTAAGTCTAATTGTCCATCAGCTAAACCCCTTTATATTACACTTAGTTTTACATTAGCAACCTGCTTCTCTAATCTCTAATTTGAGATACACATCATCCCGAAGGGGGGAAAAAACATTCTTTTTATAATTTCTTTAATTTGTCAAGCTGGGATAAATCATTCTAATGGCGTTTTGAACCTTTAGGACAAAGTGCACATCCCTGGAGCCATCTACCTGTCCGTGAAGTTTGACTCCCGCTGCTACACGGAGGAAGGCTGTGACGAGCTCATCATGTCCAGCAGCAGCGACTTCCTCCAGGACGTCCATAACTTCAGCGGATCTCCTCAGAAGTGGTCTGATTTTGAGATCCCTGGTAAGAACAGCTGTTTGGCCTTCAGTCCTTAAATCACCTGTTTTCTAATTTAGCTTCCTGACCAACCTTCCTGTTTCAGGCGACACCCTTTACTACAGGTTTATGTCTGACATGAGCAACACAGAGTGGGGATACAAGTTCACCGTGACGGGGGGCCACAGAGGGCGCTTCCAGACGGGTAAATGACCCCACCTGATGATGACATTCCTAAACCAGTCATCTTAAAGCCTCATTTTAATCGTTTCTCTTCAGGGTTTGAGATCCTAAAGCAAATGTTAGCTGATGTTCGGTTGCTCAGCCATCTGCCGTTGGCTGACATCTGGGAGTGGCAAGTGGGCGTGGCCTGTCGTCAGACTGGAAGCCAGCGACTTAAAGCCATCCACCTGCTGCTCCGTCTGCTGCAGTGTCAGTGTGAAACGTGAGTCCACTTTTATATCGGCCAATAAAACAGCTTTTAATTTCCAGATTTGGAAATGGACTTCCAGTAGTTCCTCATCCAGTAGTTGGTGCTCCTCACCTCAACAGGTGCTTTGCATGGAGCCCTTGATAAACGTCTTAGTTGTGGCAACAGAGATTAGTTAAACTATGTGTTTAATATTTTGCATGAGTGCAAACTAGGTCAAAGTTGGAGCTCATGCAAAGTCGGTGTAGGTACCAGATCTGCTCGGGGCCCCGCCCCTTCTTCATCATCGTATGGCAACTTCACTCGGACAAACTGTATTCCACCTGTTTCTTAAGAATAAAATCTCTTCTCGAGTTTCAACATATTATCACCTATATTTGCTATTATTTTACATTTCATTGGCGATCTAAAGTCACCGAAAGTAGAAAACAATCATTGTCAGTCTTGAAGAAAAGCACTGGCTTCTAAGACAGACTGAGCTCTGCCATTTAACATCCATCCATCCATCCATCCATCCATCCATCCATCCATCCAAAGACCCCCATGATGAACACAATATTTGGATTCAGCGTTCCCTCGCCCGGACGCGGGTCACCGGGGCCCCACTCTGGAGCCAGGCCTGGAGGGGGGGCACGATGGCGAGCGCCTGGTGGCCGGGCTTTTACCCATGGGGCCCTGCCGGGCTCAGCCCGAAGAGGAAACATGGGTCCCCCCTTACATGGGCCCACCACCCATGAGAGGGGCCATAGGGGTCGGGTGCAATGTGTGTTGGGTGGCGGCCGGGGGAGGGAACCCTGGCGGTCCGATCCTCGGCTGCAGAAGCTGGCTCTTGGGACGTGGAATGTCACCTCGCTGGTGGGGAAAGAGCCGGAGCTAGTGTGTGAGGCTGAGAGGTTCCGGCTAGAAATAGTCGGTCTCACCTCAACACATGGTTCTGGTTCTGGAACCAGTCTCCTTGAGAGGGGCTGGACATACTTCCACTCTGGAGTTGCCCACAGTGAGAGGCGCCGGGCAGGAGTGGGCATACTTGTTGCCCCCCATCTCGGTGCCTGTACGTTGGGGTTTACCCCGGTGAACGAGAGGGTAGCCTCCCTCCGCCTACGGGTGGGGGGACGGGTTCTGACTGTTGTCTGTGCTTACGGGCTGAACAACAGTTCAGATTACCCACCCTTCTTGGAGTCCTTAGAGGGGGTACTGGAGGGTGCCCCTCCTGGGGATTCCCTTGTTCTGCTGGGAGACTTCAACGCTCACGTGGGCAATGACAGTGAGACCTGGAGGGGCGTGGTTGGGAGGAATGGCCGCCCTGATCTGAACTCGAGTGGTGTTCTGTTGTTGGACTTCTGTGCTCGTCATGGATTGTCCATAACGAACACCATGTTCAAGCATATCGGTGTCCATATGTGCACATTGCACCAGGACACCCTAGGCCGCAGTTCGATGATCGACTTTGTCATCGTTTCATCGGACTTGCGGCCGTATGTCTTGGACACTCGGGTGAAGAGAGGTGCTGAGCTTTCCACTGACCACTACCTGGTGGTGAGTTGGCTCCGGTGGTGGGGGAGGATGCCGGTCAGACCTGGCAGGCCCAAACGTGTTGTGAGGGTCTGCTGGGAACGTCTGGCGGAGTCCCCTGTTAGGCGGAGCTTTAACTCCCATCTCCGGCAGAACTTCGAACACATCCCGGGGGAGGTGGGGGACATTGAGTCCGAGTGGACCATGTTCCGTTCCTCCATTGTCGAGGCAGCTTATCTGAGCTGCGGCCGCAAGGTTGTCGGTGCCTGTCGTGGCGGCAACCCTCGAACCCGTTGGTGGACACCTCCGGTGAGGGATGCTGTCAGGTTGAAGAAGGAGGCCTATCTGGCCTTTTTGGCCTGTGGGACTCCGGAATCAGCTGATGGGTACCGGCGGGCGAAGCGGCATGCGGCTCGGATGGTTGCTGAGGCAAAAACTCGGGTGTGGGAGGAGTTTGGAGAGGCCATGGAGAAAGACTTCCGTACGGCTCCGAAGCGATTCTGGTCTGCCATCCGGCGTCTCGGGAGGGGGAAGCAGTGTAGCACCAACACTGTTTATAGTGGGGATGGTGTGCTGCTGACCTCGACTCGGGACGTTGTGGGTCGGTGGGCGGAATACTTCGAAGACCTCCTCAATCCCACCAACATGTCTTCCATTGAGGAAGCTGGGCCTGGGGACTCTGGACTGGGCTCTCCAATCTCTGTGGGCGAGGTCGCCGAGGTGGTTAAAAAGCTCCTCGGTGGCAGGGCCCCAGGGGTGGATGAGATCCGCCCGGAGTTCCTCAAGGTCCTGGATGTTGTAGGGTTGTGTTAACTGACACGACTCTTCAACGTTGCATGGACATCGGGGGCAGTCCCCCTGGATTGGCAGACTGGGGTGGTGGTCCCCCTGTTCAAAAAGGGGGACCGGAGGGTGTGCTCCAATTACAGGGGAGTCACACTCTTAAGCCTCCCCGGCAAGGTCTATTCGGGGGTGCTGGAGAGGAGGGTCCGTCGGATAGTCGAACCTCGGATTCAGGAAGAGCAGTGTGGTTTCCGTCCTGGTCGTGGAACGCTGGACCAGCTCTACACCCTCAGCAGGGTCCTGGAGGGTGCATGGGAGTTCGCCCAACCAGTCTACATGTGCTTTGTGGACTTGGAGAAGGCGTTCGACCGTGTCCCTCGGGGGGCCCTGTGGGGGGTTCTCCGGGAATACGGGGTGCCGGGCCCTTTGATACGGGCTGTCAGGTCCCTGTATGACTGGTGTCAGAGTCTGGTCCGCATTGCCGGCAGTAAGTCGGCCTCATTTCCGGTGAGAGTTGGACTCCGCCAGGGCTGCCCTTTGTCACCGATTCTGTTCATTACCTTCATGGACAGAATTTCTAGGCGCAGCCAAGGTGTTGAGGGGATCCGTTTTGGTGGCCTTAGGATTGCGTCTCTGCTTTTTGCAGATGATGTGGTCCTATTGGCTTCATCAGGTCGTGATCTGCAGCTCTTGCTGGATCGGTTCGCAGCCGAGTGTGAAGCGGCCGGGATGGGGATCAGTGCCTCCAAATCCGAGGCCATGGTCTTGAGCCGGAAAAGGGTAGAGTGCCTTCTCCGGGTCGAGGGGGGTGTCCTGCCCCAAGTGGAGGAGTTTAAGTATCTTGGGATCTTGTTCACGAATGAGGGAAGAAGGGAGCGGGAGATCGACAGGCGGATTGGTGCAGCGTCTGCCGTGAAGCGGGCGCTGTACCGGTCCGTCGTGGTGAAGAGAGAGCTGAGTCAAAAAGCGAAGCTCTCGATTTACCGGTCGATCTACGTTCCTACCCTCATCTATGGTCATGAACTCTGGGGCATGACCGAAAGAACGAGATCGCTGATACAAGCGGCCGAAATGGGTTTCCTCCGTAGGGTGGCTGGGCTCTCCCTTAGAGATAGGGTGAGAAGCTCGGTCATCCGGGAGGGACTCGGAGTAGAGCCGCTGCTCCTCCACGTCGAGAGGAGCCAGTTGAGGTGGCTTGGGCATCTGTTTAGGATGCCTCCTGGACGCCTCCCTGGTGAGGTGTTCCGGGCACGTCCCACCGGGGGGAGGCCCCGGGGAAGACCCAGGACACGCTGGAGAGACTATGTTTCTCGGCTGGCCTGGGAACGCCTTGGGGTTCCTCCTGAAGAGCTGGAAGAAGTGGCTGGGGAGAGGGAAGTCTGGGCCTCCCTTCTTAAGCTGCTGCCCCCGCGACCCGACCCCGGATAAGCGGAGGAAGATGGATGGATGGATGGATGGATGGCATTGTCAGTCTTGAAGAAAAGCACTGGCTTCTAAGACAGACTGAGCTCTGCCATTTAACATGGTGACAAAAACGTCTCAGCTTATTTTTATTCTTTTTATTAAGATCTAAGTGCAGGGAAGGACAAATAGAACATCCTAAAAATTACTTTTGTAGAGTTTTTAGACCAAGAAAACAACAGTTATTCTACTAGTAGAAAACGAACGCTTGTCCTTTGCACAAAGTTGAAAGTTAGCTTAATACGGCTAACTGATCGAGCTGAAACAGGCTAATCTGTTAGCTAATTAGCACAGCTAGCCACAGCGCTGCCCAGCTCCCCCCCTTCATGTCATGGTCTTGCAGTTACTTTGTTCACCATAAAGATATTTTTTCAGTTTTTTTTAATCAATCAGGTAAAACTTAATTGGTCATTAGACACACTACACTTCAGATACTCCTGACTCTGCACACAGACGCTGCATTATTTAATTAGCGTTGTCTGGGCAACCACAATGTTTTATGTGATGTGGCAACATTCAACCAATCAGGTACATTAACATGAACTCAACACACTGTAGTAAACAGATAAATGGAGGCAGAAGATGTCTTTCAGTCATCAATGCACACATTCAGCGACACACAGGAGCTCTTTCAAGCTGGGCACCGTTTCATTCACAACACCTGTCCCATCAACCAGGAATCACAATCAGAAATACTTTAATAATCCTTTTAACAAACGAAACCTTTGAAGACCCCTGATTTTGCGTAATGCGCATAACTCGAGCAGATCTGACCACCTAAACACTTCATGAAGAGGTACCAGACAGAGCGGTACCATCTCCCTGCCTGGCTGCACACTGCTGCTCAGCTGGCAGAGGGATGGCAACACGTTTTCCTTGTTTAAAAAAAAAACTGCTGTTTATATTTCTGACCAGTGACTAAAAATGTTAATTTAATTTTAAATCTAATCTACAAGCAGAATGTTTTAAGGCTAGCTACATCAGCACATAGCATGGCTAATTAATCTGAATTATTATAGAGCAGAATGGGAAAAGGGTACTTTTTATTTTTCATTTTCTTAAAATGCTTCTACGTGTAAAAGGACTGAAATAATTAATTAATTGATAATTTATGTAATTATCAAATTATTTAGTTGAATTAAACCATTAGCAGGAGTAAACAGACTATAAAACATGCTCTTTGCTGAAAGGATAATATTGGTGTTGGCTGACATCCATCTTTTTTTAAGAATATCAGTATCAGTCTGATAAGCAGAAACGGGCTGATATGAACAATTTTCCATTAGAGATCGATTTTTTAAAGAAGGATACAGATTATTTTAACATCAATCAAACTAACTGATCTGTAAAAGTGAAACTCTGGTATTAACAGGAGCTTTGTTTCTCTCACTGCGTTTCTGACTCTGGCCTTTGCTGGTGTTTGTTCTCCAGAGCCTGCGAGCTAACGCTGCTGCGGCCGCTATGGCAGCTCTTCATGTCCATGGAGAGCAACCTGAGTCAGGATCCTACCAGTATATCGGTGCTGCTGCCTCTTCACAGAGCTCTCACTGAGCTCTTCTTCATCGCAGAGGCCCGGGCCATTGTGAGTACACATGGACGCACTAATAATACTATATAATGTATACTAATATCTACTAATATTCTTTCAAAGTTAGCGACTTCGTCAGAAGATTTTTACAGACAACCAGTCACAGAGGAATCCTGTCCCTCATAATTTTCTAATCAGCTTCTGCTGAAGCTACTGATCCAACGTTTTATTTGGATGATATCTGGATTTGAAATATGCCGAGGCAATTCGTTTAACATTCGGGACTAAGCTCCAGGTTTCAGAAACCTGACATGTGAACAATTAACTGAAATAGAGAAACGTTTGTGAACTAAATGACTGAAAGAACCCAAAACACAGCAGTCGATATGAGGGGTTAGTCCTTGGGGCCCTGTCACCATGGCGATTTAGACAGTGCATGCACGATGTCCTAGAATCTTCTAAAATACTGGCACACTGAACTTTCTATCTAATTTTTAAATTTTGGGCGCATACATAGCGTATTCATAACGAGTCCAGAACTTATGTCCAACGGCAGCCTCACACTAAGCATGCTTGTAGCGACAGTGGAAAGGAAAACCTCCCTTTTAATAGGATGAAACCTCCAGCAGAACCAGGCTCAGTGTGAGCGGCCATCTGCCGAGGGGAGACAGAATGAGTGAAGGAAGGGGAAAGATGAGCTTTATAAACAATACGAGATATAAAAAAATGAAAATATCTGAATGAATGAATGAATGAACCTGTAGAACTGACATAATCACTAGAAGGCCATATTAGCCTTTTCTGTCTGACTTCATCAAGTCTGGGACAGAAGCAGAGATACAGAAAGAAGCAGAGATACAAAAGGAACTTGTCAACCAGCTCCACAGGAGGCCCCATCCAGGAAACACACAGTCAGTCAGATGAGCTTTGAGATCCAGTTAGTAACAGAATGATGATGAAATCTTTTGGTTCTTTGAAAAAGTAAAAAAGCCATTTTTTACCCCATCGATCGGACACAAGAAAAAAAGATTTCTCAGGATTTATTGGTCTCAAGTTTCAAGAGTTAAAAAAAACTCTGACGGCAATAAAATGAAACTAAAAGATTTCCTGATTAAACTAGAGTATCTAGTTCTAGATCCTGTCTTCGAGCATCACTGGAGAAATCAGCTGTTCCTGTTTGCTACCATAGAGACGTTTCTTCAGCTGAACATGTCAAAAAGGGAGATAACAGAGTTTCTTCCTTTTCCCCCGTGTTCCCTCATCTCTCTGCTTGATGACCATGTTTACCTCTAAGCCCACCTGCTCTGTCCTGGCTCGGGGCCAAAGCCCAGACACCATCTGCCAGATGGCAGCGAGCCACACAGGCTCAGCTTGGGAGAGACAGAGGTGCTATCTGATCTTTATATTCTCCCTCTCTTTATTCTCTCATCCTGAATTATTTAAATGCATCTCTGGGATTAAAAGTGCGTCACAGGCAGGAGTTTCCCATCTGTAGATGCAACCCAGACAGACAGTCACTGGAAGAACAAGACCTTTCTTAGACCATCTGGGTCTGGCTGGGGACGCCCCGAGTGTCTGATCTGTCTATAAAATGACATCAGCGGAGCCAAGACATGTTTTCTGCTCCTGCAGGAGGAAACATGGCAGCTGACAGACAGCAGGGGGCAGTAGTGGTGCTCAGCAGCGACACAAAGGATGTCCTTCATAGACATTGCAGTCCTGAGTCTGCAGTGGTTCATGAAGGTGGTAAAATTAACCCCTGGACTTCACGCTGCAACAAGAGGATCAAAAAGAAGAGCTGTTTGCAAGACACGAAAAAAGTTCCAATGCCGTCCTGCAGATGCAAAGTTTTAATGAGGATGTAGATTTTATTTAAAAGCTGTTCTTCCTGAACGTGGACTGGAGGCAGCAGAAGCCTTTTATGAGCTGCTGTAACATGCAAAGCTGCACCAACTGTCATTTTCCTCCACAGCTTCGCCCTGGAAAAGTCCGTCCGTCTGGTTTTCCATCGTTTTCACTCAAAATGGGCCAAAAATAAAAAGACAGATTTGGAAATGTACAGGAATCTGACATTAAAATGTGTTGCCTCTAAAATGAAGGACGGGTCGGCGTCCTGCGTGAGCTTTCCCTCCACAGGCGTCCACCCTGTGGTCTCAACGCTCAGATTCTGGAGCTTATCGCTCGGTCAGATGTGACCATATTAGGCGTGAGCCGGCAGGAAGCTGGCCTGAAACATCGAGCATTGATCCCAGCCCTTCGTCTGCACTCAGTGTTCTAGTCCCCTGAGATTTGGTGTACTCCTCACCCCAGGAAGCGAAGGATATATTTAGAAATCAAAACACAGAATGTCACGCTCCACTGACTTGTTCATTTGGTCCAAGAATGTTTTTTTTTTTTTCTTCAGCATAAACAGGGGATGCTGGGAGATGAATATGAAAGCAGGGTTCTGGATTTTGTCTGCAGAGCTGTAAACTCTGGGTTTCAGACTCTGTGGAGTCTTTTCTGTGTTTATGGGGGATGAAATGTATCGCAGCACCTTGCAGATTTAGATGGAATTTAGTGTGAGAGTTAATTTAAAGCAGGAAGGAAACGATGCATCTAACAATCTGAAAAGTGTGGCATGCATTTATTTCCACAAGAAGTGAATTTTCTTTTGTTTCGGTGATTTGAAAAATAATTTAATTTAATTCGTAAATAGTCTCACAGCATGTCGGAGCGACATACCCTGTCTGTTAATGATAGTTCTACATCTCTGTGTGTTGGAAATAATGTTTCACATAAGGCCTTCTAACTTTTGTTAGTATATGTTCCTGTGCTGTTTTAGTTTCTTAAGTTCACTAATGCGACCCGTGTGCCGAGGCTTTAGTCCCTGACGAGGCCGTTGCAGGTTCCAGTCCTGGCCTTTGGACCTATGCCGCTGTTTTCCTACCGTTCTTCAAACCCGTTTCCTGTCTGTCTAGTTGGAATAATAAAATAAATTTAGTGACTTTTTTTTAGTACATGGTTTAACATAAAAGGGCTAAAAAATATTTTAACCTTTTATGTTGTATAAAAAGATCTTGATGCAAGAGAAAACTCAGAGTCTTCAAGAAAATGACTGATTATCGGTTAGTTGTTGGTTGATTGAAATCAAGTAATTTTATATAAATTCATTAATCCATTACTGTAATTCCTACAAAGTACAGATTTTTGTTCTGTCATTAGGAAGCATGTGTTTGCTGTGTCCTCTACGTACCTGAAGGAAAACCAAACGAGACATTTTAAAAGTCCAGTTAGCAAGGAACAATCAATGGATCATTATCTATACCTAAAACTAATACGTTTGTCGTGATTTAACGTTAATCAGTAAAAAAATAAAATAAAATTTTGTTGCGATCACTCAGTCTGGGAGCGGCCATTTTTGCCCGAATAGAGTAACCCCTCCCTCCTGCCATCTTCTGGCAGTGACGTCACGGTGCGGTAAGCCTAGCGCCATTCTCCCCGCTTTACAAGCTGAATCAATGGGAACTACTAGACACATCTGCAATCAACAACAATTATTGAAGATTTCCAGAGGACTTCATTGAAATTCACCAGAGCTATAGTGAAACTGTCAATGCCCACGTGCATGGCAGCTGGATGTTGGAATGCTTCGGGTAAAAGTGAAAAAAAAGAGTTATTCCACCTTTCCGATCCATTATCCTCCACGGACAGGTTCATCGTTGGATCGCCAACTTGAAGAGGGAGGATTTGCCATTGAACTTCTGGCCAGAGAAAAAACACGTAATATGTAGCCAACATTTGGAAGAAGAATGTTTTCAAGATGACTTTTATAATAGCGCGTTTTGACAAACACCAGATACAGCACTGGGACTTGATCAACAGCCGATACCGCACCGTGACATCACAAACCAGTAGGTGGCAGTAGTGTTCTTTGATAAACATGGACGCCTCCAGTAAAGCACATTCACATGAAAATTACTCTTAATTAAAAACACTTATCGTTTTTTGACCAGTGTGTAATAATTTCATATTTAAAGCACTTTCAGCAGTTTGAATTCTGAAGGTTTTTTCCTTTTTGATGATCTTCTTTAGATCATTTTATTGAGTTTATTCCACCACCTGAGCTGTGGGTCCCTGCAGCTCCTCCAGAGTTAACATGGACGTCCAGACTTGTCTGACCGATGCCTACAGGTTTAGGTGGACCACTTTATGGTGGTTGGCTCTGCGTCTATTTACTTATTGTGTGATTATAAAAGAATTTTTTTCTGTGTCCTTTTGGGAAAAAAAAATCCTTTTTCTTCTAGTCCCCGGTTATTTTCTTCAGAGGCGCTGCTGCTTTTCTCCAGCTGTCAGCGGCTGGGGGGGGGGGGGTTCCTGGACAGATAGAGCGATTTAGTGAGGACAGTTAACCTACCATGACAATTGTTCTGTTGAAAGCTGTCAGCCTCCTGCTGTTTGTTTGTTTGTTTTCTTTTTTGTGCTGCAGATTTTCCAACCAAACTTGTCTTTATTTCCCAGAATCAAGGAATCCTTCAGGAATACCTGCTGGCCATGACCACTGATGAGCAGCTCCTCAGCCACACTACAATGGTAAAACCATTTCTCCTGTTTAGACCAACATTTAGGGGCTGCTCCGAAGTCCTTCTGAAATCCCTCCTTCCCCAGAGTTTCTCAGGTCATGAACCACGATCTCTGCTGTCAAGTGGTTCCCTGGGTGGAGGAAGGTAGCTGTCAGAAGCTGCCCGCTCCCTGAAGTGTTATGTATCTGTCTTTCAACCACGCACTCTCCTTATTGAATGGTCCTCAGTCGCTGTGAGTCAGCTTGCTTAAGGAGACTCAGAGAGCTGCTGACACCCAGCAGGTTCCCTCGGCACCCCCTTCCTCTTGTTTTTTTTTTTTTTAAGTGTGTGGGCTGTGCTCAGAGCTAATGTATTTGATAATTACAGTCCATTAGCATTTAGAGGCACAGCGAGCCCCAGCGTCCTCCGTACCAACGGCGCTGGAACGCACCGGTGGGCCCTAAAGGCGGCTCAGAGAAAAACAAAACAAAAAAACACTGTGGGTGGTTCTGCTGAGCAGTTACCTAACACCTGTCAGGTGGAAAAACAAAAACCGCGAGTAACTCGGCACGCCTGAATATTTTTTTCTTTTTTTAGAGAAATAGCCTGAAGTTTAAAATTTCACCGCTTTCTGTTTTGGTGTTTAGTTGTTGTCTTTAGAAGGCTACTTAAAAATGATTAGAAAACTGAAAACCTCAGTCTGAAATAAATACAGTTTCTTATTTGTGGTTAAAAGTCGTTCATAGATTCTTAAAGTTGGTCAGTTTAATATCAAAACTATTGAATTCAATTCAGTTTATTTCTATAACGCCAATTCACAACACATGTCGTCTCAAGGCAGATCATCCAGTCAATTGATTCAAAGTTTTCTATCTAAGGAAAACCAGTTGATTGCATCGACTCATTGACTCGAAGACAATCCCTCACACTAAGCATGCTTGTAGCGACAGTGGAGAGGAAAAACTCCCTTTTAACATGAAGAAACCTCCAGCAGAAGCAGACTCGGTGTGAGCGGCCATTTGCCGAGGCCGACTGGGGTTCAAGGAGACAGAATGAGTGAAGGAAGGGGAAAGATAAGCTGTATAAACAATACGAGACAAAAAACTAAAAATCTCTCAATGAATGAACCTGTAGAACCGACCTTATCACTAAGACTCCATATTAGCCTTTTCTGTCTGACTTCATCAAGTCTGATTCTTCATTAAAACATGGTTTCTGCCTGTAAGTCTCACCCAGCCATTTTAACCTGTTCCTGGTTCGGATGGCGGCCCATTTGCCTCATACTTTATTCTCTCTGTTGAAGATTCGGTGGCTTTGTTTCAGATCTCTGTTCTCTGTCCCTGATGTGGTCCTGGCTTTATGGAGTGAACTTTCGTCCATTATTTTTGCACCAAACAGACTTTTTTGTACATTAAAATAAAAAAAAAAAATGCTGAAATGACATCCTCAAAAACAAATTTATTTGTAAAAAAGGTCTTTAAAGTAGCTTTGTTGTTTTATCAGATTTTCTTTCTTTTTTTCTTTTTTTTACAGATTTTATACTTTGAAATTTTATGGTTTTTAAACTTCATTTTCAAATATTTTTTTCTACCGATTTCATATTTTCAACTCAATTTAATTGCTGTTCTTAAGATCACGTTTTAAAACTTGGCAGGATTTCCTCTGGAGCGAGGAGTAAAAGCGCATTTCTGTCCGTCTGCTGGACGTTAGCAGAACATGGAATTGGTCAAGAGCGAGTGTTTGGATTGGGCTTAAAGAGTAGAGAATATATAATTTAAAACACAATTTGAAAAGAATACAATTCATGGAACAATCAGAAGAAGATGCGTTTAGAATATATAAAAAAAGTAAAATCTGTTAACAACATTTAAAACAAGTTAATATAAAAGTTTAAAAAAAATTTAGATCTATAATCTGTAATAAAAAAAGAAATATTTTAAAGATTAAAATGACAAAATCAATTTGAAAAAAAAAAAGATTGGCTACAATTTCTTTAAGTTTTATTTTTGGATTGCATAAATTTTACATGCTTCACTTGTGCTTTTATACATTTTGACTTACGAAAAGTTTTTTTTGCTTCCAAAAAAAATAGAACAAAATTCACTCCATAAAGCTTCCGCCTTGAAATAGACTTAAACTCAGAGTTTAAGAGCTATTTAGTGACTAAAAGGGGCAAAGGTTGCCTGGTTGGAAAATAATCCCACATCACCATGGCTCCACCTCTGTGTCTAACACCAGCTCCCCATACGGGTTCACTTTAATGCCACTTGTCCAGAGAACAGAGTTCTAGAAGTCCTGTGGCTCATTGAGATCCAACATTTGGAGCTTAAATAGTTTTTCTTCCACCTCCCAATCAGGAACGATTCTCCAATCGTGCGAGAATTTTTCATTCAGGCCGGCTTTCGCTCTGCTGCGTAGTCTAGCATACAGGGGATAATGAGGGGCGATCAGGCTCTCATGACCACCTCCCGATCAGGAATCGTGAGGTCGGGAGAAAAATCAAACACGTTCAAAAATCAGTCGGCCGTCCTGAGGTGGCCGTGGGCAAATCGCTCAGAGGGCAAACAAGGACTCTTCTTCTTCTTCCTCCTCTCAGATGTAAACACAGAAGCATGGCAGGGGTGCGATTGAGATGGAGTTCTTTCTGTAAAATTGACAGACCGTAGTAGCAACTTTTGCTCAGCCATGTCTTTGTCTAAATAAGTCGTCGCCTTTTCTTTTAAGGGCTTTTAGCACAAAATTGCACACATTGCCAAGGCAGCGTGTTTCACTCTAGTGAGCTTCATATTCCTCTTCAACTCGTTTGGCTTACAGATAGACGATTCTGAGTAGCGCCATCTCACTGCGGAGCGGAGTCCCATGTGGTTTTTACACATACAGCATAAGCAGGTAGATCGCATCAGAGCGTCGGGTCGCAAAGTGTGAGAACATACATCGTGAGCTGTGAGCTGTAGCAGCTGTAGCTGCGTGCAAAGATTGAAAAAATCCTACTGCGTATCCCCGGGTTTAACCGTTCTAAACAAGTTGCAACTGTTCTGTTTAGGCAAGAACTCCGCAGACCTTTACAAGGAAGGACAGCCTCTTCATTTTGATGGGACTGAGCTGGTTTAAAGAGCCAAACTGAGCCCAGCTCGGTGGCATTGTTCAGATGTAACATCCCAGTTGTTTGTGAAGAAACTCTGGAGTTATACTCACTGATGCATTTTTTTGTTTATCATTCAGGCTCTGAAAAACATTGCTGCCATCAGCCTGGCCATCAACTACCCCAATAAATCCACTAGGCTACTCAACATGGCCCAATGAGAGGCTTCTCTGAAGGAAAAAGAAGACGGCGAGCATCCTGCAGGGGACGCGTCCCGACTGGCCTCCTGGAGGAGAACCTCCCTCTCCATCCAGCGGGACGAGAAACTGCAGCGCTGCAGATATGAGCGGAGGAGAGGACACTCACGGAGCACTTTCCACTATTCTTTACAATCCTGTTTGCCTTAGAGGAATCGTTTATCAGCATGTGCTTTCACAGATGTAGGGCAGTTTGTGGGGTTGGTTTATTTTTATTTTTTAACTGATGCTCTCCTAAATGACATGAAGTGTGCCAAATTAGCATCCTTCAAGAGGAAGTACGTTCTGTAATTTCCTTTCCTTTTCTCCCTCTCCTGTTTCTCAGAACAGCAGCCACTCTAGATTATAAATTGATCACGGTGAAAACGGGTCACCTTGGCAACTTCCATGTCTCAGCAGACCCGTAGAGCATCCTAAAAATAATGTCCAGGACATTGGAGTCCAATTAGTCACCACAGAGTTTACAACTGGCTTAGTTTCATCTCATTTGCCCATTTTTGACATTTCTTACTCTTTGTCTTGTAATCCTTAATCAGCTTTAATTACAGAAAAAGATGATCGGACTGGACCTAATCTGATCTAATCTAATTTAATCTAATATAAGACTAATGACTCTGGTGCAGGGTGCTAAGCTAAAGTTTCTTGGTTTTCCCCTTAAGTGAGTTTTCACTTGCTTAATCACAAGTTAAATAAAACGAAAACAAAAAAGAAAACCTAACAGGTTGCTAACAATGTTAGCGCCTGATTCCCAGATTTTCTTTGGGAGAAACTAAATAATGCAATTTAAAATTTGTAAAGTCTTGAATTATGTTAAATTGATTAATTAAACATAGAGCAAATTATTAAACATTGATTATAGATACTTTAAAGTGCAGTTATAAAAAAAATGAAACCTAAATGAAAACCATGCTAATTGGAATTAGGGATCCATTTGTTTAAAAACCTCTGCATGCATCCGGTTCTCCATGGATCCGTCACAGAGACACTGTTCTCTCATTGTTTTTATATTTGATCCACATCGGTTGATTCAAACCCAACTTTTTTTGATCACAATTGGAAAGAAAACTGCCAAAAACCGGCAAAACAAAGGCTTCAAAGAACTGTCTTCCGCCCACTCATTGATGCTGAAGAGATGAAGCAGGAGTCTGTAAAAAAGCACGTATGTACAGCACCAGATCCTGCCCAACACAGGTACCATGTAATCTGACATTTAGCATCACTAACCTGGCACCTTATTAACGCTGCCATGCTCATTTAGCTGCATTTGTGAATTTATTCAACTGTTGGTTAAACAAAAAAACTAAACCTGAGCTGTAGTTTTATGCCAAAGAACCTTATCATTGTGAGCCATAAATCATCCCAGAAAGTGCGTCTGTGATTGGCTGGAGCAGTGGACGCCTTGACACACCCTTTAGTTTCTTTTCCTCCTTGATTCGCTTTCGATTTCTTTTTAAGTTTCCTTCCCCTAAAAGAAAAAGGGCTGCAGGACGGCTCGGTGGTTTTGTTTACACAAACATCAGCTGCAGTGAGGGGAGAAGAAGAAACGCCTCACCTATTTATGACGTGCCTACAGTTCAAAGTAAAGCAATCACAATTTCTCTCATGTTATTCTGTTTTAAAGAAGTATATTGTTTAATTGAAGTTTTTTTTTCTAACTTTTTAGTTATTTTGTTGCTTTCTGTTTTGCTACGAAACTTGATTTAAAGCAAACTAATTTGAATGTAAATACCTGTGAATATCAGTTGCACAGAATAAGGACTTTAATAACGAGCCCCGTTCAAAAAGAGAGAAGGAAACATTTATCCGGCATTCAGCAATGGACATCTGGAATCCCGCTTTGGATGCACCTTGTTCCTCGAAGTGCTTGGGTTGAAATGTGTTCCATTTCTAATAAAAACAGAAATGAATTAAAAATAATAATAAAAAAGGCTCTCATGGTTTCTTTGTGTCGTGAACTGATGTTGAGGATGACCCACAGACTCTGGACCAAAGAAGGAACATGAGCCAATTGTTCTTTCCTTGTGCTTTAACTTTATTTTGAAACAAAAAAAAACATTGAATGGTTTTAGTTTCTGCCTCAAAACTAAAACGGATTAAATCCTCCATCTTTATTTCCGTTGAATCCATTGGTGTGCCCTTGTTTATTGTGCCCCTCCTGTCCGGCTCCTTTATCTCTCCCATGCCTGTAATATGGGATGTCAGGGACAGCCCTGATGATGAGGGTGATGATCACCGGGGCGATAATGACATCAAATGGAGGAAATGCTCAATAAGGCTCCAGATGATTCAGTGCCCCTCTGAATCTCTGTAGCTCCACGCTGCCATGACTCAGCTCTCCTCCTATTGCTCCCCCCCTCAGCTCCTACAGTAGCAGCCATTCAAAATGGCCCTTCCCAGTCAAAAGCCAACCAAATGGCAGCAAAATCCCCTCCAACTTCCAGCCACTGGCCTTCTCCTCTTATTTACTCTGACTTCCCCCTTTAACTGAATTACAGGGTCTAACCAGGAGCTAACACTTCTCTTTAGATCTTAATGTCCGTAAATCATGACAGAGAGAATATTTTAGATGTTTAAAAAAGAATTGTAGGGGACCAGTCGGGCCCATCAAGGAAAGTGGGGAAATTTGGAATGGCTACTTTGCAGACTAACGAAACCAAACAATGCCCGTTCCAAAGGGGCAGACCCGTTTGTCCGTTTCAATTTGCATGTTTTCTAAAGAAAAACAAGACTTTGTTGGGCTACTGTGAAGCCTTGGAATCAACACTATTTCTGACTTTTGAATTAAAAGAAGCTTCCTGGATGGGAAGAGAAACGTCTTCAAACTTGGAAACAAAGTTCAGTGGATTCCTTTTTAAGTTTATTTGAATTCTGATTTAAAGTGAAATTAAATTGCAATCAGTATTAAAATAATAATTTATGGAAGCTTACTTCATGGCATCCACATAATCTCAGTCTCTTCTATATGTATACATCTAGATTTTTTCTCAGGACATCAGTAAAAATTTCTTCTCAAGCAGAAGGTCAAACAGGATAAGAAAGACAGATATCCAGTGGTTTGTTGGAGTGCTAAGCTAACATTAGCGTGGTTCCAGTTAATGAGGATGTCCTGCTTCTGATAATCACCCACCGTTTTCTGGGACGTCTGGCGTTTCAGCTGCTTTCTGTGAAGCTTTTTTCGATCTTTAACCTCTTTAAGCTAATTTAGCAAACCTCACTGAGCAAGTCACCTGATGCGGACAGACAGGGAGGCCAAACTTCATCTTGATCAGGATGTTGTGGAATTCAACATCAAGATGAACTCCAGTACTGATCATTAAAAAAAGATTATTTTGAAAATCATTCTGTTGAGACACTGTCCAATGATTAAACATCTAGGCACTTCAATCTAAAGGTCATTTTATCCAATCGGTCACTGGGGGCATACCAGACCCTCAACATGATACTGCCACCACCTTGTTTCAGTTCAGTGTTCCTTGATGTGTTAGCTTTACATTAACTCCTCATTTTGTTTTAAAAGTGTGTCAAAAAGACTGAATGATTGTTCAATTTGAGCGTGAAAAAAACATCACCATCCAACCTTTCTGCTAAATGTCCAGTTTTTAACAGCTTGAACCTTGTAGGTTCTTCTAAGCAGGTCCAGAGTGGGTCTAATTTCAGTTCTGTCAGTTTCTTGCCTCAGATATGCTCACTTCAGAATCAGATTTACACTTACAAGGAATTTGACTTGGTGTTGATGGTGCAATTAGAAATTTATACAGAATCTATAGCTATATACACTTCTCATTAAAAGAACACTTTGTAATCAGTATATAGCATCAAGTTCATTAAACTTCTGGGATATTGATTTAGTCAGGTATGTATCAGAGGGGGTTGTTAATCAGTTTCTGCTGCTTTGGTGTTAATGAAATTAACAACAGGTGCTCTAGAGGGACAACAACGAGACGACCATCAAAACAGGAATGGTTTTACAGGTGGAGGCCACTGACATTTTTCCCCCTCCTCATCTTTTCTGACTCTTTTTTTTGTATTTTTTTTTTACCAGTTTTGCATTTGGCCAGGGTCACTGTCACTACTGTTAGCATGAGGCGCTAGCTGGATCCTACAGAGGTTGGCAGGTAGACAGGCAGTTACTCCAGGAGAGCTGGACAGGGCAGTAGAAGGTCTACAACCCATCAACAAATGGTACGAACAGTAGGCCTACACCACACAACTGAAATAATAAAAAATTAGAAAAATAACAAAAAACAATTATAGAGCAAGATAATAAATATCTTAATAGTTACAGCTAAATAGCTGAGAATCTAATTAAGCTATAATTAGTATAAATAAAGCCACTCAATAAATAAATAAAAAGAGAAGATAGAAGAAAAAAAATAAATAAATAAAATGAAAAACAGGGGGAGGGAGGGGTAAATCAGAAAATACATGGTGTCATTGATCCACTGGTTACTGGGAGGGGCTAGAGTCGACTTCCAATGTAAAGAAGGCGGCATCTTGCCAGTAATGAAGTAAATGCTAAGATATCTAATTGGTTAGAAGTAAATCACTTGAGGTCCTCTGGAACCTCCGGTGTCACTGTGGGCAGAGACTTTTATAACCACAGAAAGTATTTTTGACATGGTATCAAAAGCAAGAAAATAGTGGACAAGAATAAAACATATGGGATAAATTGCAGGGTGAGGTGACATTTGCTGCATTTGTCGGTGATGCTGGGATACATTTGGGACACTCGAGTTTTAGAAAAAGGGACACTAAACAGTACTTTAAACTGAGCAAGTGTAAGACGGGCGCAGAATGAACTTGAATAAATTGTCTTAAGAGCAGCATCCCAACAATCATTCTCCAAGTTTAAGTTCTTGACCCAGGCATCCCTACCTTTAGTAATTGGCAAGCAGTCAAAAGACAGAAGTTCATTATAAATTTTTTAAATAAGTGACTTTTGAAGTTGGTCAGGATTTAAAAGCTCCTCCCACTGTTGAGTGGGCGGTAAGAGGGGGGACAGAGGAAACAAAATTTTAGCACAATGTCTAACTTTGAAAGTATGGGAAAAGATGAGAAGGTGGGAGATCAAACTCTTCTGAGATATCTGCAAAGCTGCAAAAAATACCATCTTTGTAAAAGATGTCTTTATTTGGCTTTATTATGCCATGTTAGGAAGGTTGGATCTTTAAATGAAAGCTGAAATAAATTATTTTTTAGTGTAGGGTTTAAAGTGGATACTGCCTTAAATTTGTCTCCTAAATTGATACCAAATTTTAGTGTGGAAAGGACTACTTGATTGTTTGTAAAACCAGAGAGGTTAGATGGGACAGAGGACGAAAGTAGGGAAGATAAGGATGAGGAACCGCATGACTGTGCCTCCAACTTGCACCACGGCAGATTTAAACCAGAACGAGATTTTATGAATGTGAGCTGCCCAATAATTTGGAAGTGACAGTCCACCATTGAACTTACATCTATGGAGTGTGGATTTGCGGATCCTGGGAGCCTTTCCACATCATAAGAAGTTAGAGAAAGTCTGATCAATTGTATTAAAAACTTTTTTGGTAGGAAAAGTGGGAGGCGGTGAAATAAAAACAGAAATTTGGGCAAAATGTTAATTTCAACTGCGTTATTTCATCCTATTAAAGATGGTGGTAAACTTCTCCATCTATTTTATCTTTGGACAATAAAGGTGAGAAATTAGCAGAAAAGAAAGAATTTAACATTTAGCAATGTTGATACTGAGATACCTAAAGCCAGTCAAGTTTTAATTAAAAGGAATATCTGACTTTGTGAGCTTTAAGGCTGAAGCGTTAATAGGTTAATAATTAACTTTTAGAGATATTCACTTTGTACCCAGAAAAAGAGCCGAATCTCTGGAAAACAGATAAAATTGTGGGGATGGAAAAGCAGGTTCTAAGACATACAACAATAAATCATCAGCATAAAGTGACAGTTTAAATTCTGTGCTAAAACGTGAAATCCTAGTAAAAGTAGAGGAGGATCTAAAAAAAAAATTGACAACGGCTCTATCACTAGTGCAAACAATAAAGGAGAGAGGGGACAACCTTTTCTGGTGCCACGGGTTAGAGTGAAGAAACTATACTGGATGCAATTAATGAAGATGTTTGCTTGTGGAGAGACGAAAAAAACCCATTGCCTCGTCCAAATTGCTTTTTCAGCATCAATTGAAATGACTACTTCAGGTGTTGTTGTGTTAGTTTTAGAGTAAATAATATTTAGGAGTGTGCGGACATTAAAAAACAACTGTCTCCACTTAATAAACCCAGTTTGCTCATGTGAGACAATAGTTGGTACAATGTTTTCCAGGCGTGAGGCCAGAGCTTTTGCAAGGATCTTAGCATCTATATTTATTAATGAGAGAGATCTATATGAGCTGAAGAAATTTGGATCTTTATCCTTTTTCAAAAGGACACTTATGGAGGCCTGCCTTAAAATGTGAGGCAGAGTGCCACGTTCTAACGATTCATCATACACAGCAAGCAGCAAAGGGGACAGTTTATCTTGAAATTTCTTTAAAAATTCCACTGAAAATCCGTCAGGGCCAGGAGCCTTGTTATTTTGCATGTTTCTCACAGCACGTGTGACGTCCTCCACGTTAATGGTTAGTCAAGTTTCTCAGCAGCATCTGAACTTATCATTGGAAAATTCAGGCTATCTAGGAATGAATTCATTCCAGTGGTGTCAGAAGCAGACTCTGACTCATATAAAGAGGAATAAAATGAATGAAAAACAGAATTGAACTTCTCTTATTGAATCAAGACTTATTTTCACCAGGATTTACAGAATTTTTTTTTTTAAATCAAACAATGTGATTTCCTGGATTTTCCTTCTCATAGTGTCACACGGTTATTTAAGCTAAACCTATGTTGGTAATTACAGACCAAATCTTTTTAAGTAGGATAACCTGTATATTATTTGCTG